GTTCGTGGTATGGCAGGCACGAGCAAACTCTGAACTCCCTATTAACGGGGATTCCCTCTCTAGCGCTCTTCCTCTCTCACACCAATTTACTTCATCACAGGGAGGCACCTTTTCATTACAACGTTGGAGGAAATACGTTCCTAGCGTGTGAGGAACGTGTTTGCTGGCCTCATAAATGCTAGCTAATATTTAGAAAAAAAATAGGGTTGTGCTAACCCTTTAGCGTCGCTTGCTGGCTAGTTAGCTACAGTAGTTAGCTACTGCCATCAGTTGTTGTGTTATCATATCTTGCATATTCCACCGTTTGTAGAATGAATACTGGCATTTGAATATAGCACAGGAAAAGGGAATCTGGACACAGTAGACACATTTAAATGTAGGTGTAGATGCATGACGCGATCGGAACTCAGAATACTAAAGCTGCATGAACTGTCAAGTCTAGACACGGCCTGAGCGCAGTCTGACATTCTTAAAGAAGGGGCAGCTGGGAATTCCTCTCCAGCGTCAGATTAGCTGAGATTTGAGGTTCAGCTGTGCCACTGTGGTGTGGCCAGAAGTCTGTCAGGCATCTATGCCAGGACAGCCCTGGCCCCCTCTGAGGAAATGTGGATGATTCCCTCTATTGTGTATAACTTTGCCACTCAGGACTCCACCTTCTACAACTTGATTTTTTTCCCCTCGCCCCATGCTTTGTCCTTGCAAACTCGTTATCTGGGCTACACTGACACATTCACCGATTTGAGGTGAAACCCTACCGGGTTTTTCCCACAATCGTCCACAGCCCTCGAGCGAAGCAGCTGGGCTGAGATACCATACCGCCGCCCTCTCACCTCTGTCATTATACCCACATTCTGCAAAGGTGTGCACTCCCTGCTTGTGCATGAGTAATGCTACACTTGTGGATCACCCTGCTGTGTTACACCACTTGAACTTTCCGGCTGACTGGATGAACTGTGGGGTTGGTGTGGTGATCCTTTAATTCTCAGTGGCAAATCTCATTGGGGTGTGTACAGGAAAATGAATCTGAAATATGGGCTCAACCCACCCCAGTAAAGCTACACATTTACAACTGCTACAGTAAGGACTTCAGGGTGCATGTACCCACAGAGCATTGCTTGGAATGCACACATTTTTGTTTTGCGACAAATGTGGAAACAGATGTTAGCACAGGGCTATGTGAGGCATGGCTTGAGTCCATAAGGCCAAGTGTTGTTTACCCAGCATCTTCTGCTGGCATAAGACTGCTTCTCTGAAGTGTGCACATTTCAGCAGCTCTGAGTGAGGCGGTGACCTCCGACCCTTGTCTTGGCCCGCCCTGTGATAAAATCTCTGGTCCTAGACTGGTGTATGTCTAGAGACAGTAGCACAGTGGTAGTGAAATGTGTTACAAGCTCAAAGGGCTATCGTAGATTGTAGCTGAGACAGCTGACACATATAGCTTTCTGGAAGATTTGGGGAGGCATACTATGGAAGCATAAAGAAAGATATATTTTTGCCTATATGGGTGATTCCAGTGTTATGGATGTGACATTTGCATGCAAAATCACAAATGAATGTCTCACATAATGGACAAACAAAGCATAAATTAAAATGTTGACGTATGTGTCTAGTACCGCTTTGGGGGAGTGTATACCCCAAAAAACGGACTCCTAAATATAAATAAATAAATATATAAAACGATCATTTTGAAAAGATTGTCATATCCATTATTACTTTAGAAAGGAAAAACAACCGTTACTCTTCGTTATGGATGTGACAGTCATCTGAAATCGATTATATCACATTTAGTTGTCATCTGGAATGTTTAAAAAATGTTAGCAGAAGGCAGAGTACTTTAGGGTTACATAATTACAGGTAGCCAGAATAGTATACTGCATAGGCTAAGGCCAGGAAGGAAACACATCCTAATGGGGTCATTTTTATATCTTTAAATACATCAAAATTGACCTTTGACTGATTTTAGACTTTTTTAAATGTATTATGCCTTTTCTGAAATATTGTAATAAAACATGCAAATGAGGCAATATACTGTACATATGCTTACACCGCCAATACACTTTTCGGGACAATGGATGAAGTCAGCATATTTTGGGTGGGTTTATTAAGCAATAAGGTGCCTTATTGCTATTATAAACTGGTTACCAACGTAATTAATGTTTTGTCATACCTGTGGTATACAGTCTGATATACCACGGCTGTCAGCCAATCAGCATTCAGGGCTCGACCCACCCAGTTTATACATTTGAATAACACACTCTAGGACTATCCACAGATTGTGGATAAACACCTTTTTCATCTTTCTAGCTAAAACTCTATCACTAAGTTACTGTCGTGTGAGAAATGCATGTAGGCATATTCTGTATTCAACAATTGCTTCATTGAAAGTCAGAAGAGTATATCTCAGAAGCACACAAAATGTGGTGAATGCACATGCTTCTGAAGCCAAGATAAGATAAGTCCGTATCCATCTAATCTACAACCGTTATGGATGTGACTATATCATAATGCTGGAAAAGGATACTGACAATGAAAAGATGCCAATTCTAGACCATATAAAACCTTGATGGAAGTTGGCTTTACAGAGTAAGTTACAAGATGATCTGATGAAAGGTGCATGTTTTACAAAAACCTTTCCTTTTACAAAAACGTTTCATGTTCCTAAAAGACTGTAGAACTCAGGACAGTTCAATGTAGTATTATGATGTCAACTTCATAACAAACACTGGGGGACAGCTGTAAGCGAAAAAATAAAGAAAAAGAAGCTCTGTGAGCCCTTTCCAAAAGCCATTAAATATGATTGACTGAAAAGCCTTATTTGAGACTTGGCATCATATTCCGTAATGGCCAAAATTCATGCAATTTCTTACTTAAACTGGTGAAATAAAGCATACACTCCAACCAATAATTATGAATGTTGTGTCATTTGGAAGTTAATAACTATTTTTGCATACTCAGGTTGACTTTCCCACAGAATTGACCATATGCAAGTTTTCTTTCTTACACAACATTGTCTCTTCTTTGGTTTATTTTTCCCATAAAAATGACTAATAGACATATTACGTGCATGATACTACCTTATCTCTAGGATTTTCATTATAATTGAACAGCTGTTGTGGTTTGATTAAGTTATATAGCAACTGTGCTCAGAAGGCCTGAGGTTAAAATGCATTTATGAATGTCACGCCCTGTCTCTGGGGACTATTAAATGTTGAGCCAGGGTGTGGAATTTCTGTTACATTTTCGATGTTTTGTTCTAGATCGTTTAGATCTATGTTGGCCAGGGTGGTTCCCAATCAGAGACAGCTGTAGCTCGTTGTCTCTGATTGGGGACCATACTTAGGCAGCCTTTTGGCATTTTAGTTTTGTGGGATCTTGTTCCGTTTGGTTTGTTGTATGACCTAGGACTTCACGTTTCGTTTTGTTGTTTTGGTTCGTGTTGTGTACTACGCAATAAAGTATGTACGCCTATCACGCTGCGCCTTGGTCCGCTTCTTATAACGATCGTGACAATGAACCATATGTCTGGTGTTTCTCATGCTCTTTAATGCCTGTTTTAGACCTCTACTCATGCATGGCAAGACAACATGTTCACAGATGCTACTTCTGTTATGGTCTTTACATTACATCTAACAAAGACAGTTTAGGATTCGTGGTCTCATTGGTCCCTAAGTGAGATGATTTTCAAACGGTTAGTTAATAAACAAATACCTGTGACATTATTTATATTATTTGCTTGCCTAGCAGCGCATTTAATGTTACTGGAAATGCAATTGAAGCAGAATAATGAAATGTGATAAGCTTGGCACTAGTCTCTAGTCTTATCATGGGACTTACACTGATGTGTGCAATGATTATGATTCATTGTCAAGCAAATGGCTATGGTTATTGTCATAATTGTCATTTTTGTTTAAACATGTTTTGAGCTTGTATTGTATCATAATTCATCTTTAAAAATTAGCTACGACACACCTAATAAATGAAACACAGCATTGGTGGCACCGCTGTCTCAAAAACGAATGGTTTTGACCGCTTGGAACTTTTTAAAATTCAGTTTTTCCTCCTGACCGTGGCGTTCTGCTTGTAAAATGATTACTAAATTTACCCTCTTCATGTAAAAATGAAAAATTGCTATTGGGTCAACTATATCTACTCAAAAATACATCTATTATATACTTTCAAGTAGAATATCTACTATATACAAAATGAATGTATTAAGACGATTATGACGATTGTTTTTAGTTGACGGTTATTGTCCATAATTGTGGGTTACATGATTATACGATTATTGTGCCAGCCCTACGCCCAATAACATTGCCAAGGAGTTAGCATGTGACTCAATATCAGCCTGAGTAAGGGGAATTATCTTCATCGTGTGTCCATCACTCTCTGAAAAGCCTTTTGGACACAAAACCAGATTATAAATAGACTGCACTGATCACAATCATTACGTCCTGGGAGGAAAGCTGATGCTTTCGAGGGAGAGGGTCTAGATTTCACCTGCCATCTGCTTTGTACCCTCTGTTGTAAATCAATACAAGTGGCTGTGCGCGTACAACCAGTGAAGTGCGACAGTGTGCCACCCCTTTGTGATTTAATATTAAGAGAATCCTCTTTAAATATTTGCATTTTAAGTGTGAGGTTTCTATCAAGCCACTGAAAGTATTTTAATTTTGGCAATTTTTCTGTGATTCGGCTCAGAAAATCTCTGGCCCTGGCTAACTATGAGTTTTTGTCAGCACACATGGTCAGGAAAAAATAATTGGGCCTAGAGCAGGGAAAAAACCCTAGCCTTACTTATAATCAATGCATGCTGTGTAAGCCAGGGATGTTGTATTGTTTAGTTATTGTGTTATTTAACCCACCCCTCTTCTCCATTTTGTGCCTTCACAGGGCTCTCTAAAGGAGGTGAAACACTGAGGTAGAGGAGGCAGGTGTTGCAGAAAGAGCCTCACCCCCTTCTCACCCCAAATCCGACCCCCTCCGCTGCACCAGCGGTAGCCATGGCCCCCCGGAAGCGTGGCGGCGGCGGCGGCGGTGGCATCTCCTTCATCTTCTGCTGCTTCCAGAGTGGCAGCGACCACCCAGAGATCACCTACCAGCTGCGCGAGGACTTTGCCCTGCAGACCATGGAGCCTTCGCTGCCCATGCCAGGCTATGACGAGCTGGACGGCATGTTCTCCGAGTTGGTGGTACGTAGCAACCAGAGTTTCCTTTTTGGTATTATTGTCAGTGTTGTCATGATTTATCTTCTGAACATGGGCCACAGTTGGAAATGAGCTATGTTGCTAGCTTGTTCTCATAGACCACAAGCAAAAAAAAGCATACATTTACATGTTGCTTATGAGTGCATTTCACACTACTTTTGGATTACAATTGGATTGTAAGGCTCGAATGTCCTGCTTAATATAATGTTTGTGTAATCGTCGCTAACCAACTGCATTAAACTTAAAAATCACTTCAACTACAACCAGTAAAATGCTATTTTTCCTCTCGTCTCAGTTTAGCTGCCTTTTCTCATCCTTTCAGTCTGTTGCTCTCACTTCTTTCCCCTGCCATCCACTGCCTATGTGGTCCTCTGACATGGTTGCCACACTTATGCAGGCCGCCACCAGATCGTTTTGCACATCAATAGACCCCATTGAGAGGCCCTGTGTCTTGGCCTCCTCCTTCTGCTAATTGCTTGTTTTTGTCTGGCCCGCCCTCCCTCTCTCCAGCCTGAATTGAATAAGTGGAGTGTGACGACAAAGGGGGCTTCCAGTCGCTATGTTTTCACTGAGGGGATAGACACAAGCCATCCACCCGCCATCCCCCATTTGTCTGGGTCGGAGGTAATCTCAGTGAAAAGGCTTGAAAAGATTAGGGCTGGCAGGGAGAATGGCGGCCACCTATAATATACCATTACCATTACACTTGAACTTTGGATATTTAACAGATTTATATTCTGCTCAACTGTAGACATAAAGGGGATTGTTTGCTCTTGTATAAGGAGGGGAGGGCAACCAGGTGGTTGTCCCTGTAGTCTTGAATATCCTTTATCTCGGGTGTCCTTTCCCTTGTGACCAGTGACAGGCTTGTGACCACTAGCCTGGTATTGGTCATGGGGCTAGAAGGTATGAAGGAAACTGTTTGAGACAATTCCAGCAGCATTTAGTCTCCCATCTAAGGATCAGCCAGGCCCGATCCTACTTAGCTTCAGAGGCAAGCCAACAGCGAGATGCAGGATGGTATTACATGGTATAGTATGGCGACTAAATCAAACGAATGATGATTGTCCCCTTCATAAAAGCTATTTTGTTATTTTATAACAATGCAGCAGTCACTATCCTTGTAGGAACCTGAATTGATTCCTTGAGTCAGATAGATTGTAGATGGTGAGGCACTCTATTCTCTTGTCATAATTTAATTCAGTCTGCGTGCCACAGTAACAATTCTATCCTTTGTCTTTTGGATCGTTTCCACAAAAATAGTATATTTTGAGTAGTGTAACTTGGTGAGAAAAAAAAGTTGTATTTCTTATAATTTTAACATTCTGTAATAAAGAGCACATCAGATTAATAAAAAAAGTTTTCCCATCTCAAGAGGTTAAATATAAAAACGACTATAGTAAATGCCAAATTAAATAACAGGGTTGAGCATAACAGGGTTGACGATTTCACCTTAAATCAGACATCAATCCCATTGTGACAAGAGGAATGGAAGCTTGTTGTGTGCAACAGGGAGAGGTAATTGAATGCAAGTTTTAAAATATATATATATTTATTTTTACAACATTTCTATCCATGGGTAACAGGATTGACATGTTAAACTCAACCCGCTCAGTTTTCCACCACAAAACACCAGAAAATGACCAAAAAGAGTAGAACCATCTCACTTGCTTTTACACTGATTTTACTATTAGATGTTTGTTTCTTTAAAAAATATATATATATATATAATAAAGGAATCGTTTCACCATAATAAAACGAAAGTTCAGTTCACATAACAGGGTTGACCTTAAAATGAGGGACAGTTGATTTTTTAAATGAATCATTAATCCCATGAAATAAATCATCTCCAGAAAGGACTTTGTCGAACTAGTGCTTTACAATGATGGTGAAAACATGGAGGAATTTGGGGGTTAAGTAGGTAAAAAGGGTGCACAGAGGGACATGCCAAAATGCAGAATTGTAGCAAGTCTTTATTCATATAAAACAAAGCCCATTTATACATTTTTTTTATGTGGTCTATCTTATAAAGGGCACTTCATTTTAATATAACAGGCTTTTAAAATTCAATATTGGTGCACACTTTCTACTTAAAATACCAAAGGGATGCAAAAGGGACTCATTTCGTGGAACGACCCTTTTGAGTCGCTAAGTTGAATCACAGGGCATATGAATTGAGCTGCCACTGGCCTTATAACTAGCGTAGAGCCTGTGCTAATATGATTAGGGAAAATTAAAAATTTAATATATTTTACTGCACTTTCACTGCGTCTTTTTAATGTTTTGTGTCTGTAGGCAGATGCTGGATAAATGTGGGGATTTTCCCAAAGACTGTAGGACAGTTGGTGGAGGCTGTAGTGTTCCTTGGTGGAGGCTCTGAGATGCTTGAAGTCTGGCGACTTCACCGAGCAGCTCACAGAGCATGGAGACATTGCCAGTCTCATTTTAGATTGTGTCAGAACATCTTAAGACCTCAATGGCAATCTGCGTGCTGCTGTCTCTAGCCATGAATGTCGCATGGAAGCATCTTGTAATGCATCTTTGTAATCTGTCTTTTTTTTTTTACAATGTCCAAAATGTTGCATCACATGCTATTGCTAGCTGAAGTGTCGTCCTGTGTATTGGTGTGCAACAAGCGCTGTTTTGTGGAGAGAAAATACATTAAACATAGTTGTACTGATAGTTAGGCTTTGCCTTTTATAGGCCCAAATAGACACTTCCCTGGGGAACGAAAGAGAGTAACCTAATTGTTCTTCTGAACCACAGCTGTACCTCAAAAGGAATACCATATTAGGGAAATACTGGAAGATCCATAAATCATATGCTTAATGTTAAACTGAGATTAATTTGGGATTTAAAAGGCCAACCAACTAGTCCTGTGTCTTTTTCTTTGTCTTGGTCTTATAAGTGGAATAAAACAAACTCAGTCATATTAAAATATATTTAGACCTTGATTCAAGAAAACCTGCCTCAGCAATGTTTATACAGTACCTTTGTTTATGCAACGAGCTACTGCCAGGCAGCGAAGCCTTATTCTGAAACTGGAAGCATCGTTCGAAGAGCCTTCTTTGTCTTTACTCAACACAAAACCAGATTTTATTTGACTACAGGAAAAATGGGTTTGTTTATATGCTACCACAGAAATCAAAACACATCCGGACAGGATTCAATTGGACATGTAGCAATGCGCAGACATAAGCAGTGACATAAGTACAAGTGTGAGTCTTTGTTGCTGTATTTGTCTATTGCTGTACATCTAAGAGTGAAATTGATTGTTTGAATTTTCAGGCATTGTTTTTGGCTTGTCTGTATCTTGATATCTCTAGCACTATATGGTAGTTGATTCAGAACAGCCCCCTTCTTGATGGCCCTAGGAGGATAGGCTACTGGAGCTAGGTAGGAGAGGCCTATCTGGTGAGGTCATCTAAAGAGGCCTTCAGCCTCCCACTACTCATCAGCTGGCAGCTTGGCTCATCCCTGCCTTATGACAGTTAACTTAAGCTCTACTGGCTCTGGTTTCCCTCAACATGCTATCTTTCATAGCATTCGTTTATACACAACATGGGAACTCTCTGGCCCTGTACACATAAAGTCTGCATAAAGCCCACTAAGGCCATTGCCAGATGTCTGTCATGGCGGGCATCTTTTGAACGTTCCCCCCCCCCACAAACATAAATAACATGTTTGATGACCATGACACATTGCAATGAAGGTCAGATGTCTCATGATGACTTTGATGTATGTGTTATGTTGCTAGCTGAACTATAGATCTTGATATGTAATGCTATAATGCTCTATAATTTTAATCTTATCAATGGATTTGTTTGAAATGACATGGAACTCTTTCCTTATTACTGTGGTAAGGACATTTGTGCCTGTCATAAGTCTAAGTGTAGAAGCAAATCCTTGTCTAGGGTTAGTGACTATTATACAATGTTGCTTTCTTATATGACGCCCAGCTGACCAAGTCCTGTCTTTGATCAGTGGCAGGTTGACTGGAGTGCTGTCCAGTGAGCTTGAAGTGGAGGTTGGTGGATGGAGCCTTGGGTGCCTGTCTGCCATTTTCTTTTTTATTTACACAGCTAAAGCTCTGAAATGGAGATGGCCTTTGGGAAGCATAACACTAGCTTGTTATCATTATGCTACTACTTCAGATGAAACGGCTTGGCTGGTCGGCTTTGCATACGGATGACATGCAAAGCCGACCAGAGCCGACGTTGACGTACTTACATTTACATTTACATTTTAGTCATTTAGCAGACGCTCTTATCCAGAGCGACTTACAGGAGCAATTAGGGTTAAGTGCCATGCTTAAGGGCACATCGACAGATTTTTCACCTAGTCGGCTCGGGGATTAGAACCAGCGACCTTTCGGTTACTGGCACAACGCTCTTACCCACTAAGCTACCTCTAGTTTAAAACAATTGTAACCTGTTACTATGACTGCCTCCACAGGGTAACACAGGCAATTAATACTAAATGATAAGGTAATGGAGAATATTAAATACTCCATTCATAGTTTTCCCCCCAACATGTTAGCTATTATGTTATGTTTTTTTCTACTTTGTAATGTAATTAATGTCCTACATTTCAGAATAAAAGCTCTGTTTTAAGCATTGCACAACTATTTGCAATGCATTGGCCACCTCCTAACCAGAAATAGATGTCTCATGTCCTATATGCAACGTTGGCTAAAATGCTTCTAGCGGTACCACAATGCCACGCGCAACAGAAACTGAGTATTAATTTTCCACAATCAATGTTCATTGATACTCTTGTTTTAGTAGGGTCTGCTCTGTTCTACATTTTGGGAGTTGAGACATAAAAAAGGTATAATTTCAAAAGGTTAAGTTCTCGTCTATTACAGTAAAATGTCTCTAAGCGTTTCGGTGTCCATATGACCGATTCTGTTGGACCAAACCTCATGTAAATGGCGAGTTTAAACTGCATGTTGTCAGAGAGGAAGAAGTTATCTTTCATCATTGTTGTTGTGAGTGTGTAAATGGGAAGGTGCACACAGCACAGAAGGAGCGAAGGAGACGAGACCAAAAAGACAACGCTCATAAAAACGAAATAAAATACAAATCTATATTCTTGCCATACAGGCATTTGGAACATCGTGCTAAAACATACATTGGAATTAATTCTATATATCGCCCAGCCATAGCATGACGCTATTAATTATGCACCCAAAACATCTGGCTTGCGTTTGATCTGGCTTGCGTGTTACACAACAGCACAGGTACTAATTTAACAATTCCACGGGTCCGCCACTGCCGTAGCTGAAAAATAATTAAGAGGAAGAGCTCCTCCACCCTGCATCCCTTCCCAGTGGCTCCCTGCCCAGATAGGAACCCTATGAACACATGTGAGATAGTGTTCAGTTCCAGAGAGAGTGCCTGTTTGCTGCAAATGTGGTTGCATGCAGAAATTATAGTTGGATAGTCGAGCTGACTCTCTCACACCCCCCGCCCCACGAAGACATACCAGTACACACATTTTCTACACAGACTTGCATGCATGCTCTGACATAGTTAGTACTCACACACAGTGCACATGGATATATACAGACACATGGACACCATTAAATTAACATGACATGTTAATCATTTGACAGACACTTTGGCTAAGACTGACTTACAATAAGTCTATCCTGGCTTTGTTGATCACTTTGTTCACTGTCCGAGGGAGGAAGTCTTTTTAGGTTAAAATACATTTAGAGAACAATGCAGTCTCTAGTCTTGTGTGGTTGTCGGTGTTGCTATCAGAGGTTTGTGGCAAAGATTTGGTTCTGCAGTACCTGATGAAAGACTTATTTTGATTCATACAGTGCAGTAGGTTTTCTTTCAAGACAAAAATGTAGCTCACTGGCCTGTGAGCATTTGCTTGCAAGTTCATTCTTGATTGTTGTTACTTAAAATCATGGTATTTTTCTTCACATGACCAAGACCCATATCCACAAAGCATCAAAGATGCTTAAAGATCTAGACAAACAGAAAGCCACAGGACTGGATAACATCCCAGCTAGATTCCTTAGTGATCGTATCGGACCTTATGTAACACACATCATCAACCTTTCCATTCAACATGAAAGGTACCACAAGAGTTGAAGAGTTGTTCCTTTATACAAGAAAGGAAGCAAAGTTGATCAAGGGAACTACAGACCAGGGTCAATCCTGAGTGTGTTGTCAAAGATTTTAGAAAAAGCACTCCATGAACAGATCATAAAGTACATTGATGACCATTACATTTTATATGACCTTCAGTCCGGTTTTGGACAATCCTATTCTACCAACACTTGTTATAATAATTATAATATAATATGCCATTTAGCAGACGCTTTTATCCAAAGCGACTTACAGTCATGCGTGCATACATTTTTTTTGTGTATGGGTGGTCCCGGGGATCGAACCCACTACCTTGGCGTTACAAGCGCCGTGCTCCACCAGCTGAGCTACAGAGGACCTTGTTTACTATACTTGACAGATTTTATCAACATTGAAGGTCCCCAAGAACACAGTGGCCTCCATCATTCTTCAATGGAAGAAGTTTGGAACGACCAAGACTTCCTAGAGCTGGCCGCTCAGATAGAGCTCCAGAGTTCCTCTGTGGAGATGGGAGAACCTTCCAGAAGGACAACCATGTCTGTAGCACTCCACCAATCAGGCCTTTATGGTAGAGTGGCCAGACGGAAGCCACTCTTCATTAAAAGGCACATGACAGCCCGCTTGGAGTTTGCCAAAAGTCTCCTAAAGGACTCTGACCATGATAAACAAGATTCTCTGGTGTGATGAAACCAAGATTGAACTCTTTGGCCTGAATACCAAGCGTCACGTCTGGAGGAAACCTGGCACCATCCCTACAGTGAAGCATGGTGGTGGCAGCATCATGCTGTGGGGATGTTTTTCAGCAGCAGGGACTGGGAGACTAGTCAGGATAGAGGGAAAGATGAACGGAGCAAAGTACAGAGAGAACCTTGATGAAAACCTGCTCCAGAGCGCTCAGGACCTCAGACTGGGGCGAAGGTTCACCTTCCAACAGGACAACGACCCTAAGCACACAGACAAGACAACGCAGGAGTGGCTTTGGGACAAGTCTCTGAATGTCCTTGAGTGGCCCAGCCAGAGCCCGGACTTGAACCCGATCTAACATCTCCTCTGGAGAGACCTGGAAATAGCTGTGCAGTGACTCTCCCCATCCAACCTGACAGAGCTTGAGAGGATCTGCAGAGAAGAATGGTAGAAACTCCCCAAATCAAATTTTATTTGTCACATGCGCCGAATACAACAGGTGTAGACCTTACAGTGAAATGCTTACTTACAAGCCCTTAACCAACAATGCAGTTTTAAGAAAAACAATGCATATAGTCCAGGTAGCCATTTGATTAGCTGTTCAAGAGTCTTATGGCTTGGGAGTAGAAGCTGTTAAGAAGCCTTTTGGACCTAGCATTGGCGCTCCGGTACCGCTTGCCGTGTGGTAGCAGAGAGAACAGTCTATGACTAGGGTGGCTGGAGTCTTTGACAATTTTTAGGGGTTTCCTCTGACACTGCCTGGTATAGAGGTCCTGGATGGCAGGAAGCTTGGCCCCAGTGATGTACTGGGCCGTACGCGCTACCCTCTGTAGTGCCTTGCGGTCGGAGGCCAAGCAGTTGCCATACCAGGTGTGCCAAGCTTGTAGCGTCATACCCAAGAAGACTTGAGGCTGTAATCGCTGCCAAAGGTGCTTCAACAAGGTACTGAGTAAAGGGTCTGAATACTTATGTAAATGTTATATTTCAGTTTTTTTTTAAATATATTTGCAAATATTTCTAGAAACCTGTTTTTGCTTTGTCATTATGGGGTATTGGGTGTAGATTAATTAGGGGGGGAAATGATTTAATCTATTTTAGAATAAGGCTGTAACGTAACAAAATGTGGAAAAGGTCAAGGGGTCTGAATACTTTCCGAATGCACTGTACTTGGGATATGAACTGGACCAACACATGAACGGTGAACTCATGGCTCTGAATGTCATTGGGGATGTTCATTCCAGAACAAAGATCCTGGCAAGGGTAGCCAAGTTCCTGGATACAGAGACTATGAGGACCCTGGCAACATCTCCGATATGGTGCCACTGTGACTATGCTTGTATCTCATGGTTCAGTGGCATTAAAAAAACTCTGAAGTACAAACTTCAAATGGCCCAAAACAAACTAATGAGAATTATACTCAAGCTCAGTCCTAGGATGCACTTTTGTCCTAATCATTTCAGGGAACTGAACTGGCTTCCAAGTGGTGCAGATCAAACTGTTGATGGTTGTTAAAGTTGTACATGACCTTGCCCCCAGTTACCTGTCTGGTTATTTTAATTTCATTAGAGACTCTCATAGCCATCACACCAGAGCCAGTGTTGCCAATATCAGACTGCCGCGCTATTGGAGCATGGTTGGAAAAAGCTTTTTCCTTATCCCTGGTGCAGATTAATGGAATGGTGTACCAAACCATATAAAATCCATCCTTACGCTAGGGAGTTTTAAGATAAACCTTAAGAAAGGGTTTATGGGCAAAATGCTTTAAAACTGCACAGGCTTAAAGAAAGGATCATTGTTTTCAATTAATGTTACATGGTAATCTATGCTATTCCTTTTACAGTTTCCACCCTATTGATGAGATGTATTTGAGATGTATTTAGTTTTTATGTTATCTTGTGTATATTTAGTTTTCATGAGGATCACAATGGAAATATGTTTTTTTAACTTTTTTGTGTCATGCTGAATGATTTTAATGGCATTGTATTGTATCCACATGCGTGGTTGTATTGTGTTCTAAATGGTCAAATAAATCAAATAAAAATATCTCATAAAAGGTCCTAGGAATCCTGTTAAAACCTGTTTTAAGACTAAAATAACTAACTCCCAGCTCAGAGTAGGTTATAGGATGATGTTAAGACAATGTCCAGACAAACTCTAAGCCAGGAGTAAAATCAACTCATAAAAGTTTCTCAGCTGGTAATCATTACAGTTTGAGGCAAAGGAAAGATTGTGATGACGCTCATTGACATTGTTGCAAATTATGGGGAATAACCAATCGCTATGAGGCATCGCTTCAGACAACCACGGTGAATGTGACTGTACATCAAATGTTTGCAATGGTAAAACGTTTGATATCATTTTCACCTGACACAGTCACTTTGCCTACTCTTAATTGTTGCTTAATATGTTGGCATGCATAACCTTTTTTTTAACCAATTCTGATGGATGGAAAAAGTGGAATTTTAACAATATTACCATTATATTAACACGCTCGTCAATCCCGTTTACAGTAGTCATCAAGTCACTTGCCGATAAAGTTGCATACAATGTTTGAAAGGTCTATAATTTACATTGAACTAAAATCAAGGTTAACATAAGCACTAGATACACTATATATACAAAAGTATGTGGACACCCCTTCAAATTAGTGGATTCAGCTATTTCAGCCACATTCGTTGATCCCAGGTGTATTAAATGAAGCACACAGCCATGCAATCTCCATAGACAAATGTTGGCAGTAGAATGGACATTACTGAAGAGCTCAGTGACTTTCAACGTCTCACCGTCATAGGATGCCGCCTTTCCAACAAGTCAGTTCGTCAAATTTATGCCCTGCTGGAGCTGCCTTGATCAACTGGAATTGTTGTTATTGTGAAGTGGAAACGTCTACAAGCAACAACGACTCAGCCGCGAAGTGGTAGGCCACACAAGGTCACAGAACGGGACCACTGAGTGCGTAGCGTAAAAATAATCTGTCCTCGGTTGCAACACACACTACCGAGTTCCAAATTGCCAATGAAAGCAACGTCAGCACAAGAACTGTTCATCGGGAGTTTCATGAAATGGGTTTCCATGGCCGAGCAGCTTCACACAAGCCTAAGATCACCATGCACAATGACAAGCGTCGGCTGGAGTGGTGTAAAGCTCACCACCATTGGACTCTGGAGCAGTGGAAACGCGTTCTCTGGAGTGATGAATCACGCTTCTCCATCTGGCAGTCCGACAAACTAATCTGGGTTTGGCGGATGCCAGGAGAACGTAGTGCCAACTGTAAAGTTTGGTGGTGGAGGAATAATGTTCTGGGGCTGTTTTTCATGGTTCGGGATAGGCCCCTTGGTTCCAATGAAGAGAAATCTTAACGCTACAGCATACAATGACATTCTAGACGATTCTGTGCAGTTTGGGGAAGGCCCTTTCCTGTTTCAGCATGACAATGCCCCTGTGCACAAAGCGAGGTCCATACAGAAATGGTTTGTCGAGATCGGTGTGGAAGAACTTGACTAGCTTGCACAGAGCCCTGACCTCAACCTCATCGAACACCTTTGGGATTAATTGGAACGCCGACTGCGAGCCAGACCTAATCGCCCAACATCAGTGCACGACCTCACTAATGCTCTTGTGGCTGAATGGAAGCAAGTCCCCGCAGCAAGGTTCCAACATCTAGTGGAAAGCCTTCCCAGAAGAGGCTGTTTATAGCAGCAAAGGGGGGACCAACTCCCGAGTGGCGCAGTGGTCTAAGGCGCTGCATCGCAGTGCTAGCTGTGCCACTAGAGATCCTGGTTCGAATCCAGGCTCTGTCGTAGCCGGCCGCGACCGGGAGACACATGGGGCGGCGCACAATTGGCCCAGTGTCGTCCAGGGTAGGGGAGGGGAATGGCCGGCAGGGATGTAGCTCAGTTGGTAGAGCATGGCAATTTGCAATGGCAGGGTTGTGGGTTAGATTCCCACGGGGGGCCAGTATGAAAAATAAAATAATGTATGCACTCACTAACTGTAAGTCGCTCTGGAGAAGAGCGTCTGCTAAATGACTAAAAAAATAAATGAAAAAATATTAATGCCCATAACTTTGGAATGAGATGTTCGACGAGCTGGTGTCCACATACTTTTGGTCATGTAGTGTACCTTAAATTGCCCAATTTATAGGCATGCCCAATTTAGATATATTTTTTAACAACGTGATATAACTTGAAATAACATGATGTAGGTCATTAAATAATCGAAAGAAAACATGTTTATTTATTAGCCTAGTGGTTATAAGTATTTAAGCATATCATGTGAAATAGGCCTTGTGAAATAATTTTTTAATACATTACTTAAACTTAACCCTATGCATTGCAATGTTTTTATTTTCAGACAATTAAAAAAGTATATTTCTAAACTTATGGTATATGATCACACTGGTAATAGATCATTTGTTTTATTACTTGTGAGGGACAGCTGAGTGAGCAAAAATTGAAATCATTGGCTTTATTTTAATTTTAATAGACTGATGGTGCCTGCGTCTGATGGTCAGTCTCTGCAGAGGGAGTCTGACCAAAAGGAGACACCGTCTTCCAGCTGATGGAGAAACTGGAGTCGCACTTCATTATTTCTGCCTCACACCAATTCATGTTGCTACTCCTATGACCAGAGAACGTTAAATATTCCTCGATATTAAAAAAGACACAAGCCGCTAATAATAACAATGCAAGTCTGTCGATACACTTTGTAGTGCGAGTGGATAGGGAGAAGCGCGTTTTATGGCTCATAAAAGTGTTGAATAAAACGTCTAATCAAATTTGATTGGTCACATACATGTGTTTAGCAGATGTTATTGCGGGTGTAGCGAAATGCTTGTGCTCCTAGCTCCGACAGTGCAGTAATATCTAACAAGTAATATCTAACAATTTCACTAAGTATACCCAATACACACAAATCTAAGTAAGGAATGAATTAAGAATATATATACTACCGGTCAAAAGTTTTAGAACACCTACTCATTCAAGGGTTTTTCTTTATTTTTACTATTTTCTACATTGTAGAATAATAGTGAAGACATCAAACTATGAAATAACACATATGGAATCATGTAGTAACCAAAAAAGTGTTAAACAAATCAAAATATATTTTATATTTGAGATTCTTCAAATAGCCACCCTTTGCCTCGATGACTGCTTTGCACACTCTTGGCATTCTCTCAACCAGCTTCACCTGGAATGCTTTTTCAAAAGTCTTGAAGGAGTTCCCACATATGCTGAGCCCTTGTTGGCTGTTTTTCCTTCACTCTGCGGTCTGACTCATCCCAAGCCATCTCAATTTGGTTGAGGTCGGGGGATTGTGGAGGCCAGGTCATCTGATGCAACACCTCCTCCTCCATGCTTTACGGTAGGAAATACACATGCAGAGATCATCCGTTCACCCACACCGCGTCTCACAAAGACACGGCGGTTGGAGCCAAAAATCACAAATTTGGACTCCAGACCAAAGGACAAATTTCCATCGGCCTAATGTCCATTGCTCATGTTTCTTGGCCCAAGCAAGTCTCTTCTTATTATTGGTGTCCTTTAGTAGTGGTTTCTTTGCAGCAATTCGACCATGAAGGCCTGATTCACATAGTCTCCTCTGAGCAGTTGATGTTGAGATGTGTCTGTTACTTGAACTCTGTGAAGCATTTATTTGGGCTGCAATTTCTGAGGCTTGTAACTCTAATGAACTTATCCTCTGCAACAGAGGTAACACTGGGTCTTCCTTTCCTGTGGCGGTCCTCATGAGAGCCAGTTTCATCATAGCGCATGATAGTTTTTGCAATTGCACTTGAAGAAACGTTCAACTTTTCCGTATTGACTGACCTTCATGTCTTAAAGTAATGATGGACTGTCGTTTCTCTTTGCTTATTTGAGCTGTTCTTGCCATAATATGGACTTGGTCTTTTACCAAATAGGGCTATCTTCTGTATACCCCCCTACCTTGTCAAAACACAGCCGATTGGCTCAAACGCATTAAGAAGGAAATAAATTCCACAAATTAACTTTTAGGAAGGCACACCTGTTAATTGAAATGCATTCCAGGTGAGTACCTCATGAAGCTGGTTGAGAGAATGCCAAGAGTGTGCAAAGCTGTCATCAAGGCAAAGGATGGCTATTTGAAGAATCTCAAATCTCAAATATATTTTGATTTATTTAACACTTTTTCGGTTACTACATGATTCCATATGTGTTATTTCATAGTTTTGATGTCTTCACTATTATTCTACAATGTAGAAAATAGTAAAAATAAAGAAAAACCCTTGAATGAGTAGGTGTTCTAAAACCTTTGACCGGTAGTGTACATATATGGACGAGCGATGTCAGAGCGGCATTGGACTAAGATACAGTAGAATAGTATAGAATACAGAATATACATATGAAATGAGGAATGCAAGATATGTAAACATTCTTTAAGTGGTTAGTGTTCCATTTATTTAAGTGGCCAGTGATTTCTAGTCTATGTCTATAGGCAGCAACCTCTAATGTGCTAGTGATGGCTGTTTAACAGTCTGATTGCCTTGATATAGAAGCTGTTTTTCAGTCTTTCGGTCCCAGCTTTGATGCACTTGTACTGACCTCGCCTTCTGGATGATAGCGGGATGAACAGGCAGTGGCTTGGGTGGTTGATGGCCTTGATGATCTTTTTGACCTTCCTGTGACATCGGATGCTGTAGGTGTCCTGGAGGGCGGGTAGTTTGCCCCCAGTAATGCGTTGGGCAGACCGCACCACCCTCTGGAGAGCCTTGCGGTTGCGGGTGGTGCAGTTGCTGTACCAGGCGGTTATACTGCCCGACAGGATGCTCTCCATTGTGCATCTGTAAAAGTTTGTGAGGGTAAAAGTAAAAAAGTAAACATGAACTCACGCATAAAAACAGCAGCTCTTTGCTGTATTCGCTGACAGTCTCTCTTTAGTCATGGTTTTTTAGTTTTGAAATCTCACAGTATCAACTTCGCTGTGGGCTCATGGAAGCTGCACGGTGATCTGCGATATCTGATTTGCCAGCGGTAGGCCTATAGGTGCACTTGATTCACTCTCTGGGTTTGCTGGGTAGACTGAGTTTGTACGTTCAGACACTTGAAATGGTTCAAAATAGGAGCACCTCGACTACCCGGCGCACAAGGCAGCTGAATCAAGTGCACCTACTGCAAAAAAAAACTGGAACACAAGGCTTGGAGATCGACTCGGAATGTCTTGATAATCGACCAGTAGATCGCGATCGACCGTGTTGGTGACTACTGCACTAGAATACATGAAATCTAAATATGTACGCAAGTAACCATCATTATTCCTTATTGTACTTTCTCCTAGCCTGTTTTGTTTTAATGCATTTTGCCCATTAACCATTTCTTAATGTTTGCCTTAAAACTCCCTAGCATACGGATGGATTTTATTTTATTTGGTACACCATTACATGTCATGACTGCATGACATGACTGCAAATTCCACGTGACCGTTTAGGCATGGCAATTAGTCTTCTCCAAGCTCTGATGTTTTGTATCTCTCCTTGTTCGTTATTGTTAAACTCACTAACTGCACCTGCTTCCTGACTCCCTGCGTCTACGTTGCATAATGGAACATACGCGCTTAAAGCCTACTGCCGTGTGCACATTGCTGCGCTTATAATGTGAAGAAATAGCGTAATAGTTTATTAACATTTTAAGCTAAACGTTATCGTCTGTTGCGTCAGGCTCATTGCTTAAAACAGGTTTTTTGTTATGCTAGTGGTTGTATTAATTTGGGATCTATCGCATCCCACAACTGTCCCAGACTATGTTTGTAATATTTATTTCTCGCACAGAATAGAATAGGTGGACTTTTGTACTATGGGGGATAGTAGATAGACATAGGGTAGTGCTTTGCTGTTCATTAGGCCTACTCATCTTGTTGCATGAAGAAAAGTAAATGTGGACAGTTCTTCCAATATCTTCAATATGCGCCTCCAGAATCAGATAAGGACGCGTGCAGTTGCGTCCCCGATGTGTTGGTCTTCACTTGTAGCCTGTGAGAAAGACCCGATCACATGACTGAGAGCCATGTGAGTGAGAGGTGCTTCAGCATGCAGCCGGGAGAAGGGAATTATAATTATTATATTCAGCCCAAGGGCACAATGGCCATTGGCCGCAAAAGGCATGGATTTTTTTAGGGGGCGTTTAGGCCACACAAAGGGGATGCAGCCGGGAAAATCGAGGCATTGTCAAGTGCTTGTCAAATTGTGAATGAGAGACTGATGAAGTGTGTACAGCCTGCACAAAAAAAACTAAGCAGAGCTCATGCCTTTCATGCGACTTTTTTGAAATCATCATTAGAGTCGCATCATGCAGCCAAAAATCAAAACACATAGCTCAACATTTGTATCACAACTGAAGTTACATAAATAACTCTAAATTAAGCATATTCCTAATATTGAGTTGTACCCCCTTTTGCCCTCAGAACAGTCTCAATTTGTCAGGGCATGGACTCTACAAGGTGTCAAAAGCGTTCCACATGGATGGTGGCCCATTGTTACGGATACAGGTATCCTGTGTGTGTATTTGTTTTTCCTCTCCTTCTGCCCTAATCACAGGTGTCCCTTGTTTACCTGATTAGTAGTCGTTGGGGTGTCCCACCTGTCCGACATCCGTTTGTCTGCTGATTGCTGAGGTGGACCAATCAGTGGACATTCCTCCGTATTTGCACCACCTGTTTCTGGTTTTACATTACCATATCAAATGCCCTGGTTTTAAAAGCCAGTCAGTTGTGTTTTCTGAAAGAGGATATTTTCCTTTGTGAGTATTGATACTGTGGTGTCTTGTTTTTGTGTACTCAATCGTTTGCGGTCTAGTCCATATTGGACCTATGTTGTTTGTTTGTGCCTGGGAAAGGGGGGGTTTAGCAAGTCGCCCTTTGGCATACACTACCGTAGGAAAACCTTGTCTAAACACACTAGTTAGACCTGAGCGGACCACCCACTGTATTTTTGTATGATTAGCAGTAGCTTAGCGGTTCTTGAGGCAGGCCAGATCAGTTTAGTTATTTTTTTACTTTATTGTTTCATTCCTTGGGTCCAGCTCAGCCCCTTTTCCCCAAACAGTTTACCGTGTGTTTATAATAAACATTTTGTGTTTGACGGTAGCATATGGTTGTCGGTGTATTTTGTTCTCACTGTTCCTTGTCAATATTCTAATTTGCATGAGTTATGTTACAGTTCTCTTTTCCATCCACCCTAGACTTTTAAAGCCACGGGGTTCATAACACCCATGTTAACTCACTCCATTGCTTCCCACAGTTGTGTCAAGTTGGGTGGTGGACCATTCTTGATACACACGGGAAACTGTTGAGCGTGAAAAACCCAGTAGCGTTGCAGTTCTTGACACAAATCGGTGTGCCTGGCACCTACTACCATACCCCATTCAAAGGCACTTAAATCTTTTGTCTTGTCCATTCACCCTCTGAATGGCACACACACAATCCATGTCTCAGTTTAAAAATCCTTCTTTAACCTGTCTCCTCCCCTTCATCTACACTGATTAAAGTGGATTTAACAAGTGACATCAGTAAGGGTTCATAGTGTTCACCTGGATTCACCTGGTCAGTCTATGTCATGGAAAGAGTTGGTGTCCTTAATGTTTAGTACACTCAGTGTATATGAGGCAATTTAGCAATTAGGATTTGTTATCTCTAATGGTTATGATAAATTAGGCATTGTTGCTCACTGTTTGCATATAGATAAATGCTCACCTTTTTTTCCAGTGCACCAATGTTCTAAGAATAGCTTTTTAATTTGATTTGAGTACTAAAAATTATCATGCGAGTACTCGAACAGTCAAAATAGGTAAAATGCCCATCCCTACTCCTGTGGCACCTTTCTCCGTTGAATGGAAAGGTTGATGTGTGTTACATAAAGTCCAGTACGATCTGCAGCATCACTCAAGAGTTGCAAAGAAAAATCCATATCTCAGACTGGCCATTAAAAATGAAAGATTAAGATGGGCAGTCTGAGATATGGCTTTTTCTTTGCAACTCTGCCAAGAAGGTCAGCATCCCGGAGTCGCCTCTTCACTGTTGACGTTGAGGCTGGTGTTTTGCGGGTACTATTTAATGTACACAGCGTTATACGAGACCTTCAGTTTCTTGGCAATTTCTCGCATGGAATAGTCTTCATTTCTCAGAACAAGAATAGACTGACGAGTTTCAGAAGAAAGTTCTTTGTTTCTGGCCATTTTGAGCCTGTAATCGAACCCACAATTGCTGATGCTCCAGATACTCAACTAGTCTCAAGAAGGCCAGTTTTATTGCTTCTTTAGGCAGCACAACCGTTTTCAGCTGTGTAACATAATTATAAAAGGGTTTTCTAATGATCAATTAGCCTTTTAAAATGATAAACTTGGATTAGCAAACACAACGTGCCATTGGAACACAGGACTGATGGTTGCTGATAATGGGCCTCTGTACGCCTATGTAGATATTCCATTAAGAATCAGCCGTTTCCAGCTACAATAGCCATTTACAACATTAACAATGTCTACACTGTATTTCTGATCAATTTGCTGTTATTTTAACGAAAGGACATTTCTAAGTGACCCCACATTTTTGAAAGGTAGTGTACATATTGTGTGTAGATGAAAATATTTTTAGGCTACTCACACAGACCAATTATTCCATATCTCTCCCCACTCTCTGTCTCTGCAGGATGAACTTGACCTCACAGAGAAACACAGGGAGGCCATGTTCAACCTGCCTGCAGAAAAGAAATGGCAGATCTACTGCAGCAAGAAGAAGGTAGGTTTTCCTGTCTACATTATTGTGTGCTTGTCATGTCATTCAAGTGTGTCTGCGTGCATATGTATGTTTGTGTCGGTCTCCCTGTTATAGTCATCTTGATATTAGGGCATTTCTGTGCCCCATTAAGAGGGCGTAATGCAAGCCCAAGCATCTTGCCCTTTTAGCTTAACCAATCCATCACTGGTTAATTTCAACAGAAACCTGTGCCTACTTCTCCAAAACATTTTAGAGGACCACTCCACTTAATGAATCAGCAAAGCATCTTATCTCATTTACCAAAGAGCTGAAGTGAATAAATCTCTCATCGAGTGGAATGGCCCACAATATTAATGTGCCCCCCTCCCCCTGTACCAGTCACAATAACTCTTGCTGAAGTTTCTCATTTGCCTGAAGCAGTGCAACGGTTTCAAGCTGCCAAAACGCAGGATAGCTGCTTTCTGTGGAGAAAAGTCTGTAAGAGGATGTTTAGTATTTTCCTGTACTCCTTGACCCCTATGAGAGGTCTTTTGGGTGGAGCCTGTCGCCATTTAGAGATGCTGCCCATCTCCCCACACTTTAGTTGTTTTAAGGCCATGGCGAAGTGCAGGATATCCTTAGCCAGTTGGAGGCTGGGTAGGTTGCACAAATCTGTTGCTTTATCCCATCGTTAACTCCAGGTGATGAGGCAGGGGAGTCGAATTCGCTGACCAGGATAATACACAAAAGGAACCATCCTGCAGGGATATGACTGCACAGCTGCTTTTCCAAAGACTTCAGCTGTAGAATTGTCCGTGCTGGTATTCTCAGAAAGTCCAGATAATTTGGAAGATTTATGATCGTAGGTAAAAGGATATATTAACTGCATGAGTTTTAGTGATATGAATTGTATTTGGTCTGAGCTGTATCTGGTTAATGGTCTTGAAGGGAGACCGGAGTTTGATACAAGATGATAGATCGCTCAATGTCTGGAATGGAGTATGAAAGTGAAAGTGGTGAGAGACAGCTTAGTTTTGTTGGAGTAACAACTTAGAAAATATGGTTTGTACTCTCACAGTGAGTCTAGGGAGTTGATAAGGGCACGCCACATTTCACATTCAGTCACAACTGGTGACCTCATCAGCTTTTTGACATGTATCCTCTCTGCCCTCATCCACACTCTGCTTACTGCTGGACTTTTTGGACTCCCGTCTTGGGACATTACCCTTGGGTCTCACCAAACGACCTTTCCATGACCTGTCTGTACAACTCATCCTCAAGCATTGGCTGTTGATCCTTATATGGACACTAAAACCCCTACACTGCCTCTTACATATCCAATGTTTGTCCTTTGCTTACTGAGTTTTAGGCTTGTCCATACAACAGGTTGCCATGGTTTAATTCCAGGACCTTTTGAAGCAGCATGATCCTGGAAAAACAAATTCCAAGAAAGAACTGCCTCCCTCCTTAGCCTGAAGATGGATGATTCCACTGTCTAGAGTAGCAGAATGCATATTCTAATGTTTGTCACATGCTGCTTTAAGATATTAATATTATCTTGACAACGAAGCTACCCCACCCCTCAATCTCTGCAGCCTCACCTCAAACAGAAGCTTTAACTCTCTTCGAAGCTCTGGAGAGACAAGGCGGCCATTTTATCTAATGCTTCCCATCAGCCTCCAACAATGAGGATTTTAATTTGGTCCAGATGGCAGGCAGACACCAGGTTCTGCATTGTAGAATAATAGTGAAGACTTCAAAACTATGAAATAACACATATGGAATCATGTAGTAACAAAAAAAGTGTTAAACAAATCAAAATATATTTTATATTTGAGATTCTTTAAATAGCCACCCTTTGCCTTGACGACAGCTTTGCACACTCTTGGCATTCTCTCAACCAGCTTCATGAGGTAGTCACCTGGAATGCATTTCAATTAACAGGTGTGCGTTCTTAAAAGTTAATTTGTGGAATTTCTTTCCTCCTTAATGCGTTTGAGCCAATCAGTTGTGTTGTGACAAGGTAGGGGGGGTATACAGAAGATAGCCCTATTTGGTAAAAGACCAAGTCCATATTATGGCAAGAACAGCTCAAATAAGCAAAGAGAAATGACAGTCCATCATTACTTTAAGACATGAAGGTCAGTCCGGAAAATTTCAAGAACATTGAACGTTTCTTCAAGTGCAGTCGCAAAAACCATCAAGCGCTATGATGAAACTGGCTCTCATGAGGACCGCCACAGGAAAGGAAGACCCAGAGTTACCTCTGCTGCAGAGGATAAGTTCATTAGAGTTACCAGCCTCAGAAATTGCAGCCCAAATAAATGCTTCACAGAGTTCAAGTCACAGACACATCTCAACATCAACTGTTCAGAGGGAACTGTGTGAATCAGACCTTCATGGTCGAATTGCTGCAAAGAAACCACTACTAAAGGACACCAATAAGAAGAAGAGACCTGCTTGGGCCAAGAAACACTAGCGATGGACATTTGTCCTTTGGTCTGGAGTCCAAATTGGTGATTTTTGGTTCCAACCGCCATGTCTTTGTGAGACGCGGTGTGGGTGAACGGATGATCTCTGCATGTGTAGTTCTCACCATAAAGCATGGAGGTGTTATGGTATGGGGGTGCATTGCTGGTGACACTGTCTGTGATTTATTTAGAATTCAAGGCACACTTAACCAGCATGGCTACCACAGCATTCTGCAGCGATACGCCATCCCATCTGGTTTGGGCTTAGTGGGACTATAATTTGTTTTTCAACAGGACAATGACCCAACACACCTCCAGGCTGTGTAAGGGCTATTTGATCAAGGAGAGTGATGATGCTGCATCAGATGACCTGGCCTCCACAATCCCCCAACCTCAACCCAATTGAGATGGTTTGGGATGAGACGGACGGCAGAGTGAAGGAAAAGCAGCCAACAAGTGCACAGCAAATGTGGGAACTCCTTCAAGACTGTTGGAAAAGAATTCCAGGTGAAGCTGGTTGAGAGACTGCCAAGAGTGTGCAAAGCTGTCATCGAGGCAAAGGGTGGCTATTTGAAGAATCTCAAATATAAAATATATTTTGATTTGTTTAACACTTTTTTGGTTACTACATGATTCCATATGTGTTATTTCATAGTTTTGATGTCTTCACTATTATTCTACAATGTAGAAAATAGTAAAAATAAAGAAAAACCCTTGAATGAGTAGGTGTGTCCAAACTTTTGACTGGTAGTGTACATAGCCTTCTTTTGTTAGGCACACTAATCAGAGGACTAGGTAGATCTATCACCATATTGCTAACCCTATCCAGTCCATTCAGATCTGTGAAAAATAAGTCGTACTCTGCTTCTCCCACTTTTACTTTTCCATCATGGATGGGTCTCTCTTGTTCTGCTCTTGTGCAGACCAGGTTGGTCACTGTGGTCTGCCCACACTGTGGTCTGACCCATGCCAGACCTAGGCTGCAGACTTTAAAAGAGTTGGCTTGTGATTTCCCTCACACCTCCTTACACAGTCGGTTAGATAAAACGCAATTGTCCACTCCTGACGGCGAAACTACTTACTCTACTGCACGTGCCGTGCCCCAATTAGTGGCCTAATTAAGAATCATCTAGGGGCCTGGACTAGCCTAAATGGGTCTCCCTGCATCTGAAAACAAGCCAAAAATGTCTCCATGCCCTCATTATTATAAAGGGGAGAAATGCTTGCAGTTGCACTTTATCCAACCTGCTTTCTCTTCACTATGTTATTTTTATTTTTCTCTCTTTCTCTCCCTCTTTCACTTGATTCTTTCTGCATGTTTGCTTAGCTGTGGTCCAAGGCAGCGTGGATCAGCAGGATTTTGCTGAGATTTTTAACCAGTGTTGCAGTGAGGATCAAAGCAGGGTAGTGTGTTTGGGCACAATTAATCAGCAGAGTTGGAGGAGGATTAATCCCTAGAGCCAGTGTGGAGGAAGGGGAAGCGGGAGAGAGGGGATGGATGGATGGCCTTTGGGAGGTAGTTGGCTGCGGAGAGAGGGGAGTCTTGGCAGCGGGACGTCAATAATGCAGACTCAGCAGTGAGCCTGGCCCGGGCCCAGCTAGCAAGGGCTTGGCATGGCTCCCCAAAGGCCTAAAGCTCACAGACAGAGCGGGTGGGGGGTTGTAAGGGAAGTGCTCAGTCGTCCAAAGCAAACAGGAAAGCCTCCCTTGGCAGGTGCAGCTTTTGTTTTCGAGGGAGAGGGGGATGAGGGAGATGAGGCTGGGGTTGGTGGTGGGGGCGGCCAAGCCCGCAGAGTGATGGAGGCACTCCTTTCTCAGTCCCCCCTTCACAGCCAGCCAGTTCATTATGGAGCCTTTGTGTTCCAGAGGACTTGGATACGGTAACAGTTATCCAGTAAACACGATCCCCTGCAAGTTCCGCAGAACAAGCGACGGATGGTGAGGCTAGCAGCGGTGCTGTCTCTCTGAATGAATTGGATGTTTGCTTTGGCTCGGCCACCTGAATTGATGAGGTCATGCTGGAGAGCATCAATCTCTTTCCACATTTCCTTTCGTATGGTTTCCTCTGTATTTGTCTCTGTTAATCAAGAGGTGCCCTGGTTAGTTGCTCTGTTCGCAGATCTGCAGTTGAAACACAAGCAAAATGAAGGACGCTATGGGGGATGCATGTTTTTTTCTGTTCAAATATTTCTTTTATATATATTTTTTTGTTGTTGGTCAAATCCACTTTGCACTTTTGCAATCTGCTTTAAAAGTTATTATAGTTCCCTCCCTGGGTGCACTAACTACAGTAGGCACAATGCCACCCAATTATGTTCCAGATTCTGGATTATGTCCCAGGTGAAAGTACACATGTGCACACACACACACAGAGGCATACTACTGATTATGTTTGGGTGAAGGCAGTTTTGTTTTGCTATATGGAATCCAGTGTAGTTGCTGTTGTTTTAGTTTCAGTCAACTTTCTTGTCAGCCCTAGACTATGGCGACATAATCTATATGAACACAGCTGCCACTTCTTTATCACTAGAACCGCTGGGCCTCGAGGGACCCCCCTTCAAACTAATGAGCAGTCATTCTGACTGCAACATTCTAGCAGCGTAATTAATACATTTCATATATGCTATCACAAAAAGTATAATTTGGGTGTGTTTGACGGTCTTTGGTAACCTTAGAATACATCAATGTTTTTATAACACAATAGCATTTTCATTCGTTTGTTACTGTAGACTATATGTAAAAATATTGTTATTCTTTTAAGAAAAAAAAGTTAACGCGTTCAATCAATTTTATTTGTGGAGGGCCTTTATTACAACTATGAAATAGAACGCATATGTGTTGGAACATGGTAACAACTTCTTGACAAAATATATATTTTAAATACCCCTACCACCAAGACGCACGGTCAGATAATGAAAACATCAGAAGACTAAACATAATTATAAGCGCCAATTGTGTTTGATAAAGTGAAAATCAGCACAAAAGTGGCATTACAAAACAACAATAGTGTTATAATTTGACTGCTGTCGATATGCTGATAATCTGACCGTAGCATTGTCACCGGCTGGTTCAATCCAAACAGTGTCGTCCCTTCCTGTCTCACCGTTTCGTTTGGTGGTGGCAAGGGCACCTGCTCAGTGCGCACCGTTCTGGCTTTTTTGCGCTTAGGCCTTGGGGGTGTAGGTTCAGGCTGAGGCTTAGAATTAGAAGTAGAATCATCAGAAATGTCATGATTCATTTCTTCCCTACCATCTGAGTCGTTTTCATTCAGATCTTGTAGCAGCGCTGACGCAGCATCTGCATCCATTCGTCTTGGTATTCTTGCCACTGTAAATTACGCACGCTCTCACTGTGTACTCCAAGTAGGGTAGAGTGATAAGACTGCTTGGATTCGATGGACTGATATAGGGTACATTCCATTTTGAGATTACTAGAATAGATCAATAAAATAAAATGGCCCACCTTGTTCTTCATTCACAATTTGTGATTACATAATTATGCATCATTCACTTCCCCTCACTCATCAACTCACCCATTCTCCACCATTCTCCCCCTTTCTCCCATCATAATTTACTTCATTTATTTGATATTTGTGAAATTAGTTTTGGTATAGTTTAGGGGCAATTATCAATGTGAATATCAACTGGGCACAGCGAGAAGGTGCGGAGCAGGCCCTACTTTCGGGAGAAGGAGGAGCAATGTGGAAAAACCAAAAATGACATTACATTTACATTTACATTTTCGTCATTTAGCAGACGCTCTTATCCAGAGCGACTTACAAATTGGTGCATTCACCTTATGATAGCCAGTGGGACAACCACTTTACAATATATCAATATATATATTTTTTTTAAACATTTGGGGGGAAGGGTAGAAGGATTACTTTTATCCTATCCCAGGTATTCCTTAAAGTGGTGGGGTTTCAAGTGTCTCCGGAAGGTGGTGAGTGACTCCGCTGTCCTGGCGTCGTGAGGGAGCTTGTTCCACCATTGGGGTGCCAGAGCAGTGAACAGTTTTGACTGGGCTGAGCGTGAACTGTGCTTCCGCAGAGGTAGGGGGGCCAGCAGGCCAGAGGTGGATGAACGCAATGCCCTCGTTTGGGTGTAGGGACTGATCAGAGCCTGAAGGTACGGAGGTGCCGTTCCCCTCACAGCTCCATAGGCAAGCATCATGGTCTTGTAGCAGATGCGGGCTTCAACTGGAAGCCAGTGGAGTGTGCGGAGGAGCGGGGTGACGTGAGAGAACTTGGGAAGGTTGAACACCAGACAGGCTGCAGCGTTCTGGATGAGTTGTAGGGGTTTAATGGCACAGGCAGGGAGCCCAGCCAACAGTGAGTTGCAGTAATCCAGACCGGAGATGACAAGTGCCTGGATTAGGACCTGTGCCCTCCTAAAACTGATTTTAACTCACTTTCTGTAGGTGATATTAAGATTCTACCAACGACAGTGTGTTATATAGACTTATTTAGGAAAAATCAAGGACGGAGGGGGGCATGACTTAAAAAATAAGAGTAATACATTTTTTAAATTCATGAGCAGTCAAAATGACTGCTTTAGTGGTTCTAGTGTTAAAAACCATTGGATGCTGTTTATCATAGAGCACTACGGTTTATTATGGATTACCGATTTTGCTCTCGTGCTAAAACTACCATACTGTATTACCTCACATCGCTCCTAATTTACAGAAGTACAAAATACATTACTCGCTCACAGGAATGGCTAACTTGAAATTCCTCGCCGCCAACGATTTAGGTAAAACAGCCTTTCGTTTTTATGCGCCACATACTTGAACAAATTTCTGAATACCCTGCGATTGGATGCACTAGTGCTTTTCTGCCATTTATGGGTATTGGTAAATTACCTGTTCTCAGAAGATAAAAAAATTAATAAACACTACCGTTCAAAAGTTTGGGGTCACTTAGAAATGTCCTTGTTTTCGAAAGAAAACCAATTGTTTTGTCCATTAAAATAACATCAAATGGATCAGAAATACAGTGTAGACATTGTTAATGTTGTAAATGGCTATTGTAGCTGGAAACGGCAGATTTTTAATGGACTATCTACATAGGCGTACAGAGGCCCATTATCAGAAAAAGCCATATCTCAGACTGGCCAATAAAAAGAAAAGATTAAGATGGGCAGTCTGAGATATGGCTTTTTGTTTGCAACTTTGCCTAGAAGGTCAGCATCCCGGAGTCGCCTCTTCACTGTTGACGTTGAGACTGGTGTTTTGCGGGTACTATTTAATGAAGCTGCCAGTTGAGGACCTGTGAGGCGTCTGTTTCTCAAACTAGACACTAATGTATTAATAATGTAAAATAACATCAAATTGATCAGAAATACAGTGTAGACATTGTTAATGTTGTAAATGGCTATTGTAGCTGGAAACGGCAGATTTTTAATGGAATATCTACATAGGTGTACAGAGGCCCATTATCAGCAACCATCAGTCCTGTGTTCCAATGGCACGTTGTGTTTGCTAATCCAAGTTTATCTTTTTAAAAGGCTAATTGATCATTAGAAAACCCTTTTGCAATTATGTTAGCACAGCTGAAAACTGTGGTGATGATTAAATAAGCAATAAAACTGGCCTTCTTGAGACTAGTTGAGTATCTGCAGCAATTCTGGGTTCGATTACAGGCTCAAAATGGCCAGAAACAAAGAACTTTCTTCTGAAACTCGTCAATCTGTTCTTGTTCTGAAAAATGAAGGCTATTCCATGCGAGAAATTGCCAAGAAACTGAAGATCTCGTACAACGCTGTGTACTACTCCCTTCACAGAACAGCGCAAACTGGCTCTAACCAGGATAGAAAGAGGAGTGGGAGGCCCCGGTGCACAACTGAGCAAGAGGACAAATACATTAGTGTCTAGTTTGAGAAACAGACGCCTCACAGGTCCTCAACTGGCAGCTTCATTAAATAGTACCCGCAAAACACCAGTCTCAACGTCAACAGTGAAGAGGCGACTCCGGGATGCTGACCTTCTAGGCAGAGTTGCAAAGAAAAAGCCATATCTCAGACTGCCCATCTTAATCTTTTATTTTTATTGGCCAGTCTGAGATATGGCTTTTTCTGATAATGGGCCTCTGTACGCCTATGTAGATAGTCCATTAAAAACTAGCCGTTTCCAGCTACAATAGCCATTTACAACATGAACAATGTCTACACTGTATTTCTGATCAATTTGATGTTATTTTAATGGACAGAAAAATTGCTTTTCTTTTGAAAACAAGGACATTTCTAAGTGACCCCAAACTTTTGAACGGTAGTGTATATAATTTGTGTTATTCCTTATTATTTATTTTGTGTTTTCTGCATTTTTGTGAAGCAGGGCTCCCTTGAAAAATAGACTTTGGTCTCAATGGGGCATCCCTGATTAAATAAAGGTTAAATAAATAAATGTTACCATGCTCTCTGTAGTGAACTGCCAGTGCCAGCAAACCATCAAATCTAGGCTGCCATGGTTTGGGGTTGACCCTCATTTCAGGTCTCAGGTGAGGTAAAGTCACTGTGCAAAGTTAGACTAGCTGACCTACGCTACACTAGACAAACACTCTGGCATATACCCTACATGACCAGAAGTATGTGGACATCTGCTCGTCGAACATCTCATTCCAAAATCATGGGCATTAATATGGAGTTGGTCCCCCTTGTGCTGCTATAACAGCCTCCACTCTTCTGGGAAGGCTTTCCGCTAGATGTTGGAACATTGTTGCAGGGATTTGCTTCCATTCAGCCACGAGCATTGGTGAGGTCGGACACTGATGTTGGGCAATTAGGCCTGGCTCGCAGTTGGCGTTCCAATTCATCCCAAAGGTGTTCGATGGGGTTGAGGTCATTGCTTTGTGCAGGCCAGTCAAGTTCTTCCACACCGAACTCGACAAACCATTTCTATATGGACCTCGCTTTGTGCACGGGGGCATTGTCATGCTAAACAGGAAAGGGCCTTCCCCAAACTGATGCCACAAAATTGGAAGCACAGAATCATCTAGAATGTCAATGTATGCTGTAGCATTAAGATTTCCCTTTACTGGAACTAAGAGGCCTAGCCCGAACCATGAAAAACAGCTCCAGACCATTATTCCTCCGCCACCAAACTTTAAAGTTGGCACTATGCATTCGGGCAGGTAGCGTTCTCCTGGCATCCGCCAAACCCAGATTAATCCGTGGGACTGCCAGATGGTGAAGCGTGATTCATCACTCCAGAGAACACGTTTCCACTGCTCCCTAGTCCAATGGCGGCAAGCTTTGTACCACTCCAGCCGTCGCTTGGCATTGCGCAAGGTGATCTTAGGCTTGTGTGCGGCTGCTCGGCCATGGAAACCCATTTCATGAAGCTCCCGACAAACAGTTATTGTGCTGACGTTGCTTCCAGATGCAGTTTGGAAAGTAGTGAGTGTTGTAACCGAGGACAGACTATTGTTAGGTGCTACGCACTTCAGCACTCAGTGGTCCCATTCTGTGAACTTGTGTGGCCTACCACATCGCGGCTGAGCCATTGTTGCTGCTAGACGTTTCCACTTCACAATAACAACACTTACAGTTGGCCGAGGCAGAAATTTGACAAACTGACTTGTTGGAAAGGTGGCGTCCTATGACGGTGCCACGTTGAAAGTCATTGAGCTCTTCAGTAAGTCCATTCTACTGCCACCATTTGTCTATGGAGATTGCATGGCTGTGTGCTCGATTTTATACACCTGTCAGCAATGGGTGTGGCTGAAATACCCGAATCCACTAATTTGAAGGGGTGTCCACATATTTTTGTATATATAGTGTATGTAAATCTTTGTAGGCCCATGCTGGTCAACATGACTTTGAAGGGAGGCAACTGAGTTGAGGGCTGCTGGCCACCTATGTGTTTTTCCGTCTTAAGGTCAGTACTGGAGGTGCCAGAGAGAGACGCCAGTTTTTACCCAGATTTCCAAAAGCAACCACCGAATGAATAAAAAAAGCAGACAGCTTAGAGTTCACTCAAAGTTGACTCTGAATTGCACAAGATCAAATCTGTCTTGACGAATGCAATATGTAGCACATTATGTATGGAGAAAACAAAAATGTTGGCCAATGTTGGATTTTTGAGGTTGGTTCTTTTTTAAATTTATTTTACATTTTGGTTTCTCTGAGCAGTTGTATTTGTATAATATAATATAATTTTCCAAATGTTTTCAGCATACAATATAGCTCAGTATTAGTATTATTTATTGTATACAGTCTTTTTGGCACATCTTTATCAAGGGTGCCAATAATTTTGGAGGTGACTATAGGTTGTATGCCATTTGGTCTGCCTGCTTGTAGTCCCAAAACTGAAATAGAGCAGAGACTCAAAGTAGGACAGTGCAGATAAGAGGGCCTAGTTTATTTTCAACTCATCTCTGAGAACTGTGGCCCAGAACACAGAGGAAGAAAACCATCCTTTATGTCCATAGATTCTGCCTGGCTACATGCGAAAGCACAACCTTGATGATAACCTTGGGAGATCAATGAACAAATGCTCAAGTTGTGCATTGGGGACATTGTTCGAATTTGGCAGGCAACATCTGCCTTGCAGGGCTGTAGTCCATTAATTACAGTGGGCTCCAAAAGTATTGGGGCAGTCACTGTTGTTGTTGTTTTGGCTAGGTACTCCAGCACTATGGATTTCAAATGATACAATGACTATGAGGTTAAAGTGCAGACTATCAGCCTTAATTTGAAGGTATTTTCATCCATATCGGGTGAACTGTTTAGAAATTACAGCACTTTTTGTACATAGTCCCTTCATTTTAGTTGACCAAAAGTATTGGGATAAATTCACTTACGTGTATTAAAGTAGTCAAAAGTTTAGTGTTTGGTTCCATATTCCTAGTATGCAATGATTACATCAAGCTTGTCACTCTACAAACTTGTTGGATGCATTTGCGGTTTGTTTTGGTTGTGTTTACATTTTACATTTACATTTTAGTCATTTAGCAGACGCTCTTATCCAGAGCGATTTACAGTTCGTTTCAGATTATTTTGCATCCAACAAGTTTGTGGAGTCACAAGTATGATGTAATCATTGCGTGCTAGGAATATGGGACCAAATACTAAACATTTGACTACTTTAATACACATTAGTGAATTTGTCCTAATGCTTTTGGTCCCCTAAAATGGGGGGACTATGTACAAAAAGTGCTGTAATTTCTAAATGGTTCACCCAATATGGATGAAAATACCCTAACATTTAAGAAAAAATCCACCCAGAGCCACTCAATCCTTTAATTTACAGTGTTAAATAACACTAATATGTGAGAACAATACTTTTTGTGAACAAACATTTCATTTTGGTGTTATAAAAACGTTGGTAGCAACATGGAAAATTGTTGTGGAAATTTGTTGCACCTCAAGTCGGCTACAAAATCCACAATGCAATGCTCTCTATGGGCTGGATAGCTAGCTAGCAAACGTGGCTACACACAATAATACCAAAGACAATATCAGCATGAAACATAGCTAGTTAGATTTAACATTGCCTAAACAAACTACACTATCAATTTAGGAGTCTACAATCTCTTTTCTATAATATACACTGCTCAAAAAAATAAAGGGAACACTTAAACAACACATCCTAGATCTGAATGAATAAAATAATCTTATTAAATACTTTTTTCTTTACATAGTTGAATGTGCTGACAACAAAATCACACAAAAATGATCAATGGAAATCAAATGTATCAACCCATGGAGGTCTGGATTTGGAGTCACCCTCAAAATTAAAGTGGAAAACTACACTACAGGCTGATCCAACTTTGATGTAATGTCCTTAAAATAAGTCAAAATGAGGCTCAGTAGTGTGTGTGGCCTCCACGTGCCTGTATGACCTCCCTACAACGCCTGGGCATGCTCCTGATGAGGTGGCGGATGGTCTCCTGAAGGATCTCCTCCCAGACCTGGACTAAAGCATCCGCCAACTCCTGGGCAGTCTGTGGTGCAACGTGGCGTTGGTGAACGGAGCGAGACATGATGTCCCAGATGTGCTCAATTGGATTCAGGTCTGGGGAACGGGCGGGCCAGTCCATAGCATCAATGCCTTCCTCTTGCAGGAACTGCTGACACACTCCAGCCACATGAGGTCTAGCATTGTCTTGCATTAGGAGGAACCCAGGGCCAACCGCACCAGCATATGGTCTCACAAGGGGTCTGAGAATCTCATCTGGGTACCTAATGGCAGTCAGGCTACCTCTGGCGAGCACATGGAGGGCTGTGCGGCCCCCCAAAGAAATGCCACCCCACACCATGACTGACCCACCGCCAAATCGGTCATGCTGGAGGATGTTGCAGGCAGCAGAACGTTCTCCACGGCGTCTCCAGACTCTGTCACATCTGTCACATGTGCTCAGTGTGAACCTGCTTTCATCTGTGAAGAGCACAGGGCGCCAGTGGCGAATTTGCCAATCTTGGTGTTCTCTGGCAAATGCCAAACGTCCTGCACGGTGTTGGGCAGTAAGCACAACCCCCACCTGTGGACGTCGGGCCCTCATACCACCCTCATGGAGTCTGTTTCTGACCGTTTGAGCAGACACATGCACATTTGTGGCCTGCTGGAGGTCATTTTGCAGGGCTCTGGCAGTGCTCCTCCTGCTCCTCTTTGCACAAAGGCGGAGGTAGCAGTCCTGCTGCTGGGTTGTTGCCCTCCTACGGCCTCCTCCACGTCTCCTGATGTACTGGCCTGTCTCCTGGTAGCGCCTCCATGCTCTGGACACTACGCTGACAGACACAGCAAACCTTCTTGCCACAGCTCGCATTGATGTGCCATCCTGGACGAGCTGCACTACCTGAGCCACTTGTGTGGGTTGTAGACTCCGTCTCATGCTACCACTAGAGTGAAAGCACCGCCAGCATTCAAAAGTGACCAAAACATCAGCCAGGAAGCATAGGAACTGAGAAGTGGTCTGTGGTTCACCACCTGCAGAACCACTTCTTTATTGGGGGTGTCTTGCTAATTGCCTATAATTTCTACCTGTTGTCTATTCCATTTGCACAACAGCATGTGACATTTATTGTCAATCAGTGTTGCTTCCTAAGTGGACAGTTTGATTTCACAGAAGTGTGATTGACTTGGAGTTACATTGTGTTGTTTATGTGTTCCCTTTATTTTTTTGAGCAGTGTATTTTCTATAATATCTCTGAAAACTGCACCATGCAATGCACCCTGGACTAAAGAGGCAGACAAATAGGAAAAATATACTAGACCCTCCATTAAATTACACATTTCTCGAGGTAGGAATATTGCAAAAATATGATCAAGACATCCTCCCGAGTTATGACATCGGCCAGGATTGAAATCTGACATGTATGATGGATGTTTTTGCGATCTAAAAGTCGTATTCCTATTAACTTCCGGTGTAGTGAGAACGACTAAATCACGGTGCTACGTAATACCGTCCGGATTTCTCCCTGCCTGAACGCCAATAAACTCAGATACACATAAAACATGAAATGACCCAGGGAATCGCTAGAACATCACTCAGAGATGCACATAAACAATATAGCAATTCCCTTTAAGGCTGACAGTCTGCACTTTAACCTCATAGTCATTGTATCATTTCAAATCCAAAGTGCTGGAGTACAGAGCCTAAACAACAACAAAATTGTCACTGTCCCAATATTTTGGAGCTCACTGTAATTAGTGGACTACAGCCCTGCCAAATTCGAGCAATGTCCCCAATGCACAAGTTGAGCATTCATTCACTAATCTCCCAAGGTTTTCATCAAGCTTGTGCTTTCAAATGTAGCCAGGCAGAATCTATGGCCATAAAGGTTGGTTTTTCTTCCTCTGTGTTCTGGGCCACAGTTCTCAGTGACAAGTTGAAGATAAACTAGGCCCCCTTATCTGCACTGTCCTACTTTGAGTGTCTGCTCTATTTCAGTTTGGACTATTCATGTACTAGATCTACTCCCTGTTTCTTGTGTAAAGTTGTGTGAGCGTGTGTTTGCGCTCATATATTTTGTGTTCATGTTGTGTGTTTTGTGTCTGTGCACACATGCCTGTTTATGTCAGTGTGAATTGTGTGTAAAGTAGGTCATTTACTCTCTGGGCCCCTGAATCGAAGTGACAAATGTGCTACATTTGTTTCTGTTTTCAAGAGGAAATGCCTGTCATGTGATGGCTGCAATGGCATGTGAAATGTGTTATTCCCATGGTTCTCATTCAGAATATATAATTTCCACATTGTGTTACCAGCATTTTATTCCAACTATCCAATTCCCACTAATTTCATGCTTTACATTACTTTAATCATTCTGTCCTGTTATACATTTACATTTACGTCATTTAGCAGACGCTCTTATCCAGAGCGACTTACAAATTGGTGCATTCACCTTATGATAGCCAGTAGGACAACCACTTTACCATTTATTTATTTTTATTTTCATTTTAAAAATATTTTGTATTTGTTTCGATTTTATATTAGTTTTTATTTTGTTAATGTTATTTATTTTATTTTTTATTGTAATTTAAATAAAATAAAACTATACATATGTGTGGGGGGGGGGGGGGGGGGGGGGGGGGGGTAGAAGGATTACTTTTATACTATCCCAGGTATTCCTTAAAGAGGTAGGGTTTCAAGTGTCTCCGGAAGGTGGTCAGTGACTCCGCTGTCCTGGCGTCGTGTGGGAACTTGTTCCACCATTGGGGTGCCAGAGCAGCGAACAGTTTTGATTGGGCTGAGCGGGAACTGTGCTTCCGCAGAGGTAGGGGGACCAGCAGGCCAGAGGTGGAAGAACGCAATGCCCTCGTTTGGGTGTAGGGACTGATCAGAGCCTGAAGGTACGGAGGTGCCGTTCCCCTCACAGCTCCATAGGCAAGCACCATGGTCTTGTAGCAGATGCAAGCTTATTGTTGAGGATGTTTTCATCTTAAGTAGGACATATGATTGATTGGAGTCATGATAATTAAAAACAATATGCCTCCGTTACCATGTTTTATTCTCAACACCTCTGTGCTCCCGGTCTCTTTACATGCCTCAGGCTGTGTCCTGCGTGAAGTGTGCACACTTTCTTGCATGGACTTAACAATGGTGGAAACTCAGTCCAGCCAATGCTTACACCAATCATTTGAGATTGTACAAGTGCACCCTGCTGGAAAAGGGTGGAGAATTTAGACGCAGCCATAGTGGAAGACTCTAACTGACCAAAGACATACTCTCTTCTCCTCTTTTTTTTTTAGGAACAAGAGGAGAACAAAGGTGCAACCAGCTGGCCAGAGTATTACATTGACCAGCTCAATTCCATGGCCGCCGTAAGTAATGACTCCTTGTCATTCTTTACTGTAGGTCTCTTTACTATGATTTTGTGTCAATCTCTGTCATTGACACTTCCAAAGTGAGTGTAGAGTCTACAGTGGTACTGAATTTCACTTTCACACTCCTTAAACAGATCTGGAAGAGACTTGATTGTCAAATATAAGCATTTAACTTAATTATTTACATGCTTGATATCAGTGATCCTAAAACCTGCTCCGCAGTATGCAGATTTATGTCCCAGCTTAGTGCCATCACTCCTGATTCAACTGATCTGCTGAGCTGGGACTAAAGCTTTGAACACACTGCGACGATGAATGGCTAAAAGCTGCGGGTGGCCGTCCTATTTGCTGTCGCTGCGCAGTGTTATAGGGACCACTCGGTTGCACTCGGCCGTCCATGGTTCTGGTGTGTGTTCCCCATAAAACTTGCAGTACTGCGGCTCTCCAGCAGCAGGATGGACGATCACTGTGTCTATATCAATTTTTGCACTGATTTGAGATTATCCTTGATTCAAGCCTGATCAGGTGATAAAAAGCATGTGCAATAACTTAAATGACTCCTAACTTATCAATAAAAGAGATTGTACTCTAATCTCAAAACAATGTACGAAACAAATATATACAGTATAATTACATCGGTAATCTGTAGCTCCTCTCAGATCAGACCAATCCTAAATCAGGTTAACTCTGCATTCATGTTAGATTAAAATGTAATCGCAGAGGACGGCAATTGTCAGCATTTTAACTCCTGGCACGTGCTATGTTGATATGTTTTTGGTAATAATATTGCAGTTTTGGCAGGTGCAAGAGGTTCTGGGAAAGCTCCAAAGAAAGACAGGCAATATCTAGCACAGACATGCCTCAGGCCTAGACACATCCAGCCGACTCAACTATCTAGAACGGCTCCTTTGTATTCAAAGAGCCGAGCAGAAACCTGGCACAGATCTCCTTTATCTAAATGGCACGTTTTCCACTACACGTCATTTATAATAAAAGCCACTGAACATAGAAATTGCTGGCACATGCTGGGATACTTGTTATCGGACCCAAACATGATGGGCAGTCCCTTTTCAGGTGCTCGTTCCCCAGCTATTCCACACGTTTGATAAGCAGCATAGGTTTTTAGCTGCCCATCTACAAAAAGCATAAAGACATTTAAGCAATTTGGTCAAGCAAAATATTACTTTCCAGTCAGAAATGGTATCTTTTTAAAGCCAGTAATTAAATACATGAATTATACACCTTGATTTTGAATATGACTTACAGTACAAATACCTTCATCAGTTTAGTACAACTTTCCTACCTTTATATAACCAAATAACGAAGGACCTATTACTTCTTGTTTTACTTCATGTTTTTGTTGTATTTTTGGAGACTGTGTAAGAAAACTATTTATTAATCTAATCGTGTTTAAAAAGTAATGTTGCTCTCGCACTACAGATATACTGTATCATGCAAATATCATGGTATGCATTTGCTCTGTTGTTTCTGTTGGTACTATTCACAGTTACAGTGTGGCTTGAAAATAAGGCACCTGGCTCAAGGGAGTAGTATAAAAAATTCACGCCATTGGACTTGTTCAAACAGCTTTGGTAAACACTATATTTATGTTGCACAGAGGAAGACACTCCTTGCCCTGGAGAAGGAAGATGAGGAGGAGAGGAACAAAACAATAGAGAGCCTGAAGACTGCTTTGCGGACGCAACCCATGAGGTGCCCTGGCTCTCAAACTTCCATGCACTTCACTGTACAGTGCATACACTCGCTAAAGAAACTCATTTAAATAGACTTATATACACACACCCTCTTGTAGCTACCATACATAGAATAAACACGAGGGAACAGGATTGTTTTCTGAAATGAATTTGATTACACAAACGCTTACAGACATACTATGTCGTGTATATATACACACACACACACACACACACACACACACACACACACCCTTCTCTCTATTTCCCTGCACTCTTCCTTCAAAAATAATTTTTACTCTCATAGAATACACTCATAGCTGACCAGAGCTTTGAATTAGAATAACTGAAATAACAGGGCCCTACAAGGAGTAATTGCCATTGGAGTTACAGACCTATAGAAGTGTATATGCAGACCAGAATGAACAACAACGGCCCAGTAATTCATTGCTGTATGGTATATGGCTAGGCTGGAAGACCACTCTTGGATATTGTCACACATGTCATAAATGATATGGTCCCTCTGCTGTGCTAGTTACAGTACCAATGCTATGTGGAGCAGTTATGTAACTGCTCTAAATAAAAGTTGAAAGTAGGCTTTATTATTCTAATGCTTCAGGCAGTCCTTCCCAGAACACCTAATCTTTCATTCAAATCACCTATTAAGTCGTTAATCATACTGCTGTGGGGCAGTAACCTGGGTAGTGTTCATTGCAACGTAAAACGTTTTAAAATGTTTTGCAATGGGAAATGAAGATTAGTGTTTCTTATTGGCCCCTCCCGGTTTGTCTGTTTTCTTCAGTTTGGTGCCTAATGAACACGACCCAGATCTGCTCAATGAACATATGGTGTCCCTCTGGCTGCATTGTGTGTAGCACTTTTTTTTACACCATTTAATGACCCCATGCCTTGTGACCCGAAGATCAGGTGTCAGACTTTCACCCCCAGCGGTTATGGTGGCACTTGGTCACTGACTGGAATTGTATTTCTTCAGGCCTTTGTTTTTTAACAACTTTGATAACACACACACACTCACAGAGGTTGACCATTTTCTATGCATTTTAGACCTAATTACTATTTTGGGTATTTCCAGTGTGTAGGATTATAGTCTTCATACCCTATTTCAAGTGGAAGTAATGAAAATTACTACATGAGATCCCATAGACTCTTTCCTCCAACTGGGAACTTACACTTTTACCTTTGTATTTTTATTGATATCCTGTTTCCCCTTGACCTTCCTCAGGTTTGTGACTAGGTTCATTGACCTAGATGGCCTGACATGCATCCTCAACTTCCTGAAGACCATGGACTATGAGACGACCGAGTCGCAGATCCACACCTCGCTCATCGGCTGCATTAAGGCCCTGATGAACAACTCCCAGGGGCGCGCCCACGTGCTCTCGCACTCGGAAAGCATCAACATCATCGCCCAGAGTTTGGCCACCGAGAACGTCAAGACCAAGGTGGCGGTGCTGGAGATCATGGGCGCCGTGTGCCTTGTGCCTGGCGGCCACAGGAAGATCCTGGAGGCCATGCTCCACTACCAGCGCTTCGCCTGTGAGAGGACGCGCTTCCAGGTGGGCAAGGGGAGGGTTATGAATGAATCATTTAGTCACAGTTAGTTACCTATCCCTTTTCATTGTGTTGAATAAACATTCAGTACCATTTAATATTGTAACATTTTGACTTTTGGCCGGGTTATATACACTGAGTGTACAAAACAACCAGTTAAAAGCTATGATCTCTTATTGATGTCACTTGTTAAATCCACTTCAATCAGTGTAGATGAAGGGGAGGAGACGGGTGAAAGAAGGATTTTTAAGCCTTGAGACAATTGATACATGGATTGTGTACGTGTGCCATTCAGAAGGTGAATGGGCAAGAAAAAAGATTTAAGTACCTTTGAAAGGGGTATAGTAGTAGGTGTCAGGGGCACCGATTTCTGTGTGTCAAGAACTGCAACGCTGCTGGGTTTTTCACGCTCAACAGTTTCCCTAGTGGATCAAGAATGGTCCACCACCCAAAGGACATCCAACCAACTTGATACAACTGTGGGAAGCATTGGAGTCAACATGGTCCAGCATCCCTGTGGAACACTTTCGACACCTTGTAGAGTCCATGCCTCGATGAATTGAGGTTGTTCTGAGGGCAAAAGGGGGTGCAACTCTATATTAGGAAGGTGTTCCTAATGTTTTGTACACTCCGTGAATATTAGACTGCGTGTAAAAGAAAGGCACCCAATTATAGGTCTTCATTTCAGCACTTTTACAAGCCGCATTGACTACTGCACATTTCCTTAGAACATCCACCCTTTATTCAAATAGCACTATTGGCTGGCCATTTGCAACAGTAAAGACTTTAATTTGGCTGAAGGGGTTTGGCTCTGTTTGGCTCCAATGGTTTGTGCCACTTTGTGTCTGCAATATAAATTGTGTCTACAATATGATTGATCTCTGAACGACTAGCCATAACTGTGGTCATCTCCTCACCTTCACCACCTAGACCCTGCTGAACGATCTGGACCGGAGTACGGGTCGGTACCGGGACGAGGTCAACCTGAAGACAGCCATCATGTCCTTTATCAATGCTGTCCTCAGCCAAGGCGCCGGAGAGGTAAAATTAGCCCTCAACCTCTGCATCGCTTGTCTCCTCACCCCACACTTGCACCATACCTCTCTTCAATCGAACTTGTGCTACACCTCAATCTGACTTAACTTTATTGGCACCTACTTTTGATCATCTTGTTATGTTGTTCCCAGGCCAGTTTGGAGTTCCGCATACACCTCCGTTACGAGTTCCTGATGCTAGGAATTCAGCCAGTCATTGACAAACTTCGCTCCCATGACAACTCCACGTTAGACCGGTGAGTTGGACCACAGTTCACGTTAACCTGAATAATGAAACAAGTGCCTTTTTCTCTTGATCTCTGACCATGCATGCCCCTATTAATTTGACTTAATCTCCCCCAGGCATTTGGATTACTTTGAAATGCTGCGCAATGAGGACGAGCTGACTATGTCGCGGCGTTTTGAATCGGTAAGTGTAAACTTGTTCTTGTTTCATTCCTGACTTCCATTGTCGTTTGTGCTTGATAAGGACTGTGACACGTCAACGTGTTCTCTCTTTCCCAGGTGCACATAGACACTAAAAGTGCTTCCCAGGTATTTGACCTCATCCGGAAGAAGATGAACTACACTGACGCATACCCACACTTTATCTCTGTCCTGCACCACTGTCTCCTCATGCCTCGTAAGTGTTTCCCTGCCGCATTCCTGACCTGCTGCTAACGTTGACCCCGGTCAGTAAGAATTTAGCGCTGTGAGTATTGTGTTTCCCTATTCCAGTCAGTGAAGGCTGCTGAGGGGAGGACGGCTCATAATAATGGCTGCAATGGAGCAAATGGAATGGCATCAAACACATGGAAACCATGTGTTTGATGTATTTGCTACCATTCCACTGATTCCGTTCCAGCCATTACCACGAGCCCGTCCTCCCCAATTAAGGTGCCACCAACCTCCTCTGATTCCAGTAGAGCTGACCTGCTGTCTTCTTCCTGCTAGCTGTGTGTGTTTGCGTGCGAGTGCATGTGCATGTGTGTGGATGTGCACAAGTGTGAATGTGCATGTGTCTGTGCACAAATGAATTTGTATCCGTATGAGGATCTGTCTGCAAACCAAGACGGCATCTTGCCCTTTAGCCACACTGTATAAATCAACTGTGGAAACCTCTTTCTGTCCCTAGCTAAATATCTACTTGTGCAGAGAGGCCTCTTCTACTCAACTTCCTCTCTGTATCGGCTGTGTTTGATGACACGTGTGATCTCCCTGTCCCCCCCAGATAAAAGGAGTGGAAACACAGTGCAGTATTGGCTGCTGCTGGACCGCATCGTCCAGCAGATGGTCCTGCAGAACGACAAGGGCCACGACCCCGACGTCACGCCCCTGGAGAACTTCAATGTTAAGAATGTGGTCCGGATGTGAGTGCTCTCCATGTGACCCTTTAAGATGACGAGGGAGAGAGGGAGCACGTCCTGCTTGAACTCAACTGACTGGGATGAGCTGGGATGATCTAGGCCTAGTAAAGACATGAGAATTCATAATTGAACTGTCTAATTGAAATATCTTCCAAGCTGACCCTCCAATCAATACGTCAATACTGTAGGGAACCTCAGTCCCTTGTAGGCTTCTTAGAAAATGTATTTAAAATCTGTTAGTCTGCACTGCTTCAGTGTGAAAACTGTATTTTAATTCCCATAATAGCAATGAGCTCAGCTCCATTTCCACAGGATTGATTGTTTGGGATATTGTCTTTCACATAAGTCAATGCATCAGTCATAGAATGCTCACATTGAGGACCCTCCGGTAACTTTGTTTGTGTCCCTCTCCTTACAGGCTGGTCAATGAAAATGAGGTCAAGCAGTGGAAAGAGCAGGCGGAGAAAATGCGAAAAGGTCAGTTTAATTTTTTGAGTTGCTTCTTTGTGAAACACTGCCCTTTGGCTCTATTGCACATTTTTAAAAAGACCACAAAGAAACCGAGTTTTGAATTAATTTACACTTCACATGGAAGGGGTTGACTAATTTCAATATGTACAAGTAATACAAATCGGCAGGGATGGTTTTTCAGAGGATGCCAATTAAATGGTACAGTTCTCCACAGTGAACTAGTCCCCTGTAGCTCAGTTGGTAGAGCCATGGCGCTTGCAACGCCAGGGTTGTGGGTTCGTTTCCCACGGGGGGCCAGTATGAAAATGTATGCACTCACCAGTCGCTCTGGATAAGAGTGTCTGCTAAATGACTAAAATATAAATGTAAATGAACTAGTGAATGTGTTCATCTTAATGCCTTTAGGCTTTATGCTTATCAGATGAATTGGACTGCTGTGGATATGAATGTAGCTACTTGCCGGTCAGCCAACACAAGTTTTGAACCTTTTATTGTGTATTCGTATCTCTTGTAGCTCACTATTGGACTAGTAGTCTTTGAAGAGTCCTCAACCTCACCAGTAGCACATTGATCCAGTCACTGCCTACTATTGCCCCATATGTTACCCTGCCCCTTTTAGATCTATCCTGCACTATCAGAAATAACAGCAGACAACCATAGCATCTTCTGAGCCACCATGTGGTCCCATGGGTTGATCACAACAAAGATTGTGATTTAACATTAGAAAATGATCATAGAAAGGAACGGGCAACATCCAAATGTCTTAATTGAATTGAAATGGAACCAAACCTGTTCACTCTCACAAACAACATAACCTCCAACCCCATTGGGCAGAGCACCACGAGCTCCAGCAGAAGTTTGAGAAGAAGGAGCGTGAGTGTGACGCCAAGACCCAGGAGAAGGAGGACATGATGCAGACCCTCAACAAGATGAAGGAGAAGCTAGAGAAGGAAAGCACCGAGCACAAGGCGGTCAAGCAGCAAGTGGCTGACCTCTCTGTCCGGCTGCACGACCTCAGCTCTGTACGTCACCCTTCAACTCCTTCATACTTATACAAAGAAATGGCACCAAATATGCCTTAATGTAGATTCATTATGTTTCATCAAGATTCATTAACTGTTATTAGATTTACAGTACATTATAGAAAATACATGATTTCAAGGCACCTAAAGTAAATTACTGGATGGGTCTCTGATGCAACCAATGTTACTACATAAGATTGAAAGTGAGCGATAAGATAAGGATTGAAATACGATTCATTAAGATGTGATGGTGCATTGTCTTTATCTGTGTATTTCCCCCCAACATTTCCAGAGACAGATTGCCAGTGTCCCAGGCGGTCCCCCCTTCATCCCTGGCCCCCCTGGTGGGCCTCTCCCGCCCCCCCCTCCCCCAGGAGGCATGATGCCCCCTCCACCACCCCCAGGGGGTATGATGCCCCCTCCACCGCCCCCACCCCCAGGTGGTCCCCCGCCTCCTTTTGGACGGCCACCCATGGGAGGGATACCTCCTCCCCCTGGGGCACCCCTAGGGTCCGCCCTCAAGAAGAAGAACATCCCCCAGCCGTCCAACCCACTAAAATCTTTCAACTGGGCCAAGCTAGCTGAGGTGAGAGTGCATGGGTTTGAACAGGGTCATGTTCATTAGAGATCAAACAGAAGTCAATGGACTGAAACAGGGATAGACTACCTAGACTTGTCCAATAAGGAACACTCATTTTTGTTCTCTGTTGCAAAACGTTGGTTTCCGTTGTGTGCCCTAAAGAACATGACCCTGGTAGTTCCCTACAGAGTCAATATGACCTCCTCTTTGTCATCATTGATAGCGACAGGGACATTTTAGTCTGTAAACCCTGCTCACAATATTTTGTTCCCTGAACGTTTCGGTTTAGTTAAGGAGAATGTTACCTTTTCCCAGTTATTCAAGTGCACTTAGAATGGGGAACCAGATGAAAACATTCCCGTATGTTCTGGGAATATTTCTTGTTAGCGTTTAAGCTGATTCTAGATTAGCTCCCATAAGTGATTATTCTTCTGTTGCAATCTTTGAATAACAGACTCTTGTGTTAGGCCTTGGTGATTGAACTATGGTTGCTGGAGATTGCTTACAGAACATATTGAGGATACTGAAAGCCAGGGTTGGGGTCAATTCCATCTCAAATCAGTCATTTCAGGAGGTGAACTGACATTTTCCTAATTGCTTGGAATTTCAGTTTACTTCTTGAATTGCCTGAATTGAAATGGAATTGACCCCAACCCTGCTGAAAGCGCCACCTCAAAAAATCTAAATACAATTCTCCCACTCTCCATCCAAGAATAAGCTGGAGGGCACTGTATGGACAGAAGTCGACGACGGGAAGGTTTTCAAAATTCTCGACCTGGAGGACATTGAGAAGACCTTCTCGGCCTACCAGAGACAACAGGTACTGTACTGCGGCCAAGTGTTCTCGCTGGTCCTGCTGAACAAGAGAAGAGTTTTATAGAGCCCCCAACACATATCCATCCTCCACCCTTTCCCCTCTTATTCCGTTCTTGTTAGAAGCACCAATACAAAACATGACTTCACTCATGCTGATTATTTGCCATCTCACAAATGTAGAGTAATACCATATTGTTTGGCTAGTGTGCAGTTTTATGGCATTTGACACTACTAAGTAACATAAAAGCCTTGTATGTATGAATAACAGAAATACAAAAAAGCGCTGACTACACAGTATTTATAAGGTTTCTTAGCATACACTGTCATAACCTTTTTATGATGCTAGAGTATCAATGTAAAATATCTTAAAGATCATCAGACAAGTAAAGATTGGGTTTGGCCCTTAGTGCCTGCAGCTTAGTATTACCTAGTACCGCAACACTGATGCAAACAGATCACTATAGTGTCGTCAGGGGAAACAGAGGGACTTTTGTGTTAACAAACATTTGCAGACCGTGTCCTTAACCACTGACGAAATTGGACCCAGGGCTATTAAAAGCATCAGTTAGCTAGCACATAAGCCACAAACACGAGGGTAGCTCTTCTCTCGCTACTCACTGGCCCTCTGTATGGAATGCAAATCTGCTTGAGTTCACCTCGATCATACTAATACAAGAGATTTAGTCACAATGTAGCCTAGGTTTTCATTATGCGCTATTTAAATCAGGGGTGTCAAACAATGAGGCCCAACATCTGATTTAATATGGCCCCCATGTGTCCCCCATCACTAGTTTATTTGTATATTTAAAATATATATATTTGAATATGGTTTTTAAAAAATCTACAAACATTAGTGAATTCATAGTTAAGGCTCTGTTGTAGATGAGACCGCTCTCACATTTGCCTTAACATTTTGACATCCCTGGTCTAAATGAACATTATGACAAACATATCACACTCAACTGACTCCAATGTTACCACATTTGTTTTGCCTGTGACTCACACTAACACCAGCACCTCATGATCAGCTCGCACACATGCATGCACGCAAACACACATGTACATTTTGCAATGCCCCAGCCCCCAACCTACACCCATCTCTAATGGCCCAACAGCCTTTGCTTGCCTACGCAGTCACACTCCCTCTTCACTCATCTCTGATGTCCTTTATGAGCTTGTTTCTATTTGTTTGTTTTGGCCTGGATTCACCCAACTGTGCTATCATTATAACGAGTGCCCACATCTTCCTTGCTTCTTGCCTGCGTTCTAGGACTTCTTTATGGTCAATAACAGCAAACAGGTGAGTTCACTCATTTCCACACCCAAAATGGTGTGGCATTTTTGTCATCCTCCTCCTCTTCTATCATTTAGGACATTTTGCTTTTCTTATCTTATCCTCTTGACATCTTCATCCTCTTGAAGATATATACACTACCAGTCAAAAGTTTGGACACACCTACTCATTCAAGGATTTTTCTTTATTTTTACTATTTTCTACATTGTAGAATAATAGTGAAGACATCAACACTATGAAATAACACATGGAATCATGTAGTAACCTAAAAAGTGTTAAACAAATCAAAATATATTTTAAGTAGCCACCCTTTGCCTTAATGACAGCTTTGCACACTCTTGGCATTCTCTCAATCAGCTACATCTGGAATAATTTTCCAACAGTCTTGAAGGAGTTCCCACATATGCTGAGCCCTTGCTGGCTGCTTTTCCTTCACTCTGCGGTCCAACTCATCCCAAATCATCTCAATTGGGTTGAGGTCAGGTGATGGTGGAGGCCAGGTCATCTGATGCAGCACTCCATCACTCTCCTTCTTGGTCAAATAGCCCTTACACAGCCTGGAGGTGTGTTGGGTCATTGTCCTTTTGAAAATTAAGTGATAGTCCCACTAAGCCCAAACCAGATGGGATGGCATATCGCTGCAGAATGCTGTGGTAGCCATGCTGGTTAAGTGTTCCTTGAATTCTAAATAAATCACCGACAGTGTCACCAGCAAAGCATCCTCACACCATAACACCTCCTCCTCCATGCTTTACGGTGGGATTGACTGACCTTCATGTCTTAAAGTAATGATGGACTGTCGTTTCTCTTTGCTTATTTGAGCTGTTCTTGCCATAATATGGACTTGGTCTTTTACCAAATAGGGCTATATTCTGTATACCACCCCTAACTTGTCACAACACAACTGATTGGCTCAAACGCATTAAGAAGGAAATTCCACAAATTAACTTTTAAGAAGGCACACCTGTTAATTGAAATGCACCTCATGAAGCTGGTTGAGAGAATGCCAAGAGTGTGCAAAGCTGTCATCAAGGCGGCTACTTTGACGAACCTCAAATACAAAATATATTATGATTTGTTTAACACTTTTTTGGATACTACTTCCATATGTGTTATTTCAATGTTTTGATGTCTTCACTACTATTGTACAATGTAGAAAAAAAGCAAAAATAAAGAGAAACCCTTGAATGAGTAGGTGTGTCCAAACTTTTGACTGGTAGTGTGTGTGTGTGTGTGTGTGTGTGTGTGTGTGTGTGTGTGTGTGTGTGTGTGTGTGTGTGTGTGTGTTGTGTGTTGTTGTGTTGTGGTGTGTGTGTGTTGTGTGTGTTTGTGTGTGTTGTTGTGTTGTGTTGTGTTGTGTTGTTGTTGTTGTTGTGTTGTGTTGTGTTGTTTGTTGTTGTTGTGTGTGGTGTTGTGTGTGTGTGTTGTATGTATGTATGTATTTTCGATTTTTCAGGTGGTGCTTCAGCACCCCTGCTTCCCGCGGCTATGTAGCAACATGAATAAATAATTAAAGATTATGGTTTCCATAAATCAACAATTGCCTTTTGTACATTGCAGTAGTTTAGGCTTAGTAACTAGGTTTTTTTCTGTGAAGGAAATACCCGCTCTTATTTTAAAGTATGTAAAGAAAAATCCAATCCCCTCTTTATGAGAATGTCCATTCACTCTCAATGCGACATGTCTTTTTAAAATGTAATTTATGTCTGCGTCTGTTGCTGTGTGTTCGCACACGTATGTGCCTGTGCGCACGTATGTGTATTCGTCCATGTATTTTCGTGTGTTTTGTTTTTCTTATCTTTTCATAAGTTAGTGTCTCGTATTTGTGTGTTTGTCTTTCTTTACTTTTTTTGTGTGTGTGTGTATTCCTACTGTTGCTCCTACTTAAGATACCTACCATTCTGAAATGCCTCTCCTCTGAACGACTCTCCACAGAAAGAGAGTGAGGATTCGGACTCCTTGAGCTCCAAGAAGGTCAAGGAGCTCTCGGTCATCGATGGCCGCCGAGCCCAGAACTGTAATATACTCCTGTTGCGGTGAGTGTGTGAATCCTGGCAGCCAGATAAATTCCTGGTCAATGGCAGTTGTCAGAAACTGGGCCATGCTATTGAGGTCATTTCCTGTTCTGATGAGAGTAACATATTAGCACTGCAATGTCATATCCTGTTGATTGTAAATACTTTTTATTGTCTAATTATGATTTGATCCTGATGTCAGTGAGTAGGCTTTCTTCTTTGCGTCATTCTTCTCTTTCAAAGCAGGCCCCAGTGAATCATGGGGGACTTTATCTCATAATCAAAACATTCTCTCACTCTCTTTCTTTACATTAGGCTAATCTTGAAAACCCAGAACTAAACTATTGCGTAATTGCGTCAGGTATGAGGGAAGATGTATGAGAAAATATACTAACGAGACTAGCGAAGTCTCCACCCCCCTAAACGGAAACTCTCAGCCAAAGCCCCTTTTGATGAAAGTTAGCTTTACAGAGAAAGTTTCATGATTATCCAATGAAAGGCGCATGTTTTACAAAATGGGCTACAATTTGGCAGCATATTGATGATTATAGCATCACAAATGTGTGGTTAATACGCAGATTGTTTTGCCCCAATGCAATGTGTAGAATGAGTCTTGCTTGTGCTACTGCAAAATCCTAAATTACAACAGATAGAGAAAGTTGTAGCCTACATCCTAAATTAGCCTACAAAATATATACAAAAATTGAATGTTCGTTCAAATCACTGTGGGGTTTTTTTTTCAGCTGTTCAGAGATGTAGGCTACATCATGTCAATCAAATTGGTTGAGGGTTCAGAAGAGGGTGAGTAAAGAGAGAAGTGTGAAGGGAGGGGAGAGGAGGGTCAGCAGAAGCTACGTAAAAAAAAACGTGTGCGGCAGACAGTAGACATTCAAGGTGATAATGCTTCATTTATGACATTGTTTTTAAAATATATTGACAGTAGAAGTTACTTGGAGACAAATTCCAGGCTCTCAAAACTTGACTGAAACAACATGAAACAGCAGCTCTCCGTTAGCAGAGCTGCTGTGATTTCTCATTAATTGAATGTGGTCTGGTATAATAAGTAAGCCACACATATTCACACAGAGGGGAACTTTAATTTAATCAAGACTTATCTGACTCAAAACGACCATGAAACAAGCCAAAATGGAACCCACTACTTCTAATGCTTTCTTTTTGGGTGTTCAAATCGGGTTGTCCCACATCAAGGCGATTTGATTTACAGTTTGGTGGAAGAGGACCATTCGGTTGTGATGCAAGATTAATGGTTTTGCTCAGGAAGAGAGATGGTTGTGTTTTTGGTTTTCCTGGTCATGAACTCCACTCAATAATTGCTCTCTCTAAGTGAGCTTAGACCACTTCTAACAATTTATTGAAAGGGTGTGGTTTTACAATAGAAGTAGAGTTGATTGTAGGATCACAACTTGTTCTTTTTTTTCCAAAAGCTAGAAGGTTGAGGTTTCTCAGTCAGAGGATGTGGTGTGAAATGAAGTTGCTCCATAGCTAGCTTTTATTTTACAATGTGTTTATTAGGTTTCCCAAGTAAAAACTGTGCACGCACACACACACACACACACAAACCGAACTAGCTCCCCTTACACAGTCTGGCCCATCTCGCAATTCACAACCCCCATGTCAAAAGGCTGTGACACAGAATCCTAGCTAAAATCTGATCAACCGCCTCTCCTATACTAATTTCATTTAATGGTTTTTAATGGGCTTCAAAAAGCCTTTAACAGAGACCACCCATGCGGACGCTCTCCAAAGGGATTGAATGGAGAACTACGCTCCCTTTTAAGAGGGTGCCCTCAGACGAATGTGGCCTGATTTTTGAGGAGCAAACATGATCTGTGGAACAGCTGTGGTCAATGCCATTTAAAGACACCAGAGACAAAGATGCTCCCATCAATGGGCAGTGATGCTAGCAGTTTAGTAAGCAGTAGCACAAGTAGACACATCTCAAAGGTGGAATTATCATTTAGAAAATACAATGTCACTTTGCTCTAACAGATCTACATAAACAGATAACAACAGTTGTATTTTGAGTTTGTCCCTTATTTGAGTCAGAATTTTGGGTCGAGACATACTTTATTGAACTTGCATGTAGACCCGTTAGTCCCGGGGAGAAAATTGCCTGCTTAGCAACATAGGTTAATAGTTTCAGCAACAACCATATAATACTTTTGTGTTTGGTCTAAAATGGCAGGGGCAGGCGCGATTTCAGCAATGGAGTTCCTATAAGTGTTCTGTGCATTTAAGTGCTCAGACGACTATGTGCTGTGTGCCAAGGAAGGTTCTCTTTGACATAGAAAGTGTTCTGGTCCTGTTTTCCCAGCATTCCTGTTTCCAACTCTCTGCCTTTCCTCTTCTTCTGGCAAACTAAATTTCATTCCGTAGAAAGGCAGTTATGAATATTCATGAGTCTCGACATAGAACCCGTCGGGTGATTGGTTGAACCTTATTGAGTGTGTGAAATTACACAAACGCTCTACAGAGTCGTCTGTTTAGCTAGCTCTTGCCGCGGGCATGAGCAGTTAACACCGACCGGACGACTTGGGAAACCCAGCTTCAGCTTGATCACCAAATTAATTGGGAAATAAATAAAAGCCTGTAGCTACCAATCTATGTTTGTTTCACTGTCCGATCATTGTAAAAAAAAACGAGCACACTAACTGTTATTTAAATCTTTCCACAAACTGTTAAGTTGCGTCAATTCAAATCTGGTATTGGAACAAAAAGAGGTCAATACACGTCTTCTAAAATAGACTAGTATTTTAATTAATGCAAAACACTTCAATGGTAAATATGATGTTCGTATATACGGGTCCACTGAAATACCACACAGGGCAGTCAGAGAACTGGTCCATTGTTATAAGTTCTTCTTTAAATACTCTGACAGAGATAGTTCCCGCTCGCTGCTGGCCTATCAGAGTAGAGACTGAGCGTGATTTAGACTTACTCAGCCTATCGTTGGCGCACTGGCTGGTCCCAGTCCCTTGGCGCTTCACTGTTGCCAGGTGTTTAGTTGTTTTGCAACTTGTCTCGAGTCAGCAACCTCAGACATCTTTGTAGCAGAACACATGTCCTTGAGCGGTCTAACAAAGAGGCAGTGTGTGTGTATGTGAGACACAAGTCTTATCTCAGCCTACCCCCTAATAGTTCCCCACATTAATCACAGCTTGTTATGTTAAACAGTCTATCAGTACAGCACAAACCTATTATGTTTAATCATTAATGCTTTCTTATTAAGCTAACAGCACATCTAAAATATAAGAGAATAATTTCCCACAAAACTGTCTGGTATGTGTTGGTTGATATGACCAAGTTAACCCAAATGTATCAAAGAATAGGTAATGCATTCACGATTAGTTAGTGGCTACTGCCTGACCAGTAAACTAGCTAGCTACATTTCAGTAATTAGCTATGCACCTAAATGCGGTGGTCAGTAGATTAACTAACGGTGAGTTGAACATATTTGTCTGAAAACGAACTAGTCGCTAGTTATTGTTGCCCGTGTCGAACCAGTTGGCTAATGGGTAACCCATGAGCTCCTGAATCTAGTAGTGATGTGCCTTTCATAAAAGCGTCGTTCTTTTTGAACGACTCTTTTTAATGACTCGAGTCATGATACGTTTTTCTCAGTGACTTAATACGCGCTCCTCCAGCAGGATTAATACACGCTCCGACCAACAACTGTAAAATAGATCATGCTGCAGGCAGCAATGACAGCAAAGAGAAGAAAAAGACATGTTTAGAACTGGTTATTGATCTCATGGTGCAAGAATACATGCAAATAATTCATTATTGAATGTTATGATGAACACAGCTTTGTAGAACCAAAACATGCACACAGTCTGCTCAACAAAATCGAACATGAGAACAAATAGTTTGAGATGCTACAGTTCGCGAACAATATTGTGCTTATCACCCTCACGGCAAGCAATGCATTCCGACAATCTAGTCCGGTTGCAGCCACAACTAGACCTCGTTTCAAATGTATCAAGAAATAATCTTATTTGTATGCCTAGCAATCAACAAATGTACATTGTTTAAAGCACACTTTTACAAGTCTGTCACAAATGACAGCTCCAATAAGCCCCTTACGGTGAGCAAAATATTATTTCACGTTTTCAGTTCATCGTTTGCGGGTAGGGGGTCCTGCGTGCTCTGGGCATTATTGACTCAAATGAACAAAACGAGTCGTAAGATTCGTTATTTTTACTGAAATCAGTAAAAAGAGCCGACCTTCCCATCACTAGTCTAGCTAGCTGTGTCTTTTAGCGTCCACTACTAGCTAGCTAGTTAGCTACTGCATGGTCAGAGTGAGTCCTCATGTTAGCTAGCCAGCTAGCTACATTTCAGTCAGTAGCTATCCTTCTAAATGCGGTGGTCACTTGATAAACTAGCAATGAGTTGAACATATTTGGCTGAAAATGAACTAGTAGCCAGACTTTGTTGTTGCCCATGGTGGAAGCCTATGTGCCCATGTGCTCCCGAGTCTAAAAGCAGTCTAACTAACGTTAGCTAGCGTTGCAAATTAGCATTTCGCTAGCTAGTGGAGCTGTTTTGTAAGAAAATGGCTGAGATTACTCAAACACTGTAGCTAGCTAGCAAGCCCTCCTCAGCGACAATGTTATTGGGGTGGAATGTTAGAATGATATTTATTTCACTTATCGAAAAACGTAATAAAAGGTATCAGGTAGAAGTAAATTAATCCACAAATACCAATATAATTGTACATATCTTAAATTACCAAATGTTCATGAATTTGATGATATAAGCTTGAAGCATGTTCAAAAACAGTACAGGACTTGAATCGGGAAGTAGGCAGGACATTCATAGGGCTGGCAGGTAGCCTGGCGGAAAGGAGCGTTGGGCCAGTAACCGAAAGGTTGCTGAATCGAATCCCTTAGCTGACAAGGTAAACATATTTCGTTCTGCCCCTGAGTAAGGCAGTTAACCCACTGTTCCCCAGCCACAGAAGACGTGGATGTTGATTAAGGCAGCACTTTGCACCTCTCTGATTCAGAGGGGTTAGGTTAAATGCAGAAGACACATTTCAGTTGAATGCATTCAGTTGTACAACTGACTAGGTATCTCCCTTTCCAAGTGTGGCTGGTTTTTAAAGTGAGCAGCCGACAGAGCCTGTCTGGCACCTGTTCCCCCTCTGGGTAGTTCTCAGAGCCGGCGCATAAAATCAGACTCATCATTTTTACATTAAACAGGACAACTCCACGAGGGAGAGGCCTTTAAGGTCATCTGTCTCTTTTTCAGCAAATCTCCCAGATGTCTCTCCAGACAGACATACAGTTCCTCCCTATGATATTGTATATAAATAAACTGCACATTTGGCTAATTTGTGAAATACATGTTTAAAAACACAAACCAGTTAGGAAGTGCCAAGAACTGGACACTGGCAATAAGGCTAAGAATTTAAGTTTGCAGTGTTTCTCACTTTACTTTTCCTGCGGTTTGAAGTTCAGTATTGCAGGCTAAAGTTGAATTATACATTTTGTATTATCTATTTGTTTAGGTTGAGGCTTTGTGGCACTTCTTGTTGATGTGCTCTTGACATCAAAGGAGAAAGCTGAGGCATATTCCAATTGAATCTTAGAAGTGCTTAAAACAAATTCTGTCAGTGATATTTGGGCGGGAGTTATTCGAATTTACAAATCACATGATGCCTCAAAAACAGTTATAGTATTAATGGTGGTTCTAGTGTGAATGAGAGTTCCTGTAGTTGAGTTGAGTTTTCCTGTGAGTTGAAAGTGGCTGACATCTCCTGTGATTGTCGTCCAGGCTGAAGCTGTCCAATGAGGAGATGAAGAGGGCGATCTTGACCATGGACGAACAGGAGGACCTCCCCAAGGATATGCTGGAGCAGGTAAGTCTAGCAAAATCACATGGGCTTGAAACAGTAAACTTGCACACCTGAATGTGCTTCCAGGTGCATGGAGCAAAACTTATACTTGTTAAAAAGAAGAAAAACTCCAGTAATCGTTATGCTCCCAATGTCATTTTCTGTCCCTCAGTGAGCAAAATCAAATAGATGAGATTTCAAATAGACAGGATGCATTTCTGGATTGCATCCACATAAGTGATCACCTCCATTTCATGAACATCATATAAAGAGAGATTTAAGATTCCATTGCAGTATTGTAAGTGACATAGTAGATTTATGTCAGTGCAATGTTTAGCTATGCTACATATGTTGCTAGTGAATGGCCAGTCACTTTCATGGCTCCTCCTCAGATGCTGAAGTTTATTCCAGAGAAGAGTGACGTGGACCTCCTGGAGGAGCACAAGCATGAGCTGGACCGCATGGCCAAGGCTGACCGCTTCCTTTATGAGATGAGCAGGTAGGATGAACTGAGAGAGAGAACTCGAGAAGTAGACCAAGGGCCTGATTCGATCAAACGTGTTTTAGCTAAATGTATGCAGTGTATTTTTTTGCACCAGTGATTGTCCAGGGTTTGAACCTGAACCTCCTGTGCTACAAGTCAATCAATCAATCAATCAATCAATCAATAGATCAAATGTATTTATAAAGCCCTTTTTACATCAGCAGATGTCACAAAGTGCTGTACAGAAACTCAGCCTAAAACCCCAAACAGCAAGCAATGCAGATGCAGAAGCATGGTGGCTAGGAAAAACTCCTTAGAAAGGCAGGTACCAAGGAAGAAACCTAGAGAGGAACCAGGCTCTGAGGGGTGGCCAGTCCTCTTCTGGCTGTGCCGGGTGGAGATTTTAAGAGTATGTGGTCATTTAAGGCCAGATTGTTCTTCAAGATGTTCAAACGTTCATAGATGACCAGCAGGGTCAAATAATAGTCAGTGGTTGTAGAGGGTGCAACAGGTCAGTACCTCAGGAGTAAATGTGGACTGGGGACAGCCAGGAGTCATCAGGCCAGGTAGTCCTGAGGCATGATCCTAGGACTCAGGTCCTCCGGGAGGGGAGGGAGAAAGAATTAGAGGGAGCATACTTAAATTCACACAGTACACCAAATAAAACAGGAGAATTACACCAGATATAACAGACTGACCCTAGCCCCTCGCCACATGTACTATTGCAGCATAGATACTGGAGACTGAGACGGGTGGGTCGGGGGAGACTGTGGCCCCGTCCGGCTATACCCCCGGACAGGGCCAACCAGGTAGGATATAACCCCACCCACTTTGCCAAAGCACAGCCCCCACACCACTAGAGGGATATCAACAGACCAAGAATTTACTACCCTGAGACAAGGCTGAGTATAGCCCACAAAGATCTCCTCCACCGCACGAGCCCGAGGGGGCGCAAAACCGGACAGGAAGATCACGTCTGTGATTCAACCCACTCAAGTGACGCACCCCTCCTAGGGACGGCATGGAAGAGCACTAGTAAGCCAGTGACTCAGCCCATTATTGGATCAGAGGCAGAGAATCCCAGTGGAGAGAGGGTAGCCGGCCAGGCAGAGACAGCAAGGGTGGTTTGTCGCTCCAGTGCCTTGCTGTTCACCTTCGCACACCTGGGCCAGACTACACTCAATCATAGGACCTACTGAAGAGATTAGTCTTTAGTAATGACTTAAAAGTCGAGACCGAGTCTGCGTTTCTCACATGGATAGGCAGACCATTCCATACATATGTAGCTCTATAGGAGAAAGCCCTGCCTCCAGCTGTTTGCTTAGAAATTCTAGAGACATTAAGGAGGCCTGTGTCTTGTGACTGTAGTGTATGTGCAGGTATGTATGGCAGGACCAACTCAGAGAGATGGGTAGGAGCAAGCCCCTTAATGCTTTGTAGGTTAGCAGTAAAACCTTGAAATCTGCCCTAGCCTTAACAGGAAGCCAATGTAGAGAGGCTAGCACTGGAGTAATATGATAAAATATTTTGGTTCTAGTCAGGAGTCTAGCAGCTGTGTTTAGCACTAACTGAAGTTTATTTAGTGCTTTATCCGGGTAGCTGGAGAGTAGATTGTTGCAGTAGTCTAATCTAGAAGTGACAAAAGCATGGATTAGTTTTTTTCTGCATCATTTTCGGACAAAAAGTATCTGATTTTTGCAATGTTACGAAGATGGAAAAAAAGCTGTCCTTGAAATATTCTTGATATGTTCGTCAAAAGAGAGATCAGGGTCCAGAGTAACGCCAAGGTCCTTCACAGGTGTATTTGAGATGACTGTACAACCATCAAGATTAATTGTCAGATCCAACAGCAGATCTCTTTGTTTCTTGGGACCTAGAACTAGCATCTCTGTTTTGTCCGAGTTTAAAAGTAAAACATTTGCTGCCATCCACTTCCTTATGTCTGAAACACAGGCTTCCAGGGTAGGCAATTTTGGGGCTTCACCATGTTTCATCGAAATGTACAGCTGTGTGTCGTCCGCATAGCAGTGAAAGTTGACGTTGTGTTTCCGAATGACATCACCAAGAGGTAGAATATATAGTGAAAACAAGAGTGGTCCTAAAACAAGTCCATGTTAAGCTCACTAAGCTAAAGCCTAGACATTATCTTGGTGAGCTAACGAAAGTCTACAGGTCACAGGCAAGCTAACTTCCTCATTATGCGAGCTTGGTTCCCATGTTCTCACATTCCCACAGAAATTGATGATTCCCACCATTACTTAAAAACAAAACAAGTCCCATGTTGAGAGGGGGGTGTTTTATTCTCACCGTCTCAGAGTGGAGCCAATGACACCATGGTATTTCGACCTGTTCCAGACAGTGTATCTCGCTGTTTAGTCTATGCACTGTAAGTCACTGTTGACCAAAGAGTCTGCTAAATGAATTTAAACGCAGACACAGGGAACTTCCCTGCTTAGACCACCCACCCCAAAGCCTGAATTGAGTTTGCTGCCTGGGTGTCGTTCTTAAGAATATTTGGCAATACTGCAACAGTGACAGAGCAGTAGTAGAGCCCTGTTAATTGATACAGTTACATATCACAATATTATTTTTGAATGATAATAGAACGATATGACTTCAAGTATAAATATTTTTTTGATACTGTAGGTAGCGTTAGCAAGCGCTAGTCGGTTTTACAGTACCTGCGCCAAAACTCCAGTATTTTTCATCCAATAGCGTGTTCTCCATCTTCTTTTTAAAGTGAGCCAACATGCTTTCAGGACTATTACACTACATGACCAAAAGTATGTGGACACCTGCTCGTCGAACATCTCATTCCAAAATCATGGCCATTAATATGGAGTTGGTCCCCCCTTTGCTGCTATAACAGTCTTTCCACTAGATGTTGGAACATTACTGCGGGTACTTGCTTCCATTCAGCCACGAGCATTAGTGAGGTCGGGCACTGATGTTGGGCGATTAGGCCTGGCTCGCAGTCAGCGTTCCAATTCATCCCAATGGTGATTGATGGGGTTGAGGTCATTGCTCTGTGCAGGCCAGTCAAGTTCTTCCACACCGATCTCAATAAACCATTTCTGTATGGACCTCGCTTGTCATGCTGAAACAGGAAAGGGCCTTCACCCAAACTGTTGCCACAAAGTTGGAAGCACAGAATTGTCTAGAATGTCATTGTATGCTGTAGCGTTAAGATTTCCCTTCACTGGAACTAAGGGGCCTAGCCCGAACCATGGAAAAACAGCTCCAGACCATTATTCCTCCTCCACCAAACTTTACAGTTGGCACTATGCATTCGGGCAGGTAGCGTTCTCCTGGCATCTGTCAAACCCAGATTTGTCCGTAGGACTGCCAGATGGTGAAGTGTGATTCATCATTCCAGAGAACGCGTTTCCACTGCCCCAGAGTCCAATGGCAGCGAGCTTTACACCACTCCAACCGAAGCTTGGCATTGCGCATGGTGATCTTAGGCTTGTGTGCGGCTGCTCGGCCACGGAAACCCATTTCATGAAGCTCCTGATGAACAGTTATTGTGCTGACGTTACTTCCAGAGGCAGTTTGGAATTTGGTAGTGAGTGTTGCAACCGAGGACAGATGATTTTTAAGTGCTTCAGCACTCTGTGGTCCTGTTCTGTGAGCTTGTGTGGCCTACCAATTCGCGGCTGAGCCGTTGTTGTTCCTAGACGTTTCCACTTCACAATAACAGCACTTACAGTTGACCGGGGAAGCAGGGCAGGAATTTGACGAACTGATTTGTTGGAAAGGTGGCGTCCTATGGCATTGAAAGTCACTGAGCTCTTCAGTAAGTCCATTCTACTACCAATGTTTGTCTATGGAGATTGCATGGCTGTGTGCTCAATTTCTCTCTCTGCAGCAGACATAAAGTGAGCAATATGTTTGGAACATCAAATCGCAATTAAATCGCAGTATTGAATCGCAATACAAATAGAATTGTGAGAATCTTGAAAATCACAATACATATCGTATCTGCACCTAAGTATCGTGATAATATCGTATCGTGAGGTCCCTGGCAATTCCCAGCCCTACTGTTAACTGTGTTGGCTATAACCAAAAGAATGACACTCTTTCTTCATCAATATGTTCTAAACCCAAACAGGAAACTCGTCATAGCCGCCCGCACAACAGCCTCGTGTCCCAGTTGGGGGAATCATAAAACAAACAAGGAGCATGTTCCCCTGGAAACTACACTCCCTCTTTATTAGATTCTATTAACATAAATTGTGCAATAGCGTTTTTCCCCATCCTGTGGTTGGAGACGTGGGGTACTTCTTTCCAGGAACTGGCTTAGTCCTCCAACAGAGTCCAACTAATGTTTTGGTTTCTGAGAGTGCGGTAGCCAAGGCGACAGCCCCCCCTCCCAGCACTGAAGTGTGGATAGCAACGCCCTAGTGATGAGTTCAGCCAAATGGGTCACTCCGTGTTTGCTCTGCCTTCCTTCAACAATCCATCTTGGTGTCTCACGTCTTGCCAGCCAACACAGAGATGGACGTCCGACCATGTCAATAGGGATGAGGGCGTCTTCATTTTTTTTCTAACTTTGCTAACAAGATCTTGTCATGTTTCCAACGTGACCTGGGCCATTTTGTATCCTATATCTGACTTTTTCCAACCTCCTTTCAGGACATATCAATTTCTTTCGCTTACTCTTTTAGCACTTAAAAAAAGTAATATATAATCTATCTCTTTCTCTCCCTCTTTTGCTCTCAAAGGATAAATCACTACCAACAGAAGCTGCAGTCGCTGTACTTCAAAAAGAAGTTTGCAGAGACGATTGCCGGGATCAAACCCAAAGTAGAAGGTGTGTGTGATTGTGTGGGGCTTCTTGGCAAACCCTTACATAAAAAAACTCAAACACAATGAGGTCCGCTGTATCCACACATACATACATACATGTGAAGTACCCTACCCTACAGTTCAGGTGTCTTTTTTGTTTGGCTCACGTGTTTCTTCCCTCTTCAGCTCTGATCAAGGCCTCCAAAGAGGTGCTGCACAGCCGCAATCTGAAGCAGCTGCTGGAGGTGGTGCTGGCCTTTGGTAACTACATGAACAAAGGCCAGAGGGGCAATGCCTATGGCTTCAAAGTGTCCTCGCTCAACAAGATCGCAGACACAAAGTCCAGCATAGACAAGTAAGAGGAAGAACTGTGATTCAAATTACGAGTGTGATTCATGCTGTAGTGATACAGTCTATGGAGCAACCTGTTTGCATGTGTTGTCTGGAGTGGTGTCATGATATGGGTGTGTGCATATGTGGCCCATGCTGTGGTACTAGTGCTGTAAGTATTGTCTATGCACATGCAGGAACATCACCCTCCTCCACTACCTGATCACCATCCTGGAGAAGAAGTACCCCAAAGTCATGATGTTCCAAGAGGACCTGCAGAGTGTGCCGGAAGCCGCAAAAGTCAAGTAGGTCGAGCCACAAAGACACCCTCCACATGTACAGCTCACCAGTGTTTACATTTATGGGCCCTTGCTGTCTACTCTCGTTAAATGTCTTTAGGAAATGGTTTTCTGTGGTCTATCAGTCCCATTGAGTTAAAATTCACCCTGTAGGTCGCACAAGCCATTGTAGACACTGCTACAGCACAAACTTCTCAATGCTGCCAACTGGGATTTGGGGGAACAGTTGTTCAGAATGTTTCCTTAGCATTTGCCTTAAAGGCGGAGATGATTAGTGAAGATAAGCTAATATAATACTGTATATACACTGAGTGTACAAAACATTATGAACACCTGCTCTTTCTATGACATAGACTGACCAGGTCAATCCAGGTGAAAGCTATGATCCCTTATTGAAGTCACTTGTTAAATTCACTTCAATCAGTTTAGATGAATGGGAGGAGACAGGTTAAATAAGGATTTTTAAGCCTTGAGATAATTGAGACATGGATTGTGTATGTGTGACATTGAGGGTGAATGGGCAAGACAAAATATTTAAGTGCCTTTGAACGGAGTATGGTAGTAGGTGCCAGGCGCATCGGTTTGAGTGTGTCAAGAACTGCAACACTGCTGGGTTTTTCACGCTCAACAGTTTATTGTGTGTATCAAGAATGGTCCACCACCCAAAGGGCATCCAGCCAACTTGACAGAACTGTGGGAAGCATTGGAGTCAACATGGGCCAGCATCCCTGTGGAACGCTTTCGACATCTTGTAGAGTCCATGGCCCAACGAATTGAGGCTGTTCTGAGGGCAAAAGGGAGGGGTGCAACTCAATATTAGGAAGGTGTCCTTAATGTTTTGTACTCTGTGTATATACCATTTAGCAGACGCTTTAATCCACATTTTACGTGTGGGTGGTCCTGGGAATCGAACCCACCTCCCTGGCATTACAAGCGCTATTGTTCTGCCAACTGAGCTACAAAGCTACTCTTACCATAAAAATTGTGTGGTGAGCTTCCAGCACCTTTGTGGCTGCATAACTAGCATCAGATCCATTAATTTATTCTGTAAGGTCCCTCAGTCGAGCAGTGAATTTCACACAGATTCAACCACAAAGACCAGGGAGTTTTCCAATGCCTCGCAAAGAAGGGCACCTATTGGTAGATAAAAATACATTTTAAATAAAAAAGCTGACATTTAATATCCCTTTGATCATGGTGAAGTTAATAATTACACTTTGGATGGTGTATCAATACACCCAGTCACTACAAAGATACAGGCGTCCTTCCTAACTCAGTTGCTGGAGTGGAAGGAAACCGCTCAGGGAATTTCACCATGAGGCTGATAGTGACTTTAAAACAGTTAGAGTTTAATGGCTGTGATAGGAGAAAAATGAGGATGGATCAACAACAAATATTCTAAAACATGCAGGCACTAAAGTAAAACTTTAAATGTGGCAAAGAAATTAACTTTACGTCCTGAATACAAAGCGGTTTGTTTGGGGCAAGTCCAACACATCATTGAGTACCACTCTTCATATTTTCAAGCATAGTGGTGGCAGCATCATGTTATGGGTATGCTTGTCATCAGCAAGGACTACAGAGTTTTTTTTGGGATAAAAATAAACGGAATAGAGCTAAGCACAGGCAAAATCCTAGATGAAAACCTGGTTCAGTCTGCTTTCCAACAGACACTGGGAGACAAATTAACCTTTCAGCAGGTCAATAACCAAAAACACAAGGCCAAATATACACTGGAGTTACTTACCAAGATGACATTGAAAGTTCCTGAGTGGCCTAGGTACACTTTTGACTTAAATCGGCTTGAAAATCTATGGCAAGACTTGAAAATGATTGTCTTGACAAAGCTTGAAGAATTTAAAGAAAAGAATGTGCAAATATTGTACAATTCAGGTGTGCAAAGCACTTAGATGCTTACCCAGAAAGGGGTTGAATATATTAGTTTTATTTTTCATATATAGTTTTTTACAAATGTTAGAATTTTTCTTCTACTTTGACATTACAGAGTATTTTGTGTAGATCATTGACAAAAAATGAAAATTAAATCAATTTTAATCCCACCTTGTAACACAACAAAATGTGGAAAAAGTCAAGGGGTTTGAATACTTTCTGAAGGCACAGTAGCTGTGTGTATAAGCTTACGCCCAGCACAGCTTTCATTGTAGTAAGGTAATGAGGCGAGAGGCGATTGTAGTAGAAAAGTTTGAATGTATCATCAGCGTGTGTCAGTGAATGGGCTTTTTTACTACTGGGCCTATGAGTCAGCCTAGCGTCATCTAAGCATGTGCTGCCTCTTTTAGCCCCGAGGAACGGATGTGTGTGTGTGTGTGTGTGTGTGTGATTGGATCAGTTGCACTCCATAATGCTTCAATAGTAGATATCTGAAGTAATGGCTCTTTTGAACACACACACACACTCACTGATGTCATTCCATGTGACTGTGTGTAGTAGAAACCTACAAAAAGCGTTTTTCCTCATTCACTCATAGAACTCGTGAGCAGTGTTCTGTAAGACTCAGACTACACCACACACAAGTCGTCCAGGTCCTGAGGCAGCAAAGCATCCCCTAAACCATCACACTACCACCACCATGCTTGACCGTTGGTATAAGGTTTCCTACTGTGGAATGCACTGTTTGGTTTTCGCCAGCCATAATCGGACCCATGTCGTCCAACAACGTATACTTTTGACTCATCTGTCCATAGAACTTGAGTCTTGATGATCATCCAGGTGCATCCAAGTGCTTCCAAGTGCTTTTTGGCAAACTTTAGTCAACTTTTTGGACGAGATGGTTCCCAATATGTCTGGCAAAAACCAAAAACACAGCATTCCACAGAAAGAACCTCATACCAATGGTCAAGCATGGTGGTGGTAGTGTGATAGTTTGAGGATGCTTTAATGCCTCAGAACCTGGATGACTTGCCTTAATAGAAGGAACCATGAATTCTGCTCTGTATCAGAAAATTCTACAGCAGAATATCAGGCCATCCGTCTGTGAGCTGAAGCTGAAGCGCAGCTGGGTCATGCAGCAAGACAATGATCCAAAACACACAATCAAGTCTACATGAAAATGGTCCAAACGTAATCCCAATTGAGATGTTGTGGCAGGACTTGAAACAAGCAGTTCCTGTTTGAAAACCCACAAATGTCACTTAGTTAAAGCAGTTCTGCATGCAAGTGTGCCAAGATTCCTCCACAGCGATGTGAGGGATTGATCAACAACTACAGGAAGCATTTGGTTGCAGTCATTGCAGCTAAAGGTGGCACAACCAGTTATTGAGTGTAAGGGGGCAATTTAATTTTCCACACAGGGGAATTGGGTGTTGCATAACTTTGTTAATTAAATAAATAAAATAAGTATACATTTTTGTTATTCGGAAACTCAGGTTCCCTTTATCTAATATTAGGGTTTGGTTGAAGATCTGATAACATTCAGTATCAAAAATGTGCAAAAATAGAGAAAATCAGAAAGTGGGCAAATACTTTTTCACTGCACTGTATTTCTAGATTGAAACAGTTCTAACTAGGGTAACACCATGGATGTGAAAAACACTGTTTAGTTGGTAGTGTGATGTTGTGTGAGAACTTTTTGTGAGAACAAGCTTTGCAATTGAAGAGCTCTCTTGACGATTTAACCTATCTCTCTCTTTCCCTCTATCTCTCTCTCTCCCTCTATCTCTCTCTCTCTCCCTCTCTCTCCCTCTCTCTCTCTCTCTTTCCCTCTATCTCTCTCTCTCCCTCTCTCTCTCTCTCTTTCCCTCTATCTCTCTCTCTCCCTCTATCTCTCTCTCTCTCCCTCTATCTCTCTCTCCCTCTCTCTCTCTCTCTCTCCCTCTCTCTCTCTCTCTCCCTCTATCTCTCTCTCTCCCTCTATCTCTCTCTCTCCTTCTCACTGTAGCATGACTGAGCTGGAAAAGGAAATCAATAACTTGCGCAGTGGCTTGAAAAACGTTGAGAGTGTGAGTACAGTAATTGGCCCGGTCTTCATCCTAATTCCCTTGCTGTCGTCTCATTTTCTACCAATCCACACGTTTTCTTCATTCATGACCCTTTTCAATTTTTCTCTTACTTTCTTTCTCTTGTCCTCTTTCTCTTGTCCTCTTTCTCTTGGTCTCTATGATTTTGTTTTCTCAATTCCTAGTACGTCACTCCCAATGGAATGTGGATCAGGTTGGGGTCAATTCTATTTCTATTCCAGTCAATTCAGAAAGTACACCAAATTCCAATTCCACATGTTCCTCAGTGAAAAGTATTGACGAGAATCGGATTTTCAGTCTACTTTCTGAATTTACTGGAATTGAAATGGAAGTAATAATAGCTGTAGTCAGTAGCAACCCTGATGTGGACTATCCTGCCACCAAGGCAACCACTGAATATTCTCCCAGGTATCATAGTCCACATCATTGACAGACCTAAAGGCAAGAGATTGTTTTGCTTGAGAGCAAATTTAACAGAGCAATTGGAAAAGTAAGCTGGAATTCTAGGGATATCACTTCTAATTATAAAAAGGTAAAAAAGCAAACAATGGGTGACCAAGTTAGTTGCACATTTTTTCCCCTCTGCTCTTTCACTCACTTTTGCTCTCTCTCTCTCTCTCTCTCTCTCTCTCTCTCTCTCTCTCTCTCACTCTCTCAATGTCCTTTTCTTTTCTTCCGCTCTGTCAGGAGTTGGAGTTTCAGAAGAAGCGGCCCCAGGAGGTGGGCGATAAGTATGTGTCAGTGGTGAGCCAGTTCATCACTGTGGCCAGCTTCAGCTTCTCGGATGTGGAGGATTCTCTCACCGAAGCCAAAGAGCTGGTGAGTGTGTGTGTGTGTTTTTATAGGGCCATGTGGGAGTCTAAGAAGCTGTGCTTCCATATCCATGCCTACATGTATATCTGACTGAGTGTGCCAGTCTTTAGTCTCTGATTGTGTTAGGGGAGTTTGTATGCGTGCCGTGTGTGCTGCAGATTAGGGCTGCCTCAGTTTCCTCATAAGGTACAGTAGCTGTTGAAACAGGCCTCCGTGACCCCTCTGGCCACCCCCTGCGAGGTGTGAGAGTAACATCAGCACAAGGCATGCTGGGAGCTTCCTGTGCTGCCGCCCCTGGCTTCATTATTGGTCCCTACGGGGCCTCAAGAGACTGGGAGAGGAAACACGCCTGGAAATGCTGGCTCCGGCTCCAATTAAACTGTTGCATTTTTCTATAACATGCAAAATTGTGCACTTTTTTAAAAGTATGCTTTGAGATGCTATAGAGATTTTATGTTTGCTTGCAGATGTTAAATATGGTGAGGCGGTGCTGTGCGGATCCTCAGGCCACAGAATATCTCTGGTTGTAGTGAGCCATATACACAGGACCCAAACAGACCCAAAATGCCCCTCTCCCCCAACCCCATCACACCACCCACCGGCACCTGTAGCGTTGCATGCCCCATATGGCAGCGATGAACTCGCATCAAAGGCATAGTGGGAAGAGCAAAGTTACAGGACCCCCCCCAGGTGCCCCCCACTTCACCCCATACACAACAACAAACACACACGCACACAGTTCTCATTTCTGCCCTAGGCCCAGGTTCACCAGCTGTAATCAGTAGCACATGAAATGTAAGTTAATGAGGGCTTCAAAGCCTTGCTACTGCTGCTCAGCTACCAAGGGAGCAGGACATCACTGTTTTACAGTAGAACAGGACCCTAACCCCCACTGTCGTTGTTGTGTTTGTTGGTTTCAAACCCTAGCATTAGAAGGCTTCCTTCCTTCCTTTTAATGACGTGTTAATAATATGACACCAAACACATATAATCAAGGTAGTGGGTCAAAGAAGAGGAGCTGACACTACTACAGACTCATTTACTGTCGTTATATGTCTGGAGAATCCGCACTGTTCTCAATTTCCTAACCCACAACAATTAACTCCTGGTTACATGGTTAGGACTTGTTTTGTCCTTTTGGTTTTTGCAAGCTATGCTCAATGCAGTTGTTTGTGATGGGTGGTTGTTCTGTGTGGTTACAGTTGTTGTTGTTCTGAATAAATGACAGTATGTCTTTCTAGTAGTTGTTCTGTGTGTGTCTGTGCGTTGGTTGGTTGGTTGGTTGGTTGCAAAGCGCTGGCGTTTATTTTGGCCCTGCTGCTGCATCATAAAGCTGATAAACGGTTTGCCGTAATGGTACTGTCGTTGATTCTGTAGTAACATCCTCTGATAACGCAGGTCACACTGATTTAAACACGTCTTGGGAAACCAAGCTCCGATGTAGATACAGTATATTCTACTATGGTCAATATACTCACATTTCTTCTCTGGTCAATATACTCACCTTTCTTCTACAATGCTCTCATTGGTATTGTAAACCAATGTTTGGCCAAGAACAAATGCCTGTGTGGATCAGAAATAACTATACACACACTACCAGAAATAGCAGTACTTAAAGTCAGAACATATAGCCAGAAATGGCTGTATGTTCACATTGTTCTCGGGTCAGAGGTGGTTGCAGTAAAAAACAGTTCTAGGGCCAGTGAATGTTTTAGTGAATCTCTTCTCAATCCCACAGTTCCTGAGGGCGGTGAAGCATTTTGGTGAAGATGCCGGGAAGATGCAGCCGGACGAGTTCTTTGGCATTTTCGACCAGTTTCTGGTGTCGTTCGCTGAGGCGCGTCAGGAAAATGAGAATATGCGCCGACGCAAGGATGAGGAGGAGCGCAGGGCAAAGATGGAGGCTCAGGTGTGTACATACCTGCTAATCCTGAATTTAATTCAGAATTCCCCTGACAATTCTCCCTTATTTCAAAATCTGTGTGCAGTATTGATGTCGCATTTAGTGCTAAAGATCGCAACCTCATTTCATTATGGATTTAAGTTACAGCTGTAAGGGTGAACATCACATTATCACAACCAATAATTACAATTTTATTACATCAGATATGTCCCCAGGGCAATTTTCAGATTTTACATTTTCCCTCAAAAGTGGTCTTGAGTCTTACCAATTTCATATTCCATGGCATTTGCTGATTAGATTGCATAACATGCATTAGGAGAGATCTGTAGGAATATATTTCAGATGAATGGGAAAGAATGGTCCCATCCAAAATCAGCTTGCCCGCTTTGAGTCCTTCAACCTGTTCATCTGGCAAAAAGCCTGATGTGTCCTTTCATTCAAGTACAGAAATCAGATAAAATGCTCAATTAGATTAAGAAATGTGCGTCATGCACAGAATGATTGAACATCAGTCTTTTTCATCAGGATATTGGGCTGGATATGTTGGCACTCCTGGTACAAGCCTTGCTCTTGGCTGGTACAAGCCTGGCACACAAGCCCATTTGCTTGTGAACACACTCGACAATGGCTAAACTAGCTACATCCAAACGTCCCATGGCTCAAGATCATATTGGCATGTTTAATGCCAGTTTGACTGATACATGGCATGTAGTCAATATGCAGAACACAAGGTTGACAGGTGGAAATGAGGTGCTTTTTGGAAAATATCACATCAGCTTTTGTTGTTACACCATTTTACCAATACCCCTTTTTCGTCCCCCATATCTTTCTGTCTTTCCTGTCATGATCTCGCCATATTTCCACCTACCCTACGTTTCTGTCTCTCTCGCTCTCTTAGCTGAAGGAGCAGAGAGAGAAGGAGCGGAAGGCACGGAAAGCGAAGCCCAGCGGCGAGGACGACGGCGGAGAGTTTGACGACCTGGTGTCGGCACTGCGCTCCGGCGAGGTCTTCGACAAGGACCTGTCCAAGATGAAACGCAACCGCAAGCGCATCAACAGCCAGCCAGATACTGGCAGGGAGCGGCCAGTCACCAAGCTCAACTTCTGAGATGTCCAGCCCCCTGCCCAGCCCTCCATCCTATGATCCACCCACTGCCCATCTCACAGGCCTATCAACTCAGACAACCCAGCCAGCCACAGGCTGCTTCACCCCTGCTTTTGGCCTATACTGTCATCCGGTGGCAGACGTTGGGAGTGCACGTTCTTGACCCATCAGCCTCAGAGAAACATAAAACCATGGTTCCACTCATCACAGTATAAAGTTCTGAAACATTTTGAGACATTTCAGGCTGTTAACCTCTGAGGTCTGTAGGAGACACCACTTCCATTGATAGTGAATGTTGCGAGGTGGTCTACTGTTCTTCCCCCAAGATGGAACAGAAGGATAAAATGGATATAGACGTTTGTCTGGAAATGAATAACCAAATAAACAGAGTTTGAGGTGGAAGAAGTTTACTAGAACCAGGAAGAGGCCTCTGACAATGCGTGTTATTTGTATTTCAGAAGATATCAAAATGGGAGGACAGAATGACGACACTATCGTGTGTAGGTCACCTGGGGCGTCATTTATAACCGTTGCGTAAATTTCACACTTTTTCACAAATTCCTGGGTGAGCCATTTCTGAAAAGTCTGCACACATATACAAATATTGAGATTTATCAATTTGGCGCACGACTGACACACGTTTCCTGTTATAAATCAGACCTGTAGTAAAATGGTGACAATAACGCCCTTTATTTGCTGTATAATTTGGAACTATTGGCATTAGGCCACGACATGCAAAATACGATTTGTTGTTCGATATTGAGTTCATCAATAGATTATTGGGTTTCTATTTCCTGCCTTGGTATAGACTCAGATTAAATAGGCAATGATGTCGCGCTCCTATCGCACAGAAAAAACGGTAGCCTGCCCATACTGTCTAATGTTTTGCATAAGCTACCGGTCTATTTACTATGTTGGCAGAATGTTTTAATCTTTAGCAAGAATTTATGCTGTATCTAAATGTAGTAATAGTAATACATTTAGCTGACGCTTTTATCCAAAGCTACTTAGTCATGCGTGCATACATTTTAAGTATGAGTGGTCCCGGGAATAGAACCCATTATGCTGGCGTAGCAAACGCCATGCTCTACTACAGGGTTCTTCAATTCCGGTCCTGGAGGGCCGAAACACTTCTGTTTTTTATTTCTACCTGGTAGTTAATTGCACTCACCTGGTGTCCCAGGTCTGAATTAGCCCCTGATTAGAAGGAGAGGATGAAAAACAGAGGTGTTTCGGCCCTCCAGGACCCTGCTCTACTAACTGAGCCACAGAGGATCACAAATATGATGGATTGCCCGCGAATTCTCAAACATTGTAGAGCAGGCTACAAAAACATGTAATTACAGTAGGCCTATTTCAATGTAAAAGATCAGCTGTTAAATTCGACTGTGTGCTGGTATTATAAACCGCGCTGCCTATAATTTTGCAAAACAACTTGAAATACATATAGCCTATCTATTTACTAGGCTACTAGGTACAATGAAATGGCAGATGCGCATGGTAATTTGTTGTATAGGACTCCTTCGGGAATATGAACCGATCACGGCCAGAAAATGTGAGGAATATATTCTACAATGGTTATGAAAATAACATAAATGGGAAAAAGATTCCTATGTCTAATTATTTTAGATTCTAAAAAATAAAACCGGGAATTTCGAGCTTCTCACTAATGGCAAATGGCTGCATTCTTGTTCATCTGTTTTCCAGTTTTTTATGAATATGCTTTTCATCATATCGCCATTTGCACAAAATACTTGCTTGTATTACAATATTTCAACCACTAGCAGATGTGCGTAAGCATGGTCTAAAGTTTGGAGAGGAGAGCACATTCTCAGTTCAAGTTACATTTTTATGCGTGAAAACTGGCGAGCACATTTTGGGGTATATTTTGTACATAAGCACGGTTTATAAATGAAGCCCCGCAACTGCTGTGGAAAGTCACTATTTGCTCAGACCTCATCTGATATATACACCTTTATAGCCCATGTAACCCGTGGAAACATATTCTATGTCTGGATGGAATTTATCTGCTTCCAATGACATAGCTTCACTAAACAAACCCCAAATTCATGCTCATTCATGCTTGAACAGACACTATTCATGCTGTGTTTAATGGCAGAATCATTAGGCAGACTGAAATGTACAGGAAACACAACTATTTTTCAAGGCTGGGTGTTGGAATGACATTGGGACTAGGAAGAGAAACCCAAAACCAGTGGAAGATGTATTTTGATCAACTATAGTTGACATTAAGAGGACATTTTACAGAGTGGACAAACTTTTTGTTTTACTTTTTTTTCTGCTGGAATGAGCAATTTTGTATGGGGTGATTTTATAGATTAACTCCCAAGGTAACCAAGGATGTGAGTGAATAATTACAGGACAAGAACAAACGTTGTTGTTATATTGGACACCTGCTCATGGAAGTTGATCTTAACCATGCAGATGTTTGAGGGAAATCCAACAGCCTTGTCTGCCATTTTCACAAAACTGTGGACGCTCATGTCAGACTCTATGCATACATACAATGTTGGTTGTTTGCCCCCCCTCATCCCATATATTTCATGTTGTATGTAATTAATTTAAAAACATATCCAGTCAATGCAATACTACTCGGCCCTTCTTTTCCTTTCACAGGAGTGCCCTCGTCCAGCTTTAACTGTGTGGCATATTCTCTTTCACAATTTGAGATACCTCCATTGGGCTTCTATAATTTAAATATGGCCTTCCATTTTATAATAGAGCTGAAGTTAATAAATGGGAAAAAATACAGGTTGTGGTATTTTTATTTCAAATCATGGTGAAAATAACATTGTAAAAAGTCCCAATCACTGCAGAATGTGTCTATGAATGCATACATAAACACATGCTTTTAAAAATTAAACATCAGCCTCCTTCATAGTCACTTGGCTACCTTAGCAGAAAATGTTTGTATAGCACCATCTTGAGCCCAATATGTTCCACATTGGCTTTGTAGCACTTCTGGCATGACACTGACATTGATTTGCACATCACCTTAAAGGGGGGCTGAACTGACTGATTTCGCCACGGTTTTCCTCCTCATCGTAAATGTGACTCCGGAGATGAGATTCTGTCATGGGGGTGTGGTTTATAATATATGCCGTTTAACAGACGCTTTAAAGTGACTGACGTGTGCATATCACAGTTTGGTGGCACCTTAATTGGGGAGGACGGGCTCGTGGTAATGGCTGGAGTTGAATGGTATCAAACACATGCTCTTCCTGATGTTGTAGGCACGATGCATTGATAATGAAGGGGGCTGTGCTTTTTTACCAATTGGTTCTCCTCTGTCGCAGAGCGAAACATTTTTTGGTTCAGTTCCTCTAACTGAGCTCTTTAAAATATAAAATGTCTGTTATAATAAATAAAAACTGTAACCCCTCAGCAACATATAGCAACATGAAAATCCCAAAAAGTTTTCACAGGAAATTACATCCTTTCAAGAAGTCAACATAGCACCTTAAGTTACAATAGTAGATCTCAGGATAGAGAACGAAAGATCATCTGGACAAAACTAATTCCCAATGCTGCAGATTAATTCATCATGAGTAAATTATAAAGCATTTGCACAAGATGCAGTGTAAACCCCAACATGTGGAATCTCATTGGTCAGAAAGTATTGCCCATCTATAACATTTTTTACAATTTATTTGAACTCTTATGGTCCTCTGCTTTTCTTGGCTGGAGATGCACTCAAACGTTGTTATGGACAATGGTAGCTGCTCTTATTTCAGGAGGAAACCAAGTTTTAGCTTGTCGTCACTTTCCTGCACAAAGCTGGCCACGCCAGTGTAGTGTGCTCTGCCAGCCACCTCAACCACCACAGCCTTGAAATCTCCACATATGGTTTCCTATGCAAAATGGAGAGAAAAGTAATTGGGTGCATTTCAGGTAGACAATTATAGAACTTTGCTTTAAATAGAATCTGCATAAAAATAGAATTTAACATGCTGTACTATTATTGTACTAGTTTGGGGAAAGCTTTTATGTGTGTGTGTCAAATGTCTTTGCAATCATTGCACCAATTATTCAGTAATGTAAACACTACAGAGCGCAGCAACAAGTCAGTGGCCTTCGAAGATCAGTGATCGAAATGCTGTGTTTTGCAAAGACGCAGTTATCAGTATTTCTCCCCCCCATGTACAGTATGCTCTTATTTGCTCCTTTGCACCTGCAGCACTATCAAGTCTGCATAGTGCATACAGCCCTTCTGCTATCCTGAAATGAATATCAATATAACAAGACAAAACATCCATTTGAGATATCATTGTGTTGATGAAACCAAGCTTAATTGAAAACTTCCAAAAAGGCTTTTAGAGGCATGAAAATATATTGGAGACGGCCCTCGTACCTGAACTGCTTTGCCAGTGAACAGAGATCCTGTGGCCCCGCTCTGGAAGTGCCTAGTCTGATTGAGTTGGATGAGGCCTTTATGGTACTGGAGAGCCACACGGGCAGTGACCCCTGAACCTGTAGGGCTTCTGTCCACCTAGCCCATGTGACGTGTCAGACAACCAAAAGGGAAACAAAATCAGACCACATTCATGAAAGATGTCTTGCTATAGTTGCAATTAACTTAAACTCTTCTAATTTGGATATCAAAGGACTATTATTTACAAATCACTGTCTACTTCTGTCTCCAATGTTTATCTATGCTTGCCTTTACTTTTATTTTAAACCTTACTTCAAATCATGTGGTGATATGACTGGTATCATAGGTATCATGTACAGTAGCTTCTGTTTAAGGCTACTGTACCGTGGCAGGAGTTCAAGTTTGTTGTACCTGGGCATCTGCAAACACACACATGTTAGCAGTGGGCTCTTGGGAATAGGCATCTTTTCCGTCCGTGAGGATGGTGCCATAGAGGAAGGCTAGGTCCTCACTGGTTGGGTGGTGCAGTTTCACCTAGGGGATCCACACATTCACAGGGTTACTAATCTCCTAGGTTGCAGGATTCAGGACATTGAGGTGAACGTTGAGTGGCCGTTAAACTGCAAATTTACAGTTGGGCTAGAACAAATCCTTACCTGAGATTTGACAGAGTTGGTCACTGCAGTAGCTGCATCCACCAGATCCCTGGTCTTGGACTTGATGATGTCCAGGCCAAATCTCTCTGCACTTACAAATGCATAGAATGCTCCTCCGTAGCTTATATCAACAGTGACTTCATCATGCCCAGGCACAGCTACAATCACATCTGATAAAAAGAGATTTAGCCTCAATAGCAAAAGGCAACCAACCTCCAGCAGCCAGCATAGTGTAAAGTAATTTGAGATGGTGATACCTTGTATTCTACTAGAGTCCGTTTTAAATTATCACAGAACACAGATCCATATTTCCTCATTGCAACGCTATATGCAATATTACTATGTATTGAAATGATTGTTAGCAAAGAACGTAACTTACCTGTTGCAAATGCAAACGCTGGAACACTGTGGAACCTCACACCTCCGGTTTTACCATTGGAGTACTCCACAAATGCCTTAACCAGGCCACATGGACAGTGTATATTCACCTGCGTCTCTGGCGACCTTGGCTCTTGAACAAGTTTGTAGTCTACAGCGAACCTCCCAAGAGCAATGATTGCGTGGCCACACATGGTACTGTAACCTTCATTGTGCATGAAAAGAACCCCCAAGTCGGCTTCAGGTATCTCACTCTCCACGACCAGGGCTCCGTACATATCATAGTGTCCCCTTGGTTCGAACATCAACGCTCTCCGTAGGTAGTCCAGATGCTCTCTCACGTAGCGTCGTTTGGATAGCACACTCTCGCCCTTTACCTCCGGGTAACCACTTAGGATAATGCGCAAAGGCTCTCCACCTGTGTGCATGTCGACCACAGAGAGTACCGGTCCTTCGTGGGGTGGAAGCTCCATCTGATTTGGACAAAAACATTCAACCAGAAGGTTTGCATGCAATCTTCTGTGGTGTAATAATTGATTTGGCGCACTTAAATGATCACTAGGTAATGGGAATGCAACAATCTCATCCATTGTGTTTATCTACCTGAAGTTAGGGCCCTGTGTTTTGCAAATCATGTGACACAATAATATTTTATCCTCTATTTAAAGCCGAATCCAGAAATTAGAATTACATAAAAATTTAAGCAATTATCTGAGGATGGTGCTGGACCATCTGACATGAAAATGGGACAGTTTGATGAAAAAGCTTTAAATAAAAGTTAATACAGCAGGGTTGGGGTTAATTCCACAAATTAAATTCTAATTAAATTCCCTCTACCTGTACATTCCATTTAATTCAATTCAAATTCCAGGTCAGTCTTTGAATTCAGAGATGGGGGTGGGGAGTGGCGAACTTGACAACCTCACAACGACTTGGGGGCAGAGGGTTCAGAACAACGACGACAAAAACTGTATACAAAACATATATACATTGAGTATACAAAACACTAAGAACACCTGCTCTTTCCATGACATAGACTGACCAGGCAAAACCAGGTGAAAGGTATGATCCCTTATTGATGTCACTTGTTAAATCCACTTTAAATCAGTGTAGATGAAGGGGAGGAGACAGGTTAAAGAAGGATTTTTAAGCATTGAGTGGGCAAGACAAAAGATTGAAGTGCCTTTTGAACAGGGTATGGTAGTAGGTGCCAGGCGTACCGGTTTGTGTCAAGAACTGCAGCGCTCCTGGGTTTTTCACGCTCAACAGTTTCCTGTGTGTATCAAGAATGGTCCACCACCCAAAGGTCATTCAGCCAACTTGACACAACTGTGGGAAGCAATGGAGTGAACATGGGCCAGCATCCCTGTGGAATGCTTTCGACACCTTATAGAGTCCATGCCCCAATGAATTGAGGCTGTTCTGAGGGCAGGTGTTACTGATTTTTGGTATACTCAGTGTATATACCACCACCTAGTGGTAGTGGGAGGGCAAAGGAGGCAGGTACTCGAGCACAGGTAGACCCCTATCTGTGAACATGCCTGCACCCTCCTGAACACCAGTCTCCCCCCAACCACGGGACTGATTTGACCCTCCCTCGTCTTACTACAGGGCAATTCCATGGTAATGGAATTACGCTGAGACTCAGGTTTTTCACTTTAGAATGTATACCAAACAAAAACCATTGATTTCAAAGTTTAACAAACGATAGAATTCTATGCACAAGGACTGCTTTTAACAATTTCCCCAGAAAAGTTGACAAAAACACTTTTACAGGAAGAACTGTGCCGATACAAAGTTTGGTAACAGAACAGAACTAAGGGAGATTTTGCCGTAAGATGTCTTAAGTTTTGAGGGAGCGTGCAATTTGCATGCTGACTGCAGGAATGTCCACCAGAGCTGTTGCCAGAGAATTGACTGTTCACTGCTCTACCATAAGCCACCTCCGTAATTTTAGAGAATTTGGCAGTACGTCTAACTACAGACCACGTGTATGGCGTCATGTTGGTGAGCGGTTTGCTGATGTCATCGTTGTGAACAAAGTGCCCCATGGTGGGGTTATGGTATGGGCAGGCATAAGCTACGGACAACAAACACAATTGCATTTTATCAATGACAATTTGAATGCACTGAGATACCGTGACGAGATCCTGAGGCCCATTGTCGTCCATTCATCAGCCGCCATCACCTCATGTTTCAGCATGATAATGCACGGCCCCATGTCGCAAGGGTCTGTACACCAGTCCTGGAAGCTGAAAATGTTCTTCCATGGCCCGCATACTCACCAGACATGTCACCCATTGAGCATGTTTGGGATGCTCTGGATTGATGTGTACCACAGTGCGTACCAGTTCCCCCGCAATATCCAGCAACTTCGCACAGCCATTGAAGAGGAGTGGGGCAACATTCCACAGGCCACAATCAACAGCCTGATCTACCAGCTGGCAGAAGATGGCGCCGGAGGGGATGGCTGCCGTTTTATGGACTCTTAACCAACCGTGCTATTTGGTGTGTTTTTTCGTATTGTTTGTAACTTATTTTGTACATAATGTTGCTGCTACCGTCTCTTATGACCGAAAATAGTTAATGGACATCAGCACAGCGATTACTCACCTTGAACTGGACAAATAATTTTTATTTAATGAGTCGGACGAGAGGGATTTGCTCCAGACACCCGACAGGGCCCTCATCCCAGTCATTCGCAGTAGAAAGAAAATAAGATTGCGGAAGGAGATCGGGGTGCTTGGTAAGGAACCGGCAACAAGTGGCTAATCTGCCTTTGCCATCGATACTATTGGCCAACTTACAATCGCTTGATAATAAAGTGGACGAACTACAGGCACGAATATCCTGCCAACCGGACATTAAAAACTGTAATATCTTATGTTTCACCGAGTCGTGGCTGAACGATAACATACAGCTGGCGGGTTATACACTGTATCGGCAGGATAGAACAGCAGCCTCTGGTAAGACAAGGGGTGGCGGTCTATGTATATTTGTAAACAAAAGCTGGTGCACGATATCTAAGGAAGTCTCGAGGTTTTGCTCGCCTGAGGAAGAGTATCTCATGATAAGCTGTAGACCACACTATCTACCAAGAGAGTTTTCATCTATATTCTTCATAGCTGTCTATTTACCACCACAAACTGATGCTGGCACTTAGACCGCACTCAATTAACTGTATACGGCCATAAGCAAACAGGAAAACGCTCATCCAGAGGCAGCGCTCCTAGTGGCTGGGGACTTTAATGCAGGGAAGCTTAAATCTGTTTTACCTAATTTCTACCAGCATGTTAAATGTGCAACCAGAGGGAAAAAAACTCTAGACCACCTTTACTCCACACACAGAGACGAGTACAAAGCTCTCCCTCGCCCTCCATTTGGCAAATCTGACCATATTTCTACCCTCCTGATTCCTGCTTACAAGCAAAAACTAAAGCAGGAAGCACCAGTGACTCGGTCAAAAGTGGTCAGATGAAGCAGATGCTAAGCTACAGGACTGTTTTGCTAGCACAGACTGGAATATGTTCCGGGATTCTTCCGATGGCATTGAGGAGTACACCACATCAGTCACTGGCTTCATCAATAAGTGCATCGATGACGTCGTCCCCACAGTGACTGTACGTACCCCAACCAGAAGCCATGGATTACAGGCAACATCCGCACCAAGCTAAAGCTGCCGCTTTCAAGGAGTAGGACTCTAACCCGGAAGCTTATTAGAAATCCCGCTATGCCCTCCGACGAACCATCAAACAGGCAAAGCGTCAATACAGGACTAAGATCGAATCGTACTACACCGGCTCTGACGCTCGTCGGATGTGTCAGGGCTTGCAAACTATTACAGACTACAAAGGGAAGCACAGCCACGAGATGCCCAGTGACACGAGCCTACCATACGAGCTAAATTACTTCTATGCTCACTTCGAGGCAAATAACACTGAAACATGCATGAGAGCATCAGCTGTTCCGGACGACTGTGTGATCACGCTCTCCGTAGCCGATGTGAGTAAGACCTTTAAACAGGTCAACATTCACAAGGCCGCAGGGCCAGACGGATTACCAGGACGTGTAGTCCGACCATGCGCTGACCAACTGGCAAGTGTCTTCACTGACATTTTACACCTCTCCCTGTCGGAGTCTGTAATACCAATATGTTTCAAGCAGACCACTATAGTCCCTGTGCCCAAGAACACTAATGTAACCTGCCTAAATGACTACCGACCTGTAGCACTCATATCTGTAGCCATGAAGTGCTTTGAAAGGCTGGTCATGGCTCACATCAACACCATTATCCAAGAAACCCTAGACCCACTCCAATTTGCATACCGCCCAACAGATCCACAGATGATGCAATCTCTATTGCGCTCCACACTGCCCTTTCACACCTGGACAAAAGGAACACCTATGTGAGAATACTATTCATTGACTACAGCTCAGCGTTCAACACCATAGTGCCCTCAATGCTCATCACTAAGCTAAGGACCCTGGGACTAAACACCTCCCTCTGCAACTGGATCCTGGACTTCCTGATGGGCCGCACCCAAGTGGTAAGGGTAGGTAACAACACATCCGCCACGTTGATCCTCAACACAGAGGCCCCTCAGGGGTGCGTGCTCAGTCCCCTCCTGTACTCCCTGTTCACTCATGACTGCATGGCCAGGCACGACTCCAACACCATCATTAAGTTTGCTAATGACTCAACAGTGGTAGGCCTGATCACCGACAACGATGAGACAGCCTATAGGGAGGAGGTCAGAGACCTGGCCGTGTGGTGCCAGGACAATAACCTCTCCCTCAACGTGATCAAGACAAGGGAGATGATTGTGGACTACAGGAAAAAGAAGAGGACTGAGCATACCCCCATTCTCATCGACGGGGCTGTAGTGGAGTAGGTTGAGAGCTTAAAGTTTCTTGGTGTCCACGTCACCAACAAACTAACATGGTCCAACACACCATCGAGAGCATCCTGACTGGTTGCATCACTGCCTGGTATGGCAACTGCTCGGCCTCTGATCGCAAGGCACTACAGAGGTTAGTGCGTACGGCCCAGTACATCACTGGGGCCTAGATTCCTGCCATCCCGGACCTCTATACCAGGCGGTGTCAGAGGAAGGCCCTAAAAATTGTCAAAGACTCCAGCCACCCTAGTCATAGACTGTTCTCTCTGCTACCGCACGGCAAGCAGTACCGGAGCGCCAAGTCTAGGTCCAAGAGGCTTCTAAACAGCTTCTACCCCCAAGCCATAAGACTACTGAACATCTAATCAAATGGCTACCCAGACTATTTGCATTACCCCCTCCCTCCTCTCCCTCTTTTATGCTGCTGCTACTCTCTGTTTATTATCTACGCATAGTCACTTTAATAACTCTACCTACATGTACATATTACCTCAATTACCTCGACTAACCGGTGCCCCCGCACATTGACTCGATACCGGTACCCCCTGTATATAGCCTCGCTATTGTTATTTTACTGCTGCTCTTTAATTATTTGTTACTTTTATTTTATATTTTTAAATTTTGTATTTTTTGTGATTTTTGTATTTATTCTTTCTTAAAACTGCATTGTTGGTTAAGGGCGTGTAAGTAAGCATTTCACTGTAAGGTCTACACCTGTTGTATTCGGTGCATGTGACAAATAAGATTTGATTTGATTTGATTTAACTCTATGCTAAGGATATGTGTGGCCCTGCATGTGGCAAATGGTGGTCACGCCAGATACTGACTGGTTCTGATCCACGCCCCTACCTTTTTTTAAAGGTATCTGTGCATATCTGCATTCCCAGTCATGTGAAATTCATAGATTAGGGCCTAATGAATTCATTTCAATTGACTTTTTTCCTAATATGAACGTGGTATTCGTGCTTATTTTTGTGACAAATCTTCGAAAAACTCAGTAAAATCTTTGAAATTGTTGCATGTTGCGTTTATATTTTTGTTGAGTATAGAATGAAGTGTATTGAATTGAGTAAAAAAAACTAAACACCTACAGATAAACAGTATAAAACACCATTCAAACCATTTTTCAAGGTAGCCTATAAAGTTAACGGTAGTTCCAACTATGCTATTAGTGTAAAGCATGCGTAGAGTTGTTTACCTACTTTGTAAAATCCAATCCTGCTATTTACGTTCAAGGAACTCTGCTTTCCGTTTCTTTCAGTTCTGTTTCGCCGACAGCGCAAGAAACGACATTTCCGGATGCAAATGTCAAAAGCCTTCAAAATAAAAGTAAAAGAAACATTACTTTTTTTATTAAATTGAATTTTGTATCAATGGCTTCTAATATTATTATTTCAAGCAAATGTGACAAATTATTAATGAAAACAAGAAAAATGTGGGATTTCAACTCAATTATTTCATACCAATAAGAACAAATACAATAGTGAGACTGGTATTTATGGGCCTGTAGCAGTAGCGTCACGTGATATCTCCAGCAGGTGGCGTTGTTGTCAACATTTTCCAAAGACCTTGGTTCTATTTGAGACAGTTTTACATTGCAAACTCCAGTACATAAATCCAAACTCGATAGGAAATGATTGTGTATTGGTTTTGATAGACGAAATCAACATGCACACGCCGACGCATGTGCATGGCCGGTTTGGGGCCGGTGATAGGTTGTTTACACAGCCATCCCAAGTCCTATTGGAATACAGTATCCGTTTCTGAAGGTCAGGGAAAGGTTCGAGTGGATCACTTTTGTCAAGTCCTTGACTATCGTTGGTCACCGTCTTTCAAATTGTGTTGCATTCTGGTTCGAAAAATTGTCCGGTTTACGCCTACATGTCGACTGCATGAACTTTACAAAAATCATGTGATCAAAGGTCTTGACTGCAACGGTGAATCCCAACGTGTTGCTGACATAACTCCGAGGGTGACTTAATTCCAGAGTGGTGATGGCCTCAATAACCAATGAACTTCTGGACACACTCCTGACATGAGTGATGCAATTCATGGTCCATTTTTACATAATAAAACGAAAATGAAATTCAAATGAATAAATCCCCCCTGTTGTTTTACAAAATACTAACCTCAGTAATCACTAAACATTTAATTTGGGAGATATTTCATCTGTTACATGTGTCTAGTCTCGAAATCAGACATAAATAAATGCACGTGGCACATAATTAGGCACTCCTCTCCATTCTTTCGTATGAAATTGTGCAAACTCCAAACATATGCAGTGGGTGTTGGGATAACACTTCGCTCTGAAACCTGCAGGCTTGTTGTCTAGATAATTTTGTGCCGATGGCAAAGGAGAGTGTGAACGTGCAAATGGAAGGCCAAGGAGAAGGGGGTTATTTGGGATTCAGCCAAGTTTCTGCAGCTCTAGAACAACATCATCTTGCATCTATGACCTGCATTGTGGGAGGCTCTATTGTCAACCAATCATTGTTTTTTTTTGTTTTTTTTACCCACGCGAACGTAAGCAAAGACGACTGAAATGCAGTGGTGGAAAAAGTACCCAATTGTCATACTTTATTAAAAGTAAAGCTACCTTAATAGAAAATGACTCAAGTAAAAGTGAAAGTCCTTCAGTAAAATACTACTTGAGTAAAAGTCTAAAAGTATTTGGTTTTAAATATACCTAAGTATAAAAAGTAAATGTAATTGCTAAAATATACTTAAGTATCAAAAGTAAAAGTATACATCATTTAAAATTCCTTATATGAAGCAAACCAGACTTCACAATTTTTTTATTTTTTTTTTTAATTTACAGATAGCCAGGGGCACACTCCAACACTCAGACATAATTTACAAACAACCTTGTGCTTAGTGAGTCAGCCAGAACAGAGGCATTAGGGATGACCAGGGATATTATCTTGATAAATGCGTGAATTGAACCATTTTCCTGTCCTGCTAAGCATTCAAAATGTAAGGAGTACTTTTGGGTGTCAGGGAAATTTATGGCGTAAAAGGTACATTGATTTCTTTAGGAATTTAGTGAAGTAAAAATTGTCAAAAATATAAATAGTAAAGTAAAGTACAGATACCCCCAAAAACTACTTAAGTATTACTTGAGTACTTTACACCACTGCTGAAATGGAACCAATTTGCCGCGATTCATGTGCCACAATTCATACATCCAATAACAAGCACCGAGCTCTGTTGACAGAGCGACTTTTGAGCATTTTACATGTTGTGGTGGTCCTCTGCAAAGTTGTTTCCGCGGTCGCAAGAAGCAACATTAACATGACACGAACTGAATTAAATGTAAAAGGCATTGAAAATAAAACGCTTGGGGTACGCTCAGTGCTTCGTTGTCATTTCACAGTGGTACGATTATTTCTGTGAGAAATCTAATAAAAACATCAGGAATTTTGAAAAGCGGATACTAAGATGTGAAAATACTACATGTCATGTCTCTAAATCGATATATATATTTCCTTTATAATGTTATATGTCCTACGGATTCAAGAAGAAAGATGACGAGTTCAACGGTGAGCCTGTCATTGTCAGTTAGCCTTTTAATTCTTGCACAGCATCCAGTTTAGTTTATGCCATGCTATTTTCCAGATTTTTGACCACTTTTTTCTCTGGCCTTCATTGATTTAGTCACCCTCATTTTGGCCATTCTCCAATAACTTTTGAACGGATTATAATAGCGACATGAGGTTTGGACCATGGTTTTTCTTAGAGGAGTATCTACACAACTAACATACAGTATTTTACCCATTGGTCAAAATACATGTTTTTGATTGAACACCCTAAACATTATATTAATATATATTAATATATATATATATATATATATATATATATATATTTATATTATTATTATCAATGTATTACTTGGAATGTTCATTCAAATCGCATCAGGGGTTGTATTTCAGTTATTCAGACATGAGAGGCAGAGACTGTTGCCTTACTACAACACCTCGTTGATAAGACGGGTTTAAATAGTGACGTATATAAACCCTGGATGACTGACAGGGGGCGCTGTATTGAAGCCACCGCGCAGCCATGGCATTTATTAATGTCTACGTTCGTTTTTGACACGTTTATTCTATTACAGACACGTTAATGCATACTTTTAAATGTTACATGAGCTAAGCATAAAAATAAAAATGAAAAAATATATAAAAACATTGTCCTTAAAGATTTTTTTTTAGAGTGTGCTAATGTTACTGTCCCCACTACAACAAAAAAAGACTGGTAATACATGTCATTTTATCCTTGAAAAATGTAATTGAAACACTGTAGAAATCCATTCTTTCCTATGGAGGACTGCTCCTACTAGGGAGTGCCAATATGACCGACTGGTGGCTTCAAAGCCTCTCAATGGCCAATACATAGCATTACAATCCAGGGTTTATATACAGTACCAGTCAAAAGTTTGGACACACCTACTCATTCCAGGGTTTTTCTTTTTTTTAAACTATTTTCTACATTGTAGAAAAATAGTGAAGACATCCAAACTATGAGATAACACATGAAATCATGTAGAAACCAAAAAAGTGTTAAACATATCGAAATATATTGTATATTTGAGATTCTTCAAAGTAGCCACCCTTTGCCTTGATGACAGCTTTGCACACTCTTGGCATTCTCTCAACCAGCTTCATGAGGTAGTCACCTGGAATGCATTTCAATTAACAGGTTTGCCTTGTTAAAAGTTAATTTGTGGAATTTATTTCCTTCTAATGCGTTTGAGCCAATCAGTTGTGTTGTGACAAGGTAGGGTAGGTATACAGAAGATAGCCCTATTTGGTAAAAGACCAAGTCCATATTATGGCAAGAACAGCTCAAATAAGCAAAGAGAAACTACAGTCCATCATTACTTTAAGACATGAAGGTCAGTCAATACGGAACATTTCAAGAAGTTTTAAAGTTTCTTCAAGTGCAGTCGCAAACACCATCAAGCGCTATTATGAAACTGGCTCTCATGAGGACCGCCACAGGAAAGGAAGACCCAGAGTTACCTCTGCTGCAGAGGATAAGTTCATTAGAGTTACCAGCCTCAGAAATTGCAGCCCAAATAAATGCTTCACAGAGTTCAAGTAACAGACACATCTCACTAGCCCTGTGACCAATATTTTCTTTCCCCATAGGCTTGGCCAACGAGCCTTGGTGGAGTTAGTGCCTACAAAAAGACACCATTACTATTTCTCTCTATAAGCTCTGTGACAACCAATCCGTGTGACAACCAGCCTTGGTCTCCCCCTTCTCCACGTGCTTTACATACGTCACTTTGTTTTGAGCCGACTTCGCCAGCTGCTTTGAACGGGGCACCCGGCTCACACCCCAACCCACACCCGGGAAGCAGCATGGTTTCAATACATGTGCAAACTTCCCCCATCCGGTGAATCAGGCCATTGCGCTGTGAGGAAGCCTTGGCAGAGAGCTCTGTTAATATTGTACATATTTTTTTGCATTTGTAAGTGTTTTGTTGTTGCATTTAAAAATATATATATATATTTTTTGATAACCTGTTGAGGGTTAACATTTTTACATTTGAGTCATTTAGCAGACGCTCTTATCCAGAGCGACTTACAGTTAGTGAGTGCATACATCATTCTTTTTTTATATATATATTCTTTTTTTTACTGGCCCCCCGTGGGAATTGAACCCACAACCCTGGCGTTGCAAACGCCATGCTCAACCAACTGAGCTACATCCCTGCCGGCCATTCCCTCCCCTATCCTGGACGACGCTGGGCCAATTGTGCGCCGCCCCATGGGTCTTCCGGTCACGGCCGGCTACGACAGAGCCTGGTTAAGCAAAAATATCTGGTGGTGACCAGTGGAATTGCAGGACTGACAATGGCAAGTCTGTTTACTTGGCTTGGCTAGCTATAGCTAGCTAGCTGGCTAATATAATTTGAATAATGCATCAACACCTGATCAACACAGCACCAACTTTTTATTCCACCTGCCCCTGTTTCTGAAAGGATGTGGACTGTGGTGTGAGGAGATGACAGAGGCTTGCCTTGTAGGACACGGTTACTGATTACTGCTGAGGTGTGGTGGTCTTTCAGGCTCTTATAGCTGCAGAAGCATCACCCAGGTGGGTGCTACACATTCAGTGGTGGATGTTACACATTCGGTGGTGGATGTTCCAGCCTACCTACAGAGGAGGAGTAGCTGTAAACTTCAGAGATAGAGGTGCTCGATGCAAAGCTCCGGGCCTGCCTGTCTGACTGATTTGTCTCCCTCTCTGGAAGTACCATCAACGCCACCACCACTCAAGCTACGCCTTTACTGAACTGCATCATCATTTAGCTGTGGAAGACTATCTCCAATGAAATGCCAGCTCCCTGAATTTGTTTTTGTTTGTTTTTTAAAAGCGCTATATAAAATAAATATATTATTATTATTATTATTAATCAAACCCTCTCATTCATTTATGAATGGGCAGAGGGCGGTTTCGTGGTTTCCCCAGGAAAACCTCAGGATTCCCCCTTTAACAGCCATTATTTCCTTGGTTTTGTGAAGTGTAAATATACTACAGAATTGTTGCTGTATCAATTTATTTTAAAGTTCTGCTATGCAGAAATCGCTCCGCCATTTCCTGGTTGCTAAAACTCAGTTCGCCTAATTTCAGTTTATGTGACAAAATACGCTAGTATAGTGTAGAGAATCAGTGTACCATCTAAACCGCTATGAAATATATTTCCCATAACCAAACATATTGTTGTTTCAGCTGTTTGAAGCTGGTGTACAAACCAAAAGTAAAAGAAGCAAATATAAAACTTAAGAACGGGAAGCATAGAAATAGCGCACATTTAACAGATATACCGCTTCTTAGACTTGCTTTCAAGTAGAATGTTAGATCTATAACTCACATTTCTGTTTCTGCCTTTCTTCATACCGGGGTATACGGTATTACCGAATGTGCACACAAGGGGAGCTATTTTTTTGACGCACAAAACTATTTAGGCAACAGGGATCTTGATCCAGGAAGGGATTGAATGTCTCTGCTGTAACCAAGAAACTTGATCTTGACATCTAACCACTTAGCTAGCAAGTTAAAGACCTCTCCATCACGGTTGACAACTCCACAGTGTCGCCCTCCCAGAGTGCAAAGAACCTTGGCATGACCCTGGACAACACCCTGTCGTTCTATGCATACATAAAAGCAGTGACACGCTCCTGCAGGTTCATGCTCTACAACATCCGTAGAGTACGACCCTACCTCACACAGGAAGCGGCGCAGGTCTAGTCCAGGCAGTTGTCCTCTCCCGTCTGGACTACTGCAACTCGCAGTTTGCTGGGCTCCTTGCTTGTGCCATCAAACCCCTGCAACATATCCAGAACGCTGCAGCCCGCCTGGTTTTCAACCTTCCCTAGTTATCTCATGTCACCCCGCTCCTCCGCACACTCCACTGGCTTCCAGTCAAAGCTTGCATCCACTACAAGATCATGGTGCTTACAGTGAGGGAAAAAAGTATTTGATCCCCTGCTGATTTTGTAAGTTTGCCCACTGACAAAGAAATTATCTGTCAGAATGCGACGGTGAAATGCGGTAGGTGAAGTCAAACGCAGGACACAGAGATTACTGGAAACGTACTTTACTTGAAAGTAACCAGAGAAGAAAACAATCTCCATACAAGGAGGGAAAACAACCCGCACACGAACACTGCCGATGACGAATACAATAACACACAACACACAATGAACGACAAGAGGGTTAAATAGGGAATACAATACAACGTATTGGGAAACAGGTGTACACAATCAGGACAAAACAAGTCAAACACCGAAACATAGATCGGTGGGAGCTAGTACTCCAGGGACGACGAACGCCGAAGCCTGCCCGAGCAAGGAGGAGGAGCAGCCTCGGCTGATTCCGTGACATGATCAGACTATAATTTTAATGGTAGGTTTATTTGAACAGTGAGAGACAGAATAACAACAACAAAAATCCAGAAAAACGCATGTCAAAAATGTTATAAATTGATTTGCATTTTAATGAGGGAAAAAAGTATTTGACCCCTCTCAATCAGAAAGATTTCTGGCTCCCAGGTGTCTTTTATACAGGTAACGAGCTGAGATTAGGAGCACACTCTTAAAGGGAGGAGAACTGGGTGAAAGTGTTGTGGTCAGATGAGACCAAAATCGAGCTCTTTGGCATCAACTGAACTCGCCGTGTTTGGAGGAGGAGGAAGGCTGCCTATGACCCCAAGAACACCATCCCCACCGTCAAACATGGAGGTGGAAACATTATGCTTTGGGGGTGTTTTTCTGCTAAGGGAGCAGGACAACTTCACCGCATCAAAGGGACGATGGACGGGGCCATGTACCGTCAAATCTTGGGTGAGAACCTCCTTCCCTCAGCCAGGGCATTGAAAATGGGTCGATGACAATGACCCAAAACACACGGCCAAGGCAACAAAGGAGTGGCTCAAGAAGAAGCACATTAAGGTCCTGGAGTGGCCTAGCCAGTCTCCAGACCTTAATCCCATAGAAACTCTGTGGAGGGAGCTGAAGGTTCGAGTTGCCAAACGTCAGCCTCGAAACCTTATTGACTTGGAGAAGATCTGCAAAGAGGAGTGGGAGAAAGTCCCTCCTGAGATGCGTGCAAACCTGGTGGCCAACTACAAGAAACGTCTGACCTCTGTGATTGCCAACAAGGGTTTTGCCCCAAGTACTAAGTCATGTTTTGTAGAGGGTTCAAATACTTATTTCCCTCATTAAAATGCAAATCAATTTATAACATTTTTGACATGCGTTTTTCTGGATTTTTGTTGTTGTTATTCTGTCTCTCACTGTTCAAATAAACCTACCATTAAAATTATAGACTGATCATGTCTTTGTCAGTGGGCAAACGTACAAAATCAGCAGGGGATAAAATACTTTTTTCCCTCACTGTACCTACGGAACAGCCCCTCCCTACCTTCAGGCTATGCTCAAACCCTATACCCCAACCCGAGCACTCCGTTCTGCCACCTCTGGTCTCTTGGCCCTCCCACCCCTACTGGAGGGCAGCTCCCGCTCAGCCCAGTCCAAGCTCTTCTCTATCCTGGCACCCCAATGGTGGAACCAGCTTCCCCCTGAAGCTAGGACAGCAGAGTCCCTGCCCATCTTACATTTTACATTTACATTTTAGTCATTTAGCAGACGCTCTTATCCAGAGCGACTTACAGTTAGTGAGTGCATAAATTTTTCATACTGGCCCCCCGTGGGAATCGAACCCACAACCCTGGCATTGCAAGCGCCATGCTCTACCAACTGAGCTACATCTGAAACCCTACCGCTTCAAACAGTATCTTAAATAATCCTTCCTCCTCACCTCGACCCCCCCCCCAAATAAACAGTATTATTATTATTAACCAGCACTTGCACTTGACCCCCCCCCCCCCCCCATGCCTGTGATATGCGGTTGCCCCACCTAGCTATCTTAAGATGAATGCACTAACTAAGTTTCTCTGGATAAGAGTGCCTGCTAAATGACTAAAATGTCAATGTAAAAGTTAGGAAAACCAAATGCATAGCTGGAGCCCTGAGCTGGATATAACTTATTTGACACATCTTAGATTTCTTATAGTTATACTTAACTTATAGTTATAAGCAATGGCGTAGCACACATCCCTGCAGCCCACGAAAATCATGCTGTCGGTATTTTGAAATACGGTATAAATGGTATATCTGTCACGCCCTGACTCAAGGGACGCTTATATGTTGAGTCAGGGTGTGTATATTCCTTGTTGTGCGTTTTCTATGTTTGCTCTGTCGTAGCCGGCCGCGACCGGGAGACCCATGGGGCGGCGCACAATTGGCCCAGTGTCGTCCAGGGTAGGGGAGGGAATGGCCGGCAGGGATGTAGCTCAGTTGGTAGAGAATGGCGTTTGCAATGCCAGGGTTGTGGGTTTGATTCCCACGGGGTCCAGTATGAAAAAATAAAAATAATGTATGCACTCACTAACTGTAAGTCGCTCTGGATAAGAGCGTCTGCTAAATGACAAAAATGTAAAAGTAAATGTATAGTTCTATGTTGGCCGGTGTGGTTCCCAATCAGAGGCAGCTGTCGCTCGTTGTCTCTGATTGGGGACCATACTTAGGCAGCCTATTGGCACTGTCTAGTTGTGGGATCTTGTTCCGGTTAAGGTTTGTTGTATCTACCTTGGACTTCACATTTCGTTTGTTGTTTTGTTGATGTGTTGATTAGTTAATAAACATGTACGCATATCACGCTGCGCCTTGGTCTGACCCATCCTTCAACGAACGTGACAATATCGCCCAAGCCTATGGGTATCCTTTTCTTAAACACAGTCTCCACCTAATGTTGACTATGCAAGAGGATTTCACAAAAATAATCATGAATATGAGTGAAAGCCATGGTGAAAGCTACAAGAGATTGTGAGAGGGCGGTACCTTAGAAAGATGGTTGGATATAATACTTTTTTGCCAATTTATTAAACTATGCCCACGTGTATATGCAAACAAGTTATTTCCAAACATTATTATTATATCAATATAATAATCAAACATAAATAGGCCATATTGTTTTATTGCAACCCAATAGTTTACCCACACCTTCGAAGTTGAAATGCCGTAAGATACTATGCAAGTTTTTGATCAAATCTGCCCCACCAAGATGTATATGTACATCCTTGGTTAAAATGCATAGGAGCTATTGAGTGCAGTTATCAAATCTGTGGTTCACTGCTGTTCCAGGTCATATCATATCACTGTGTCTCAGTTTAAAGAACAACTTTTTGATAGTCTAGAGTAGGGTTTCCCAAACCCAGTCCTGGGGGCCCCCCCTGGGGGCACGTTTTGGTTTTTGCCCTAGCACTACACAACTGATTCAAATAATCAAAGCTTGATAATGACTTGGTTATTTGATTCAGCTGTGTAGTGCTAGGGCAAAAACCAAAGCGTGCACCCAGGGGGGGCCCAGGACTGAGTTTGGGAAACCCTGGTCTAGAGTAATCGCGAATCCCACAACAACACTGGTTAGCCACACATCTCTCATTCATACGGATGTAGCTAATTTGTTTGAATGAGGAAGGCAGAAGACACATTTCCATTCTCATCAGTCAGTGAAGTATCTATTTTATTCTATTGCCAGGGGGTGTTGTCCTGGCGGAGGGAGGCGGCCTGGGCAGACACTGAGGAGAAGGTCAGCTGATCAGTTAGGTGGTCAGTCATTTGATCATGTTCTGTGCTGCTAAACTCCTCCTGGTCTCTGGTCTCTGACTCTGGAGCTTTCTTTTCTCTGTAGAATCTCCTCGTGAAACTCTTCAGCTGTGGCAGCTCACAACAAGTCTCTAGCACCACCAACAGACACACCAAGCCCAGCAACAGGTACACTGACACAGAGGGAGAGTGACGAGAAAGGGGGGAGAATAAGATGAATCACACATGAACCTGATATAGTAATTCATAGGTGGTTCTGTTATGGTTATAGTAACTTACAAGTGATGGCTAGACTATAGCATGTGGTTGGGGTTATGGTTGTGTTATTATTAGGGCTGTCAGAGTTTAATAAGTTAACTCTAGTTAACTTTTTGTAATTTTAGTGCACAATAATTTTTTATCGTGATTAATCACATTATCTGAAACCGTTCAAAATACACTGACAACCTCCGAAATACACAATCTATACAGCTAAAAACAACAATGCAATGTAAAAACAAGTTGACATTGAGGTTAAAGAAGTATGCTTTTTTCAATTAACCAAATTTTGCTAACCATTACCTTAGACCAAATCAATTCTTACAAAAATTATTGTATGGAAAATCTTAAATTACTGCTTAATTTAAGCAAATTCAGAATTTGTGATTAATCGTGATTAATCACAGTAAATCCTGGAAACATCTTGATAAAAAAAATATATTGTTTGACCGCCCTAGTTATTATGGTTAGATTATGGTTATAATAACTCATGATACCTTGATGAAGAGAGCATGCTGTCAAAATGTTGTTAAATCAATTATTGCATCGGAGATACTAGAGTGGAGCCAGTGGTTTAAAGTACTTAAGTAAAAATACTACTTAAATCGTTTTTGGGGGTATCTGTACTTTACTTTCCTATTTATATTTTTTACAACTTTTACGCCACTACATTCCTAAAGAAAATAATGTACTTTTTACTCCATACATTTTCCCTAACACCTAAAAGTACTCTTTACATTTTGAATGCTTAGCAGAACAGGAAAATGGTCAAATTCACACACTTATCAAGAGAACATCCCTGGTCATCCCTACAGCCTCTGATCTTGCGGACTCACTAAACACAAATGCTTAAATGCTTCGTTTATAAATTATGTCTGAGTGTTGGTGTGTGACCCTGGCTATCCGTAAATTTAAAAAACAAGAAAATCGTGCCGTCTGGTTTGCTTAATATAAGGAATGTGAAATGATTTATACTTTTACATTTACTTTGAATACTTAAGTATATTTAAAACCAAATACTTTTAGACTTTTACTCAAGTAGTATTTCACTGGGTGACTTTCACTTTTACTTGAGTCATTTTCTATTAAGGTATCTTTACTTTTACTCAAGTATGACAATTGGGTACTTTTTCCACCACTGAGTGAAGCGTTTCCTTTTCTAATAATAACTTATAGGACATGGCTATAGACTGTAGTGCACCGTACTGTGGGGTTATGGTTAGTGTTGCATCATGGATAGTAGGGCTGGTTCACTGGTTATAACAGTGGTAGTGCAGGTACCCCATCCCCTCGCAAACTGCACATTCGCCAAAGACAGCACATGCGCCAAAGCCAGAATCACGTGACCTTCACCACCTTCATGTAGTACACCAAGGATTCTATATTTAGATGCTAAATTGCCAACTTATATCTACTAAATTTCCATTGCTGTGACCTGAAGTATAGAACATCCGAAAATGAGAATCAATGATGAAACAGTGTGCACTGTTTTTATACACTTAAGGTGACATCAAACTGCATTGAACAGAATACAGTGAGGGAAAAAAGTATGTGATCCCCTGCTGATTTTGTACGTTTGCCCACTGACAAAGAAATGATCAGTCTATAATTTTAATGGTAGGTTTATTTGAACAGTGAGAGACAGAATAACAACAAAATAATCCAGAAAAACGCATGTCAAAAATGTTATAAATTGATTTGCATTTTAATGAGGGAAATAAGTATTTGACCCCCTCTCAATCAGAAAGATTTCTGGCTCCCAGGTGTCTTTTATGCAGGTAACGAGCTGAGATTAGGAGCACACTCTTAAAGGGAGTGCTCCTAATCTCAGTTTGTTACCTGTATAAAAGACACCTGTCCACAGAAGCAATCAATCAATCAGATTCCAAACTCTCCACCATGGCCAAGACCAAAGAGCTCTCCAAGGATGTCAGGGACAAGATTGTAGACCTACACAAGGCTGGAATGGGCTACAAGACCATCGCCAAGCAGCTTGGTGAGAAGGTGACAACAGTTGGTGCGATTATTCGCAAATGGAAGAAACACAAAATAACTGTCAATCTCCCTCAGCCTGGGGCTCCATGCAAGATCTCACCTCGTGGAGTTGCAATGATCATGAGAACGGTGAGGAATCAGCCCAGAACTACACGGGAGGATCTTGTCAATGATCTCAAGGCAGCTGGGACCATAGTCACCAAGAAAACAATTGGTAACACACTACGCCGTGAAGGACTGAAATCCTGCAGCGCCCGCAAGGTCCCCGTGCTCAAGAAAGTACATATACAGGCCCGTCTGAAGTTTGCCAATGAACATCTGAATGATTCAGAGGAGAACTGGGTGAAAGTGTTGTGGTCAGATGAGACCAAAATCGAGCTCTTTGGCATCAACTCAACTCGCCGTGTTTGGAGGAGGAGGAATGCTGCCTATGACCCCAAGAACACCATCCCCACCGTCAAACATGGAGGTGGAAACATTATGCTTTGGGGGTGTTTTTCTGCTAAGGGGACAGGACAACTTCACTGCATCAAAGGGACGATGGACGGGGCCATGTACCGTCAAATCTTGGGTGAGAACCTCCTTCCCTCAGCCAGGGCATTGAAAATGGGTCGTGGATGGGTATTCCAGCATGACAATGACCCAAAACACACAGCCAAGGCAACAAAGGAGTGGCTCAAGAAGAAGCACATTAAGGTCCTGGAGTGGCCTAGCCAGTCTCCAGACCTTAATCCCATAGAAAATCTGTGGAGGGAGCTGAAGGTTCGAGTTGCCAAACGTCAGCCTCGAAACCTTAATGACTTGGAAGAAGATCTGCAAAGAGGAGTGGAACAAAATCCCTCCTGAGATGTGTGCAAACCTGGTGGCCAACTACAAGAAATGTCTGACCGTTTTTCTGGATTTGTTTGTTGTTATTCTGTCTCTCACTGTTCAAATAAACCTACCATTAAAATGATAGACTGATCATGTCTTTGTCAGTGGGCAAACGTACAAAATCAGCAGGGGATCAAATACTTTTTTCCCTCACTGTATATTTCTTATCCATGGAATCTATTGTTGCATGGCAGTAGGGCAGGCTATCTTGCTTTTTTGTTAGTATCTTTGACAAGGTAAATAGCAGTGAGGGCTGGGGTTCATGGCTTTGCTATGGTTATGTTATGGTTGTGTTATAGTAACTTACGTGTAATAGCCAGCTTATATAGCGTGCGGTGAGAGTTGGGAACGGTGCTGTGAGTCTCTCCAGGTACATAGTCTCCTAGGCCAATTGTAGTAAGCGAGATGAAGCAGAAGTAGAGGGACTCCAGGTAGCTCCATTGAGGCTCCAGCCTGCAGAACACTACCGCTGGTAGGAGGAAGAGGAGCAGTGCTGCAACAGAGGATAGACATGCCGCATGGACAGCGGCCAACGTTGGTTTGGACATGCCCCATCGCAGGTGAAGGTACACCACAGGCCGGCGTGTCACCAGGACCATAATTCTTTGTACCAGGGCGGAAAGGAAGAGGAGAGTGACGGGGATTCCGAGGAGAGAGTAGAACACACAGAATGCCTTTCCTCCATCTGACAGTGGTACAGTGTGGCCATAACCTGCAACAACATGCACACGCACCTTTTTAAAAGCCAATACAATAACTTGCCTGGAGGCTGACAGCCCTGCTCAGGCACAGGCCCCTTGTCCACTTACCCACTTACCCCGGGGGGGGGGGGGGGGGGCATTCCACAATGGCCCGACCTCAACCCAATTGTACATTGACCTGACACTTCAAACAACCCATAAGCTGCAGGCCTATTCAATTCATCTTAATGTTTTCAGTTATCTGGTAGTAATCCTTCTTTGTGATACCCATCTGGAGAAGATGAAACACAAACTTTAAATAACTACATTTGAGCAAAGGTTAAAATCACACTGACCAACCCACCTAAACCTACCTGTTGTGGTCAGAACTGTGCTGGTAAAGAACAGAGAGGAGGTGAAGTCCCAGTTGTTTTTACTAGCGTTACCGAGCACCGACACGCCGTAGTTATTGGCATCCAGCGCGCGGGACAGAAGCTCCTCGAGCCGTTCGTCAGACACGCACGCGTTGTCCCGGAGAAACTCCTGCCGGACGGTCTCCAGCTGTTCGCGCAGCCGTTGCTCATATGGAAGCTCAACGGCTGAGAAGACCCATGCGCCAAGAAGCAGGTAGAGCGCATAGCCTGACAACAGCAATGCGAGACTCAGCTCTGACCGGTGTCGTTCCACCAGACTCGCGCACTGGCGGAACATTCTGAAACTGGACCTGCCTTACAACTGTTTCCGTCAAATTCTATGATATGGCCGATGTATTATGTCTAAATATCACATTACTGATAGTTGTTAGTGATGAGAGATAATATCTAAATCGATTCTGTCCTGATGGTGTGATCTTCTCTTCCTCATTCCATGATACAACCCTAGTCGCGGTGACGCGCGACCTGTCCTGAGGACGGGACGCATGACGTCGCTGGTTCTCACTGGACCAGGTAGGCTAAACAGGTGAGGTGTGTGGTTGCAGGGCAGCCGGTCATCCCGGTTTGGGCTGGTTGGTCACACTCTGCTGCTCTAGTGCATGACAGGGGAAAGACTATAAGGACACGCCTAACGCTTAAACCGATATTTCATTTTAGAATTTATTAAGTTTAGGATTAAGGTAAGGGTCAGTTTAAGGTTGTGGATAGTCGGTTTAAGCGTCACCTTTGTCCTTATAGTCTCTCCTGAATGACAGCATTTTTTACGCACACACCCAAAATCCTATTTTGTAATTAAATACATTGTTGTCTAAAACATTTTTGTATATAAGAATTGTATTTTTTATATGTCCATTCCTGCCTACACCTTTCTTCCCCCACTAGAGGGAGACAGAAGACGTATATTTTAGACCTGTGATTGAGACAGGTGCATTGGAAGATATTGTCTGCATTCTCATTTAAACTATTCGTTTGTTACTTTACATTCACATCAGAAAATTAAATTAAAGCCATCTGTAGGTGGGCCACCAACAAAAATGTTAACAATGAAACAAATGCATCACATTCACATGGCAGCACTTTGATTATTATGATCTGTACTAGTGCTCAAGGAAAACCATTCCATAAAAAAAATAAGCATGATCTCTTTATAAAGTATCTTAAAGAGGCAATCTGGGATTTGAAAAAAAAAAAAATTGCAATTGATTTATTTAACCTTTATTTCAACAGGGAATCATATTGAGACCCATGTCTCTTTTTCAAATGAGCCCAACAGAATAATATAAAAATACACATATGAAATGCAATCAATAAATAGTAATACAATCAATCAAAACAGTAAGTATAGCCTTGCACGACCCTTGGCTTGTGCGAGCCAGAACTGCTCATAGGGCATCTCCTGTTTCTGTAGCGAGAGGCAGCTTGAAGTACAAGTACACCCCCTGGACAGGAGGCTAGTCTATCGCAGGGTCCAACCTGGTCTCAGAGCATTTCATAATATTCTGTACGTAAATCGGAGACACTGTACGTAAAGTGGCTAAACCTAACACATTACATGTTTTGGATGGCATGTTCCTCAGTTCTTATAAAAAGCCACAGATGTCTATGATATATATGCTCTCTTCTTTACTCCTAACCTTAATGTGATAAGGCAAGAGCAATGTGAGGAAGTAGGCAAATGACACTCAAGAGTATAAATAGTCTTTATGCAAAACATCAGCTAAGTTGCTAAGCGATGACCAGGGAGGGTAGGTCTTGCTAGCTGTTGGATAGGCAAACCAGCTGTTTTGCATGCTGATCGGAAGAAACATACAAAATACAAGGGGAGATCTAGGAGATGCTTTATGACAACGTGGTATCTGGTGAAAACACATCATAAGGCACTGAACACAATACAATGGACATTACTTCCTGACCTTGATACTGAAGGCCATTTAAGAACACTGGTTAAGGAGTTGAGGTAATGTAGGATAAACTAAGCATTTGCATCAGCAAAGCCTTGCACATTTTCTAAATCAGGAATTTAGAATTTGAAAAGTCTCTCTAGTGTCCAGAGTGAACAGACATACAGTATAAGGGTGGTTTACCAGACACAAATTAAGCCTAGTTCTGGAGTGAAAAGTGGCAGGTAGCCTAGTGGTTAAGAGCGTTGGGTCAATAACTGAAAGGTTGCTGGTTCAAATCCCTGAGCTGACTAGGTGAAAAATCTATTGATGTGCCCTTGAGCAAGGCACTTAACCCTAATTGCTCCTGCAAGTTGCTCTGGATAAGAGCATCTGTCAAAATGATTCTGAATCTCCATTGAAAGTGCTCTTTAGTCCAAGACATTTCACTTTTGGCATAATGCTTGAAATACACAATAAGTGCATGCATTGACGCACTCACACTCTCTCTCCTCACACACACTTGGTGAACATTTCATATAAATCCTGCAATTTGAGACGTAGCCTAGCCTATAGTCCATGTTTGGTTACACGAACATTACAGCGTGTAATTACTCATTATTACACTGTACTTAAGGTTACTTCAGGATAGGAATAGGGTTAGGTTTGATGCTAGGGTAAGGCTTGAACCGGAATATGGACATGAAGCTAGGGTTAGACTTGCAGTTGAGGCTAAGGTTAGGGTTGAACTCGATGTGGACATGAAGCTAGGGTAAGGGTTGTGGTTTAGGCTAGGATTAGGGTTGAACCGGGATATGAACATGAAGCTAGGGTTAGAGTAGCGGTTGAGGCTAAGGTTAGGGTTGAACCGGGATATGGACATGAAGCTAGGGTTGTGGCTAGGGTTTAATAATGAGTAGTTACAATACTTATTACATTGTAATTACATGAGTAGTTACACAGTAATAAGGGCACTAATGTAAAGTGTTACTACTTCTTTCCACCTGCCACTTCTGGAGGAGTAGGGGTAGATTAAGCCTACAATCTACTGCTCTTCAAGTTTATTTGCCAGCGGAAGGAGCAAGCATATACTGTATCCTAGGCTACACTCTTAGAAAAAAGGGTTCCAAAAGGGTTATTTATGGAGGGATAGGTTTCTGCCAATAACCATTTTCATCTGAAGAACCCTTTTTGGAAGAAAGGCCTCTTTGATGATTCTTTGGGTGGCAAGAAGGATTCTTTGGAAGGCAAGAATTGTTGTAAATAGAACCCTTCTGAATCTGAATAAGCTTTTTCATTGTAATTTTTTTATTTCTTTTAAATAGTGCCTGAGCATTAATGTTTACCTCAGTGTTTAAACTTTAACATCAGGAGTTTGAGTAATCTGATACAATTAAAAAGATAGGTGTGAGCATGTTTAAAACTGTACCTACAGTGGGGAGAACAAGTATTTGATACACTGCCGATTTTGCAGGTTTTCCTACTTACAAAGCATGTAGAGGTCTGTAATTTTTATCATAGGTACACTTCAACTGTGAGAGACGGAATCTAAAACAAAAATCCAGAAAATCACATTGTATGATTTTTAAGGAATTAATTTGCATTTTATTGCATGACATAAGTATTTGATACATCAGAAAAGCAGAACTTAATATTTGGTACAGAAACCTTTGTTTGCAATTACAGAGATCATACGTTTCCTGTAGGTCTTGACCAGGTTTGCACACACTGCAGCAGGGATTTTGGCCCACTCCTCCATACAGACCTTCTCCAGATCCTTCAGGTTTTGGGGTTGTCGCTGGGCAATACGGACTTTCAGCTCCCTCCAAAGATTTTCTATTGGGTTCAGGTCTGGAGACTGGCTAGGCCACTCCAGGACCTTGAGATGCTTCTTACGGAGCCACTCCTTAGTTGCCCTGGCTGTGTGTTTCGGGTCGTTGTCATGCTGGAAGACCCAGCCACGACCCATCTTCAATGCTCTTACTGAGGGAAGGAGGTTGTTGGCCAAGATCTCGCGATACATGGCCCCATCCATCCTCCCCTCAATACGGTGCAGTCGTCCTGTCCCCTTTGCAGAAAAGCATCCCCAAAGAATGATGTTTCCACCTCCATGCTTCACGGTTGGGATGGTGTTCTTGGGGTTGTACTCATCCTTCTTCTTCCTCCAAACACGGCGAGTGGAGTTTAGACCAAAAAGCTCTATTTTTGTCTCATCAGACCACGTGACCTTCTCCCATTCCTCCTCTGGATCATCCAGATGGTCATTGGCAAACTTCAGACAGGCCTGGACATGCGCTGGCTTGAGCAGGGGGACCTTGCGTGCGCTGCAGGATTTTAATCCATGACGGCGTAGTGTGTTACTAATGGTTTTCTTTGAGACTGTGGTCCCAGCTCTCTTCAGGTCATTGACTAGGTCCTGCCGTGTAGTTCTGGGCTGATCCCTCACCTTCCTCATGATCATTGATGCCCCACGAGGTGAGATCTTGCATGGAGCCCCAGACCGAGGGTGATTGACCGTCATCTTGAACTTCTTCCATTTTCTAATAATTGCACCAACAGTTGTTGCCTTCTCACCAAGCTGCTTGCCTATTGTCCTGTAGCCCATCCCAGCCTTGTGCAGGTCTACAATTTTATCCCTGATATCCTTACACAGCTCACTGGTCTTGGCCATTGTGGAGAGGTTGGAGTCTGTTTGATTGAGTGTGTGGACAGGTGTCTTTTATACAGGTAACGAGTTCAAACAGGTGCAGTTAATACAGGTAATGAGTGGAGAACAGGAGGGCTTCTTAAAGAAAAACTAACAGGTCTGTGAGTGCCGGAATTCTTACTGGTTGGTAGGTGATCAAATACTTATGTCATGCAATAAAATGAAAAATGAATTACTTAAAAATCATACAATGTGATTTTCTGGATTTTTGTTTTAGATTCCGTCTCTCACAGTTGAAGGGTACCTATGATAAAAATTACAGACCTCTACATGCTTTGTAAATAGGAAAACCTGCAAAATCGGCAGTGTATCAAATACTTGTTCCATCCTGTTTCCATTGACCATCCTTGAGAGGATTCTACAACTTGATTGGAGTCCACCTGTGGTACATTTAATTGATTGGACATGATTTGGAAAGGCACACACCTGTCTATATAAGGTCCCACCGTTGACTGTGCATGTCAGAGCAAAAATCAAGCCATGAGGTCGAAGGAATTGTCTGTAGAGCTCTGAGACAGGATTGGGTCGAGGCACAGATCTGGGGAAGAACACCAAAAAAATTCTACAACATTGAAGGTCCCCAAGAACACAGTGGCCTCCATCATTTAAATGGAAGAAGTTTGGAACCACCCAGACTCTTCCTAGAGCTGGCCGCCCGGCCAAACTGCACAATTGGGGGAGAAGGACCTT